CCAGCCAACCGCAATGCCGTCCCATGACCTCGATAACAAAGGCGCGCGAATGCGAGGAAGCTGTGGCTTCGATGTAGTCAACCATCTCGCAGATGCGTGAGAGAGCCGAGTAGCAGCCAATTGTAGCATCAGTTCCAGTGAGATCATTGTCGATGGAGCCGACAAGACCAACAATGTTCAGGTGCTGGTATGGCTCGATCTGGCTGGCCGTCAACTGGCCATCCTGGACAAGCTCCTCCAGCAGAGAAGGCCACTCGGCGCGGAACTTGTCGGCACCAGTTAGGGAGCCGTCACCTCCGCAGATGATCAGAGCGTCAATGCCAGCAAGAACCATGTTCTTGGCGGCCGTCAAACGACCGGGACGCTCGTAGAAAGCCATACACCGGGCAGTACCGATCAGAGTACCACCCTCAGAGAGCCAGCCTCGAACGTCGTTCCACTGCATCTGCCGGATAAAGTCGCCGCCCTGCACCAGGCCTTCGTATCCCTCATAGACACAGAAGGCATCGCAGTTCATGTGAAGCGTCATGCGCACGACGGCGCGGACGGCAGCGTTCATGCCGGGAGAGTCACCTCCCGAGGTCATGACAGCAATCTTCTTTTTGGGAGCCATCTTGGATTCGGCGATGGCGGAAAGGACGCTGAAGGACGAGGCAGGTATCGGTCGGTCGGACAAGAGATAATAGGGTATAGGAATGCTTTGCCAGAGCTTGTTGAGGATGTCGAAGATGGGCCCAGTAAGAGAATGGAGGGGCCAGGCGAGGATCTGCAGATAAGAAAGAGAAGACATTCAGTACTAGTACATGATCCGGAAAGAGCGTCAAGCTTACATGTAAGTAGTAAATAGGAGAAGAGAACAGAGCAGCAGCAGAGCACAGCCAGCAAACTCAACGGACGATGTCGTCTCACCAGATTCCGTGAAGGGGGGAAATTATTATGGCGCCAGCTTCACGAGCCAAAGCCAACCTTGTCGTGGTGACGCAGGTCAGGAGCGAGGGCAAGGGAGCCAAGCAAGACAGCCCCGACTGACCGAGACGAGAGGTGTGAGAGGTCCAACAGACCCAATAAAAGAGGGGAAAAAAGAGCTCTTATCGCTTATCGGCCCGCGCGGGGACAAGTGTTGGCACAAGGTGAGCTCTTCTGGTGGGATATGTTACGATTCGTAAGGCCAATTATTAGCACACTCACCTCACCTTTGTGCTCTGCTCTAGACGTTCTAGTCTCGGTGGTTTTATCTTGCCCTGCCCTCTCTGCCCCTCCCTCTTCGCTAGGTATCGCACAAGTGAAGCTGCCATGCCGTCGACAATAATACCTCATCCGGAAAACTCGCTCTGCCCGCCGCACCGGCTCAACAAGAACCCACGTTCCGGAGGTACTGGATGTAGACAAGCCGGCCAGGGCAGTGGACAGTGGGACAGACGTCTGCCGAGACGTCAAAGCCTCAGTCGCTGACTGGCCAAGCCGGGCCTGAGGATAACTGTGCGCTTTACCTCGGGCATGATTATTGCTCAGGGGTTGATCAGCTTATGTAGTTGTCGTCTCGTAGACTCGAATGTTGATGTGAATGTTCGACTCTTGAGTCAACTGCCGACATGGCCGGGTCGATATCCAAATCCCATCCCGGTCTGCCGTCGTTGGCATGCAGCAGTTCGTGGGGCCAAGGGAGAGAACAACGGTAGTGGTAGTAGCGAGATCTCACGATGCAGGGCGATTATTAAGACCATCCAGCGGGAGAGACAATCGAGATGCGCCCTGGTCTGGTAGCGAGTTCAGGACTAGCCAGGGGCCAATTCATCACTGATGAGCATTTCACCGTATAAATGTCAAGACACGCCACCCGCCTCACGGCATGTCGCAAGCCTCAATGTCGCGGGCCTCAGACTGAACCAGTTTTTGACAAGCAAAAAACATGAAAAACATGCAGCAAACAACAGAAACGATCCAAGGCAACGCCTAGCGCGCGATCGTGGCGCCGGGGAAGCTCATAGCGTCCCGCCAGCGGCAGAGCTGGAGCAAAGCAAGGCAAGGCAATGATGCAAATGCCCAACGCTACCCAGCGCGTCGGCGCATTGAAAACTGACGAGTCACTGAGGAAACTTGATGGTCTAGCAGCGGCCGAGACAAGCTGCGAGGATCGCTGCGCAACCGTACGACCCCGGGGTCACGACTTGCAGCCCGGGCAAAGCAAAGAAGAAAAAAAAGACCCAAAGGTGAATCAGTCATGCGGCTGGAGAGACAGTTTTATGCGCTGGCAAGCGTCGTGAGATGGGATGGATGGCATGGCTGATGCGACGGTAGAGCGCGTCTGCTGACCCAGCCCTGAAGCGCTGAGCCGCCAGGACCCTGGGAGAAGCGCCCCTGAGCATGACGACAGAGGCCTCACCGGGCCTCAGGCCTGCCAGGCGTCAAGGCTTTTCCAACTCTTCTGTCAAGCAGTAGACCGTGGCGTAGAGTTCCCAGGTGACCTACCCCAGGTACCGTCCGTCACCCAAGGCTCGGAGAATCATTGGGATTCCGCAACGGCTTCTGGTCTGATGTGCTCGGTATACATCCGTGATCATGACATCCCATGATCTCGGGCGTCTCAGCGCGGCAGACAAGGCGACGTCTGCCTGACTGGAGGACGAACGGATGGCTACAGCTCGACGGCATCCCTCTCAACACTCGACTCGACTCGGTCCCATCGGGATAAGTTCCGGGGTCAGGCGCAGCGACGCCGTCATCAGTCATCACCCGCCTGTGCTTCCATTGTCGAGTCGCCAGCGTAATCCAGAAGAGGTCACTGGAAGGCCCGTGGCAGGTTGCGGAGGCGAGGTGCAGTGTGCTGCGGATGACGGACGGCGAAACCTGGGGCTCGTCACCATCACGGGGTCACCTGGCGGGTCGGTCAGGGCCATTGGATTGGGATTGGAATCAATGGATCCTCTTGGGCCTCTGCTCCTCCAGGGCTGCTTGGTCGAGAATCAACGTCACATTTCCAATCCCGGGCGTCCCTTTGATTGTTGCATCAATTCGCCAGTCCCGGCGGGAGCCTGGCCTAGGGCGGGCCAATTGAAGTCGTGAGAAAGACTGAGAAGTGACGAGACAAGGTCTAATAGAGTCCAATGCTATTCAGACTCAGACTCAGGGTCCTTCTCTGGTTCATAGGGGTATCTCATGTGCCAGGCAAACTCCGCAAGTCATCCTCTAGTCTTTCAATCCCGAAGTCGCTCCATCGGTACAACACCCGCGCGTCAATATCACGAGGGTTGGTTGTCGCGGGCTAGAACAAGGCGAGGCGAGATTGCCCTAGAATGCGTGGTGACCAACGTGACTCGCGATGGGGCCTCAGACCGGTCTCTGATGAGTAGGTGCTGGACGGCCAGCGGGCCACTCATCCGCGAGCCCAGCCTCGGGGAACTGTGAACAAGAGTCCCGGTAGGTGTGTGGGGGTCTTTTGGCATGGCCTTGCCCTGGCAAATTCAGGGTCGCCCTCAGTTCTGGGAGTATCTGGGCTCTCAGCTGCCCGATTCGAGCGACGTTCGAGGCTCTGACGGTCAGGGATGTGCTGTGCTCGCGACGGAACCGTTTGAGGGGAAATGGGCGGACGAGTAGCCTCGTGACTAGCCAGCGGCCACGTCCACGTTCGAGATTCCAAACGGACCAGAGGAACGCATCGGCATCTTCCATAGCGCCGCTCCATCGGGGAGAGGGCATGGCAGCTCAAGGGAACTCCGAGAGGGAGGAAGAACAGAACGGTTGCCGCTTTCGGGTGACGGAGGACGGATGCGGTCTCGGGAGTGAAAACGGACGCTAAAAAGGGCATGCAGCCGCCCAAGGCTTCAAGGTTGCTACCCGAAGAGGCAACTCTGAAGGAGCCCTTTGAAGCTTAGCGTATCTCTGACCATCTAAACCCGTTTGAGCTCCACCTTGGGGCCGCTTGAGCACGAGGAGAGGAACAAGTGCCTGTTCAGGCAAGGCCCCGTGGAACTGGTCAGCAGGCTGACTTTTCGCCTCCCCCTCTCTGCCACCTCCACCCGTGCGTGCTGTGCTCGCTGTGCTCTGTGCTCCGTGCTCTCCCCCTGGCAGAAGCCCTGTCCTTGTGCGCTGTGTCGCCGGCACAGGCCTCGCTCTCCCTGGGAATCGCGGGTCTTCTGGCTGGCTGCTCGAAAAACCAGAGGTACGGATGAGCGACGCCTGTTCCGCCACCTCACCCCCCACTGCACTGCACCGCTCTGCACCCGCTACCGCCTCAATCCGACTGCCCACACTCCTCTTTTCTTATTCTACGGACCCCCACCCCACCCGACTCGCTCCTGCTCCTCCTCTTCCAGCGCACTCCAGCGCCCACTGGCACCTGCCCAGTAGATTTTTCCTCAAGGCACCTAGAAGTTCCTCCGCCGCGGTACCTCCGACTTGTACTGAGAGACTTCAACCTGAGCCGTGGCCGTGGCCCACCCTCTTCTGTCGCACACCCCGTGAAGTACGTACCTTTACCCCCTGTGGCTCCCACCTCTCACACCCCCCCGGTCCTCGTGCGCTCCATTTACACAAAGCACACACCGCGACTCCCTTCCCCCATCCGTCTTGCTTCCCAAGTTCGCACACAACCCAAACAAGAATATCTATGTTTGATCCCCCCCGGACTCTGTCGTCCTCCTCCACATACACATACGCCAACTACGCTGTACTGAACTTGAGCCGTAAAGTTGACGATCCTGCACCAGACAGCAATCGCCTCTGCATGTCTACTTGAGGATCCTCATGAACCCCAGCATCCTTCCCGACAACTCTCCCTACCGTCACCAGCACCAGAATTGACCTCGCCGAACGCGACTCCATCACCGAACCCCAACTCCACCAACACTTTGGCGCATTGTCGGTCTCAGTCACGATTACTACTGCCGACGAACTCTGCGAATTCTCTCAACTGCATTCGATTGCACTTCCACTCTATCCCGACATCTACTACACCGACACCTTGCATCACACCGTCGAGTAATCGACAGGTTATGCCCATCATGCCCTATCGACTGGATACACACGTTTTGACTGTGGATGCAAACGTCATTCACAAGGTCGACACTGGCAATCCCGCCAACCTCTATAGCATGTGGACGGGTAAGTTACACCCAAGACGTCGTTCACTGGTGAATGCTGACAAGTTAGTCTTCTCTCGATGCGCAGACTCCGTTGAGCAAGGCCGAAGACTCGAGAACCTTAGCTGGCGTCTATGGCAGCGAGAAACCTTTGTTGTCGACAACGAGGAAAAGACCACACAGACCCTTCCCCAGAACATTCCCTCCGAGACACGGATACCCGATCTTCCCCAACTCTCTGGCAGCGTCGAGTCCCTTGTAGATGAGGAGGCCGTCGACTTCACCTCTGTGTCTGCACCTCTCGAGATCGCTCGCCCTCGCGTACGACGACAGGACTCGTGCACCAGCACACGGAGCAAGCGCGAGCGTCACATTAGCTCTGACGACTTTGAGAAGATGATTGTGTCCATCGTCAAGGACAAGGGTCCTCTTTCTGCTCCTCCCCAGATCGCCCCCGTCTCAAAAGACTCACTACCCGCGCCCCCACCCTTTGAGCGCTCTGGATCTACCACGACCGAGTCGCAGTCACCTGCCAAGTCGACCACTGAGGTGTCCGAGGCCTCAGCCCAGTCCTCACCCCAGAGCCTTTCCCGTACCACGGTCGTCCGTGGCTTCTCGCCTTCCCAGATGCCGATTCCCCGAACCATTGCCATCACCGCCCAGTCCTCATCAGACGCGATCCCCGAGCCCACCTCGTCGCCTGCTGCCAAGCCTGTGCAGTCTAAGAAGCCCGCGCGGTTTGCGCTCGGTGGTTCTTGTTCATCTAGCGAGCAGGACCAGAGCCTGGGCAACGGAAAGCCCGTCATTCCCATCATCAAGAAGCCCATGTTCCAAATTGGAGGCTCATCTGAAGAGGATGGCTCCCTGAAGAGCGCACTGGCTTCGTCGCGACCCAGCTCGCTGCTGTCGCCCCGCAAGAAGCAGACCTCTTTTAGCAGCAATGTCATGACCCGAACCATTGACGACGAGGCCGCCGTGGATTCAGACACCGACTACATTGACGAGAGCGCCATCGATGATGACGAGGACTCGTCGGACTGGGAGGACTCTATGGAGGAGAGTAACAAGTCTAGCATGGACGACAAGTTTTTCCAGCGAGTCGACTCCAAACCTAACTTGACATCACGCCGGTCTCTCATTACTCTCATGCTCGCTCAGAACGATCGCGCGCGCACTCTGGGCAACCACGCGTCGCAATCCACATCTGCCATTCCTCGATCTCGCATGGCCCATGGACCTTCACTGGGCGCCTCTCCTAGCGACTCTGATGAGGCCCCTCTTATGATGAAGGGCATGCGCGGACCCGGTCTCAAGCCTATCCATGAGGTGCCTCGATCTAATGCTCAGCCCATCATGGTTGGTCCCAGCCACGTCCAGGCACAGGCTGCCCTGTCGCCTCGGACAACGCGCCGCAACATGCTTGCCACTGAATTGACCGAGTCTCTGCGCCGTCATCTCCTCTGGGAGCGACAACAAAAGTCGTCGACGGCCAACGCGGTGCTCAAGCGAAGGCACACATCACACGATGTGGCCAACCTCAAGCAGTACCCTGAGAAGCCATGCATGAAGAAGAGCGAGGACGTGAACGCGAGCAGCTGGAACCAATACTTTTCCAAGGAAGCCAGCGACGGATACCACTCCAAGGGGTGGTGAATGATTCGATACCCATATCACGCATACCATCAACAAACAGCAAAGCACAGCTATACCCTACTACCTACTGCAACGAATACCATACCGGATGCAAGCGAGGAGCATGCATCGTTATCATGTACATTGGGCGGCGCACGAGAGGCATCACATCATCATTGAGCGTTTGTTTTTGCTGCAATTGGCAGCACGCATTGATTGTTTTTTACAAGGACATTTAGCGGACTCGGGAAACTCGAGTCAAAATTTGTGTTGATCATTTTCATTTCTGCACTCATGGCTGGCGGCGTTGTTGATAACGTTATGATACCATGGACTCGCTTTGTTTGTCACGGCCTGGATTGGCCCGGATTTCGCGCGGGATTTGGGTCTTTTTTTCGAGGCATTCATTCAATTGACGAAGGATCAATCAGGCTCAGCTCAGGTCAGGGCGTGTGTGTACTCTAGCTTCGGCAAGGAAAGACGGGACGGACAAGGGCAACCTGAGGACACCACCATACCATTATTACGACTATTGCTACCTACGCGAGGAGGCACGGTACGGTACCTGAGTTTGGACGAGGAGCATGGGCCACGAATACAGTCACAGTACAGTCATATTTTTTCTGACGAGCGAGCGAGGCGAGGCGAGGCGAAAACAAAAGTGGAGGACAAGGGAGAGAAGAGGTCCCGTGGACGGACTGAACTGGACTGGCCTTGGCCAAGGATGAGAGTTGATCCATGGCGAGGCAAAAAGAAAACAAAAAACGAGTAGTCAAAAAAAACTCGTAAAAAAGGGCGAATTGTCTATGAAAAGAGCTTTGTTTAAAAACATGATAAAAATTTCACTACACATTTATTTAAGTTAAAAAGTACCAGCTGGTGACGTGCAAGTCGAGTGTCATGATTGGAATGCCAAGTTGTGAGGTGCAGACAGGTTCCTGAGAGGTTTTGGTACCTGGACAGAACTCCAAGTGATGGATGACGTGCATCTGGGTCATTCAGGTGTAGTGTCTCTTGATGTTTGGCTCTGGAAAGTGTTGGAGCTGAAAATGACCGTGAACCAACAGGGAGGGCCACAGTTCTTGGGCCGCCGAGTGGGTGTGGTGTGGTAGAGCGCAGGCCTTGCTGAGCCCGTGACTTGCAAGCACATGCCAGACGGAACAACAAAAAAAAAAGTGATGGAAATGAGGGTAAGATCCAATCCAATCCAATCCATGCAATGCAATGTTGATTACTGAATGTTCAGCTTCACATGTCAAGATTGATTGACATTGGGGGTTTCCCAATCTTTTCACAAGCGGTCAACAACAATAACACGGCGCGCACGCAATCCATTATCTTTGTTGGGGATTGAGAAGACGGGAGAGAAACTGCTAAACCCTTTCAGACTCGGCCCAGAGACTGCTACTATCCCGAATGAGATGCCGTGCGCAGGACAAGCAACAGCACCAAAAGCTGACGGCGATGCTAGACTAGAGCTGAAAGACAACCGGAGTCGGTCCTTGTCTAGGTTTTCCCCCTCGGTTATGAAACCCGAGTCCCAACCACCGGTAACGCTAAAAGTCGAACTTGCAAAATGAATGCGCGTGCGTGCGTGCGTGTGTTTTCTCCCCCTTGATCTCAAAAAGTAAGAAAAAAAACTTCCGTGTCTGCGGGAGGATCTGAGGGGTGTGTGTCCTTTCTCGTTCTGCCTAGGATTGCTTTTTTTTTCCTTTTCCTTTCCCCGGGACCTGGGATTGGGATTTGCTGGGGTCCGGGTTAATTAACGGGGTGAAAAAGCTTTTGGGTTGCAGACAAGCCACGGGTGAACATTCAAGACGTGGTTGATGAAATTTTGGCATATGATGATGGTCAACCTACACTAGCATATGAAAATTCTATGTATGATGATTTTGAGAGGCAACCTCAACGTCCCATTCTCGTATCCAAGCTGAAGAATTGACTCTTTTTGAAAATTCATCAGTGAGGGGAAGCTCATTGAGCAATTGAGCCTGTTCAATGACTCTTCTCCTCCAAAAGCCCAGACTCGAACTAAATCTTGACCATTGCGGCGTCTTCTACTGGGTCTCGATGATGGGAATTGTGGAAGAGTAACTCAGATCCCAAGATTGCGGAGCCGCAGTGAGCACGAGGGGGTGGCAGATTTTTCATGTCACACAAAGGCGTGCACACCCCTTGTTCCTCATATTCTGGGGCCGAACACCTTTAACCACGGCATTCAATTCTGGTTCACGGCGAATTCAAAGACATTGACCATTGAAGCTGGAGTTCAATTGTGCCGTGTCCGTTGCCGTGCCTCATCTTTATGCACTCCTGATTGTGCACATCACATTTTTCAAGACTCAACACACACGGGCTGTGACTGCCTGGGGTGGGTACGGACAAAGGCAGAAGAGACAACGACGCCTCTCCCGTTCTGGATTTTCCGGGGAAGCCATCCTCAGTCGGTGTGTGTGTGTGTGAGTAAGAAGTATGTGCCTGAGCTCAGACCTTGAAAGCAGGCCCTTGTACGGATAGTTATTATCCTATAGAATTAAGAGCGTCAACTGCGCCTCTCAGAAATCATTTTTTTTATTTTATTTTTCAATTTGTACCCAAAAGCTTTGACTTTGAATCTCCTCAATGTGGAAACATGATAATCGCTCCCCCTCACCTCAGAACTCATCCGTGTGAGCTTTTTACCTTGTCTTGTCTCCGCTGAGGCAAAATAAAAACCACAGGTCACACGGCGTCATTTCTTAGAAGAGAGGGGGGACAGCCACAAGCTTTTTTGCCCTGCCCTGCCGAAGCTCCCCGGTTTTGCTTTTTTTTTTCTGCGCTTTTTGCTTGGTGTGTGGTTCGGATCGAGAAAACGACGCTAAACCGGGGGAGAGGGGGTGTGAGTCTTTTGTGGCTTGGGGGATTCGTTGCTTCTTTTCTTTGTGGCGTTTTTTTTCCCTCTGTGTCTTTTCTGACTCAGAGCCTCTTCTTCTTCTCTCTCGTGCGGCTAGCGGCTAAAAAGAGAGACAGACAGCACCGCCGGCTAAATTGAGGGACATGTTCGGGCGGTGAATGGAGTAGAAAAGTCATTTTGCCGGCATGGTTTCTTACTAAGGCATAGCCCACAGAGGCATTAATTGATGGAGTTTCTTGGGGTGAGAGAGTCAAGAGGCAATTCGGGAATAAACAAAAGCTTCCAAATCACACGCGCGCAATTACCGATCGGGCTTTTCGGAGAAAGGTCCCTGCATTTGCGTCCAACTGATGTTCCCCTTGTGATTTGCCTCTGCCTCTCAGAATGTGGAACCCGACCCGATCCCATGAGAGCTGTTGGAAATTCTGAAAGTCATGAGTCCTCGAAATATGCAAGCCTAGACTTTCCGATTTTCTACCCCAACTGACCGACATCTCAACTATTACGTGACGTGACGCCCTCCGTCACTATCCGCTCGTCCCTTGGGACTCTACTACTCAGCGGTCCGGCCCCCGAATCCCTACCTAGGCTTATTCATTCTCATGCACTTTCTCAAGTATACATGTATACCTCGGGTCATGTCGGAACTTGCCCGTTCAACTCGTCGGCGGAGTGGGGCCTCCGGACTATTCTCCGCGTTTTCGCCTGTACAACACCGAGGTTCGGGGTCCGCCCGCTTTCGGAAATCTGGGGTTAATGGCCGCAAGCCTGCGCTGGCCATAAGATTTCCGGAGGAGGAGGGAGGGTGTGCAGAAGAGAAGAGAAGGTCAAATGCTTGGTCAAGGGCTCGAAATGCAACCAGGGTCTAAGCTACTGCGTATTCTTTTTTTCCCCCATGGTAGCTGCGGCAAATGCATACTTGACCGTCTTTGACGTCTGCGCGATATCTACAGCATCCATGTGGTGCAACCGTCCATCTTTCACCGCTTCATTCATGACACCTGGTCCCTGAGCACGGGTACAGACAGACAAACAGTCAGGCAAAACCTTCACCTACAGTTTTGATCAATATGCATCCAAACCCCCAAAGCCGTCACTGATCTACAGGCCCCAAGTCACTCGTCCCCTTGGGGGCATCGACGGAATGGGGACAGATCTAGAGCCGCCAGCATAGCTGACATCAGAGGGTGGCCCGCGAGGCTGGCGGGCCCTGTGACCTGATCAACCTTTTTGCAGCCCAGGGTCGGGCGGAGTGCTGTAGAAAAGAAGCTTTGGCCCTGAGGAATTTCCTCGTGGCCTTGGCTATGACATCTGCCTGCATGAGTCGCGCGTTTAGACTCAAGGTTGGGAAAAAAAGGGGTCCGTCATTTCTCCCGCGCGTTTGGCATTCCGTGCCTGATAAAATCCAATTAATTAATTAATTGAAAAATCAAGACGAATAAAAAAAATATTTCAAAAACCTGCTTTCTTGTTCGCTTTGAATAAGCTCTGGAGCTACCGGAACCGTCCCCCGGCCGGGGTTGATGCTGGGGTTCAAGCGCCTAGCGGAACCGCTTCCACGGGGAAGAAAAGGACGAGCAAGTTACGGAGCTGCGGAAACAAGACGACGAAGATGGCCCGGAGCAGCTTCTTTTGTGCTGACGACGCGATGTCATGTTGATGTACGGGTTAATTAACGGAAAGATGCCGTTCAAGGCCGAGATGCGCATCCCGACATTGTTACGATGCCTTTCCCCATGTCCGTGGCTTGTCTTCGTTAGCTGTCAATTTTGACATCTGCCACCGTAACATCAAAATCACCGTCGTCCAAACGGTCAAGGTGGTATCGACATTGACTGACAGTTGCCCGAATAGGAATCACCTCGTCGACATTGATTCTTGGTGTGAAAGAAATAGGCCACGAGACAGTTGCATCCGGCAGTTGATCAAAAAATTCAACGTCACAACCATCTGCAAGGTGTGCCTGTCAATCGTCATAATCCCCTTGATTGTCTCTTGATGTCTATGAATCGCCTTTGAGCCGTCAATCGAGGCTCGACATCGAGATCCGGGGTTGATGTGTCCAAGTGGGCTACGTCATAATCCGGGGTTTCTTGTGTGTGTGTGTGTGTCTCGCGCGCAACCATCCCCCGGAATTTCCAATTTCGGTCGCCCAATCCCCGGATCCGCACCGCAGGGCAGCGCATCACGCGCCGCGCCTGGGCTGAGCGTTCAATGAAAAGACGCCCTGGGTTTATTGCGGGCGGAATGCGTTGTTTCGACTGACGAGACCGTCTTGTGGTGTTGCGGTTATGGCTGTTCTCGTATCTTTTTCTGCCGTCTGTTGTCTCTAGTGTTGCCATAATCAACTATTGTGGAAATAGTCACCACCCCCATCTCCGACTCTGTTGTTTTCCCCTCGTCGCCGCTGTCGGAGCGATGTAGGTACCAAAGTACAGGTGATCTCTTTTCTTCAAAGTTGGGGGCACACACCAAAATCTCTCTGGTGGTGTGAACCTCCAGCCTGACCAATCACCACCCGCCAGATACTAACCTTCTAGAAGTCTTCTCCCGCACGTGGGGCAGCAACTCACACGCTGTCAATTCTTGATGATCACGCGTGAGTCTTGTGTCTGCGTCAAATGCGGTACGTAATTGTTTTGTTGTTCGTTGAGGGGGAAACTTGAGGCTAGATAACAACCATTAACTCAAGAAAGCGCGATATTTTGCCCATGTCGGTCCGCTTCAAGAGATGGATGCCACTTTCGGTCGAGCCGTCCCCGTGCGGTACTTCCTGACAAGGAAATTAAAATATTTCCAAGAGATAAATCATTAAATGTTTTATCTCCTCCAACAGCTAAAAAGTGGGGAAGGACTTGTCACCTCCATTTCCAAGATGAATGCTCCATTGGAAATATCTCCCCTGCAATCAAATCAAGTCAATCAGCCTTGCAAACTCAAATTATTCCAAGAGGAACCGCCGTTGGGCAGCAAAACTGTTATTCATCAGACCCGCTGGCCCATGAAGAACCCAGACAGATTAAGCCCGCGACATGTCGAAACCCCGCCGACCCAGATCAGATCCATAACATTCCATTCCAACGTCTCCGCTGATAACAGTCAATCACTCACTCACATCAATCGCATCAGTCATCTCCGTGAGTGTTCCCGGCCACTCTGCGGCCCTGCTCGGTCCCTCTCGCCTGGACCCTTGCAATTCCTTGTCGGTCCGTGTCGGTTCAATTGCGTACCGAGTCCCACGGCATGCGACACGCTCGGTGTTGATTGGAGCCGAGTCTTTGCCCACGGTTTCGCGCTATTTTCTCTCAACGTCCCAACACGTGAAATCCGCGTGGCTGCCATTGCGGTAGGGCTCACGGGAGGCCTGTGTCTCGGGGCACCACGAGGAGGCAAAGGCTGTCGGTCCGGGAAGTATTGTAATGTTCGGCGCCTCTGTGGGCATCCCCCGAGCCTCTGTGGACATCCCCCGACAGCCCCCGGCGGCATCACCGACTGGAGAGCTTCATCAAGTCGACAAACGACTCAGTTGAAACTGGTTTATTGTGGCTGACGTTCATGGTCATTTCCTTTGAATCTCCTTCGCCCGCTTCAAAGCTTGGTGGTGCGTCAAAACCTGCCTATCCTGGCGACGGCGACGGCAACTCGTTCGGGAACCTTGTTCAAACTCTCCAACTAGCGCTGAACAACGAGCAATGTCCCTTTTCATGACTCTCGCGGTATCTCAGGTACCGTCCTTGAACGCCACGTGGAAGACTCCCCCGCAGACACGAGCAACTGACTTTCTGTTGTTGCCTTTTCCGTGCGGTTTTGCCGAAACATCTTCACGTCGGTAGTTGAGGACGGCCCGGCCAACCAGATCCTGATCAAGAGTCTATCTTAGTGCTGAGCTTGGTATTCTTTGAATTCCGTATTCATGCATAGGTGTAGAGTGTAAACGACTCTTGAGTGTCTAGTTGTCAACGGCCAGTAGCAAAAAGAAACATACAACACCCGGCATTCGCCAGTCGTCACCGACCTGACTACTACTCGGGCGCTCTTCAGTTTATCGATGGGAGAGCGGACGGGATCCCGAGCTGTCTAAAGGCTGTGGTCGTATGTACTTGGCATGAGATCAAACCGCATCATAGGGATGTTGGATGGTTGCGTGAGCCGGGCCGTAACGACGAGACCTCGATTCTCTGGTGGATGCCTGCAGTAGTCAGTCCGTCTCTAAACGGGCGTCTTTGATGGACAGCTGTGCCTAGTTGCAGCCCAACCTACAGACAACCTGGTGTATTTGGTGTTTCCATCACCAGTTCAACTTGACTGCGCCCCCTTGCCTGAGCAGCCAACCCCAGACATCGACCCATTTACCCCAGGTTTATCAGGCACGGGAACTGCAGCTGGTGGCATAAGACCTGGCATCATGCTATGTCAACTATGGCAGCTATGACCAGCTATGACCAACTGTGGTCAGCCTCTTGATCGCTGTTCTTAACACGTCATATTCTGTCGAATGTTTGACTCTTGGCCTGGGGTAGCATCCACCCCCAAATTCGTCCGATTTCCCCAATGTCCCAGACGGGCGGTTCTGGGCGACAGCAGGACCCCGGTCCGGGGAAGAGTCCTGGGGGTCACCCGACGGAGAAACAGTGCCGTGTCAAAGGAGTGAAAGGACCCTGATCGGATCAGAGGGCCGCAACTGGACGGACCGCCGAGTCCAGCTTCTAGATTCGGTCGGAAATCACAACATGTGATGGCGAAGGAGGAGGAGGCCTTGTGATGCGGAGAAGCCTGAACCTGGCCATCTCACTGCTGCGGGTGAATCGAGCGTCGGATCCGCGATCCTGGGGACCAAGAGGGAGGGTGCGTTGAAACGTCGTCCCTGGCGTCTGCGTCTGCCCATGTGAAGGATCGATCCGCGGCCCGTCTTGAGGGAGGGGGTGATGTTGACAACCAAGGGTGAGATGGATGTCGATGAAAGGCCGAGTGGCAGCCGAGGAGTTGACGGCAGGACATGTCTCTGACCTCCACGTGATGCCGGTTTCAGACGTCAGCATCATCCAGATGAGCTGTCTAGGTTCCCAGGTAAGAAGATTTTGAGTTGATCTTGGTCAGACTAGGAGGCTATGAAGACTTATACGGCAATGTCTTTTGAGAAGGGTGGGTGTAGATGCAACACCCCCGTTCTCACTGATTGCCAAGCTGCTGCAACCCATTTCGTGTCTCAGCTGCCGATTTCTCGGAAACTCGATTGCTGTAGTTGGTTATAAAGTGCGAGGAAATTGTTGATTAATCCAATGAGACCGATAGGCCGTATGGTGGCGCTGAAACTCCCGTATTGAAAGTCTGCCATCGTCAATTACATCATGGATGGGTTTGTATATGCCACGTAATTGATGACCATGGCAGTTACACTTGAACCTCAATGCTTCGGGAGTGTCGATAATCGTCTCAACAATATGGCATCTAGCTCTGAGCACATGAAAGCTGATGACCTTGCCAAGTTGACGGGGCTTCCGAGTCGGACCAGGTCGAAATATGTGTCAGAACTGATCAGAGGTTTGACGAGAATTGGGAGAATAACCAAGGGGAATAGTGCGAAGAGTGAAGAAGAGAAGTGCGCAGGTCGGAGGTCGTCGTGGGAGTTGCTGGTACGGACTTGAAGGCATGGTTCTAATTAGGTGCAGGGGGTTACCGAGTGACTGAGAAGATGAGCTGTAATTTCGAGTTGAACAAGAGAACAAGCCGCATACTATCATTACTGCCAGCTTCAATTTAAGGCTATCGACAAGCTCCAAAATCATGCCTGGTGCGCCGCTATCGGCGACAGTGATTCACGGCCTCGCGTGTGAAGCTATTCGGAAATCCTTAGGATGATACACCCTAAGTTTACCTAAGACTCTTTGTTTACATAACAAACAGCTCAGGCACACAGGCCATCATCCAGAATATTCCATCGCGCACATTTGTTGTTTTTCTGCATCTGCACAAACATTGCAAACTTCGATTCTCTTCATCTGCACCACCTTCGCGACTCGTCGGCCCCCGTGCTCAAGATGACGATGAACAACGCCTTTGGGACCCCCTCGTCCTTCAGCACCCCCTCTCAGCGTGAGAGAGATCTCGCCGATGAGCTCAAGGGCGCAAAGGAGGAGATCCAGGCCAAGAATCAACGTGAGCTAGAGCTTCTTTCTCAGCTCCTGGAGGCCAAGACTTGTCTCCTTCAGACTTCGCAGCAGCGAGAGCAGCGCCTCACAACCCAGTTCCAAAAGGTCAAGGCCGACCTCGAGACTACTCAGCAGCACGAAAAGACTCTTACCGCCCAGTTGGAGAAGTGGAAGTCTGACTGTGAAAAAGCCCAGACGCGCGAGAAGGATACAGCCACGCAGGTTCAGTTGCTCAAGAAGACCCTCGACGCAACGAGGGAGCGTGAGGGGCTCGCCAACGCGGACCTGGCCAAGATCAAGGCGGAACTCGGACTTTCCAAGACCCGTGAGAAGAACCTCAACATCGAGATTGAACAGCTCAAGCAGGACCTGGAGGCAAACAACGGACAGGCCCAGACTCCTGGCTTCAAGCGGGCTAGGACGGATTCATGGGGACCTCCAGCCCACACCCCAACGTCTTCGAAGAGGGGAGGAAGAGGAGGTGCTCACGGTCAATTCAGAACCCAGTGATCGACCGACTCTGGCGTTCTTCTCTCGATTTTCTCAGGAGTATGGCGCAGGGCAACCCAGAAAAGGCACACATATGTTGAACTTTGGAAGAATAAGGGCATGGCATGGTAAATCATCAGGAATTGGCGAACCAAGCGAAAGCCAGATGTGGTTTTTAAATGTGTGAGAATATGAGGGACCGGGAGATGGCAGAGAACTGGCCAAGTTGGGAGATTTGATGTCACACATCATGTAATGTACAAGGAATTTGAAGGTCGATTTGCCCTCCCACTCTGAAGTTGTCGCGTATTGGACTGATACAAGCCCCTATTCTGTGAATGCCTGTTGAAAGGATCTAGCTGAACCCTAACCCAGCCCACTCAAGACGACCACAGGCAGAGAACTCAGGTGCAACACACCAGCCCAGGTGATGGGATCCGACAAGATGGCACGGAAGTTCTTGAACCCAACGCTGACCTCCCGGCTTCCTGCTTCAAAGGAAAGGTACTTCTTGACCAGCATTGACTGAAGGATGCACATAAAGACAAAGATAAAGATGGCAGGATTCCATTTCTTCGTCTTTCGGACTTTGGTGACAACCTCGCATGGCTTCTTGATTGTGACTGCGCTTCTCGAGGCAAGACTTGCGAATACGGTGCCCCCAAGAAGAAGAGAGTTGGAAGCAACATCGGTCCAGGAGGCTTCAGGTCGGATGTGACGTGCCGCAACGAGAAATGCAACGACAAAGTGATCCACAGCTATGCGTGCCATGGTAAACAGCGCCCTAGCAGTCTGCTGTGAGGATTTGCAGCTGATAGGGATAGTGTTTGAGCAAACTCGCAGTTGGTTCACGGCGCAGGCCGCTACAGCTAACCGCCCAGCCTCTGAGACGGTCAAGATGTTGAAAACCAAGAGGGCTAGGGCCACGAGAAAGGTTGTGATATTCTCGCACATCACCTGCAGATGCCTCTTTGCTGGAGTTTCGTCAAGGTACAGCTTCTCGCCTGATGCTGCAACAGCATCCTTGGCCGAGTAATAGTGTGCCAATCTTGCAAAGGCCTGGAATAGGGGCAAGCTGACCCCCATTGACGAGAGGATTGTCTCTCGATCAACATAATCAGTCAACTTGGTGATTCTGTGAGCCCAGAGCCCCGCCAAAAGTATCCCAACCTGGAGATACTGACTTCCCCACGGAGTTGATCTCGATGAACCGTAGGGAAGCGCTATCCCTGTGATAATGGCGCCTGTGAGACCGATTGCCGCGGCCACCAATCCGTTGATCGATATGAGGCCTATCTCTGAAGCTCTCAGAGGCCGATCAAGGTACAACCCGTAGAGAAACAAGGCCGAGAGAAGTGTAACGCCGCAAGCAGCTCCAAGCATCGTATGCGCCACAGGCACCATGAACCGGCAGAAGTAGGTGACCCTGTATTGCACTAGATGAACTCGAATGACCCCTAACCATTTCAAGTTGCGAAATGCGCTATAAAGCGAGTAGAAGCCGAAAAGCATCACCGCCAGCACCCAAACCCAGTCAGCAAGGTTGAACGGGTCTGTGAGAACATGCGTAACAGTGTAGAAAGCACATCCCACCCGGCAAAAGATGAGGATTGATGTTGATGCCAAAGACACGCAAAACATCAGCCTGGACGTATGTGGATGATAGCCAATGGTCTTGAGAATCATCACCGATCCTGGCCCAATGTCGCCTACCAGAGAGGCAAAGTATATGTATAGCGGCTTGATCTGATGGACCGGCGGCGATATGAGGATGTTCGATGTGGCGGCAAGGCATAACAGGTGGTGAACGAAGAGCTCGGGGGAGAAGAGTCGGGCAACGGGTAGCTCGTTGGACCATACAACAAGCTGCGAGACAACGCAGATCTGGCCAGATGTGCTCAGGGGCTGGTAAACTCCCCAAGTTGTCGTATGTATTGCCTGTACACAGGCCGGTAACGAGACAAAGAGGCCAATGATCATCCGAACGATCATGATCAGATATGGATTGAGCTTCCGTACAATGTCTTCGCGCTCGAGTCGTTTATACACGTCGGGTGCCCATTTGCGGAGTAGGTAGTCAACAACAACAAAGACATGCCAGTATGCAACGCTGGACATGCAGAAGCAGCACAATATGACTGGGCCGCTCAAGTGTTCCATCGAGGCGGCATTCGATGCGATGTTGTCTTTATGTGCAAAGTCCATTCTCTCGTGATACAGCTGGCGTTTTGGCCTGTCCTCAACTCAGAATTAGCTTTCGCTTGTAATTCATCATCGGGCCTGTCCTGCATGAAGCCCGGTACGTATGTCCTATAAACTCTGTGAACTGCCCACACATGTTCGCGGGGCTTCCCCTTTGTCGTCAACATCGTAAATATGGTACCCAAGGAACATGATGACTCTGCTGGAGCAGTTCCGGTGGTCGTCCAGACCCTTCAGGTCAACAACCTCAGGAAGGTGGGCATCCTGGTGGTGATGAACACAGTCGCCCTTGTTCAAGCATTTGACGCAACGTGCATCTGCGTCACTCTTCCAGTAAGTCCCTCCGTCGTTTCTGAGCCACTTCTCACCTTATTAGGCCCTCGCAAAAGAACTCGATGCCTCCTTTTCCGAAAGTCTGAGCATGGGCTCAGTGTTTCTCCTCGCAACAGCCATATCCCAACCCATCTTTGCCGAACTCGCCCACGTCATCGGTCGAAGACCAGCATACATTGCCTCCCTAACCATCTTCATATCGGGGACGATTCTATGCGGCGCAGCTCGAAACAGTCTGATGCTCCTGGCAGGCCGGGCAGTACAGGGAATTGGCTCTGGAGGGCCACAAGCATTGTCAGGCATGATATTGGCTGACCTCTTCCCGATCCGCGAACGATCTCGATGGGTGGCGTATCAGAATGTGTCATGGGCTCTTGGAACAATTGCTGGGCCCCTTGTTGGAGGTGCCTTTGTTGACAATGTGGATTCGAACTGGGTAGGTTTATGAAATCGCGGGAATCAACATGCTAACAACAGCAGAGATGGATCTTTTGGTGCACCCTTCCTTTCCTCGGCGGCAGCTTCGTTGGCTGCATCTTCATGCTCGGGTACGACAGCCACCAGCGTAATTGGCGACTCATCAAGGATCTCGACTGGATCGGTATCCTTTTGTTTGCAATATCCTCGGTTTCTATCCTCCTGCCGTTGACCTGGGGCGGTTCCCGGTTCCCATGGAAATCGGCTCAAGTTCTCGTTCCCATTGGGGTCTCGATCGTCAGCTTTGTGGCTTTAGGGGCATATGAGAGGGTAGCAAAGAAGCCCATGTTCCGGCAAAGCCTATTTCGAAACCGTTCAACCATCTTGCAGTTCATCAACGCCATGATTCATGGCATCATCATGTGGATGGTCTTGTACTATCTTGCCGTCTTCTTCCTTGGTGTCAAAGGCAAGTCGCCTCTGATGACCGGGGTATGGGCCCTTCCTGCGACTGTGACCGTCGCGCCGGTGGCTGCCGTCGTGGGAATAGTTGCATACAAGACGGGCCAATATCAAGGCTTCATGATAGGTGGCTGGGGCCTTCTCGTCGCCATCCTTGGCGCCATGACTGTCCTAGACCAAGACACAACAACCCATACCACCCTCATAATTATCCTATTGCTAGGGATAGCAATGGGCTTGCTGATCCCAGTCATGTCGATCGGTGTTCAGGCCACAGTCGAGGAGGGTGATGTTGGGCATGCCATTAGCATGATATATGCCCTACGAACTATGGGTCAGTGCCTCGGTATTGCCATAGGGATCACCGTCTTTTCCAGCCAGCTAAAGACGGAGCTGAAGAGCATGAACCAGGACACGGATCACGCCAACAACGCCATGAAACTTATCAAGGTCTCCATCGAGCAGGGGGGATTCGGCCACGAGAGAATGACTGAGGCCGTTGTCATGGCTCTGAAGCATCTCTGGGCGACAGGGAGTGCATTGGCCGGCCTGGCATTCATCCTGGGACTCTTTGCAAGATGTCCTAAGCTTCCAAAGAACCCAGAGAATCACGTTGAGCAATCCACTGGATTCCCTGCAACCCCGATAGGCCGAGTCTGTGCAGTTTTGATAACCAGGGATATTCGCAGCCGGAGCCAAGTTTGAACCCGAGAGAGTATACGAGTATCTTCGGGCAGGCTGGCCGACTTCTCCGACGTGTATCTGGTTTAGCTCAGCAACTAGCTAAGCTTCGACGTCCCGAGCTCACGGAAATCACACCTTCTGTTGGAGCCCAAGGGAGGCCGGGATCATTTTCAAATGTGTCGATCGAAAGTACCGAGGGCCTGTAGCATGCATGCTCATTAGAAAGGAAATCACGTCCCTTGACACGGAACCAACAACTCCGGCGTTCCGAACCCAACAGCTGGGTCGGAACCCTGGATGTCACCTCGCTCCTCACTTTACCGAGCGACGAGATAGAGGAGATCCAATCACGGTATCAGGTGAACCCCGGAGAATTCGCCAATTCGTAAGTGCCAGGCAGCAATAACAGCCCGCGGTCATCGGGTTTGGCTCCGACAGCGGGGGTCATGGGTGCGACGTTTGGGTTGTGAATCGGACCAGGGAGGCGAGGAGGATTGGGGGTCCTGGTAATGCCAGGGTAATGATTCAGTCGGGGTTGATTATTTGTTTGATTTTTGAATTGATTATTATTTGACGGTAGCAGGAAACGGTCGGCTATGTGGTTGGCTGTGGCTTTCTTGTTTCTGCACGTCGTACACCGTTGTGGACAGTTGGTGTTGAGGTTGTTGGGCGATGCGACAACAACAATAGACAGAGCTGACATTCGATTTTATCAGCTTGGCTTCGCAAGCACACTGTAGCGACTTGATTCCCTTTATTCCATCGTCAAGTACGAAAGCAGCCACCGTTTTGGCTTCATCAGGCCACCGTTAGCATCGCTTAAAGAAAAAAGATAAAATACCATAATAATTAAACGAGAAATGCTGGGCATCAACCCACGGCTACCTTGCTGGGCGGGCAATTTCATGGCTTCTAGAAGACACCCATGACCCAGCCACGTCAAGGGTTGCCCGGCGCCGGAAGACCCTCCGCGGGCTGGCTCGAGTCAAGCATTGGGGCTTTCATTTGGCAACCATTGGCGCAACCAGGGAATCAGATGAATCGAGTTGATGGGGGTCATGGCGCGCACGTGTGAGGGTGTTTGGATGCCGGGGCGGCCGTGGCAGCGGGGAGCACCATCGAGATGCTAAAAGGTTGACCGAGCGGATGCCTCCTTGGGCTTTGGAGTCTTTTAGTGCGACGTTTGCGATGTGAGATGGGATGCAAGGTCAATGATTGTACAGAGTACTTGGTGTTGGAGTTGAAGTTGGGGCGTGAAACTGAAGCAGGTGCGAACGGGAGGCGTTCCTACTGATCCAATGTCAAGTCCAGAGGCATGTACCGCGTCGTTCCTTCCAGAGGCGTCAATCAACCATCGCATCTTGCACCAACGCTCTGACTCAAAGTATCCTCCTACACATCAAATCAACCAGTTTCATGATATCGTCCGAGGCTTATTGAGCCCTTAATTCACCACTCAAAAGGTCCCGGATCTCATCCGCGTCCAGCCACAGAAGCCGACAAGGTCCCGTGATGGCGGGTGACGGTCCGTGGCGCGTCCGCCCGCACAGCAAGACGCCTCGTCAGGGCCTAAACGCACCTTGAACCATTCAGCATTCAACTAGGCGCGCTAGCCAAACGTCACGTTGTCTCTCGGGCTGTCAAACTTGGCTGACAATGCATTGGCAGCTGAAGTTGCGGGTATTGTTGCATCGCCTTGAGATACTTGTACCGCAGCATCGCGAGTGTCGACTGGAGCCGATGACGACAATGCCCAAATGTGGCATCATCTCGAGCGGGGGAAATGGACCCTCTGTCGATTCTCACACTTGTCAGAAATACCCTCAAACGGCCAGAGAGGTCCGGTGACGCTTGACAAGGTGTGCCCATGGCAGACGGCTGTGGGGTAAGTTGGTACGCCATGGCATTGGTCGTCGATTCGAGCCTGTTTAATTACTCGGTTCACTCCTGGAGATGGCCTCAATAGGTACGTATGTCTGCCCATGTCACGTCAAGGCGAGTGCGAGGGGTCAACCTGTTTGTAAAGAATTGCAGCAGTCTGAGCTGACGATGGCCTCGCTAGACAATAAACCGCTGATCACCACCGTACCTGCATTATGCACGATGCCGAGTCTACGAGGCCCGAGATGGTCTGCCTGTTACTTGATTGCGGCCAACAGCTTGACGAGACGGGACCTTCAAGCGCGAGCCCGCCATGATTCCAGAAACAACGCTTTGACAATCTCGTTATCTAGTATCTCGTCCCTCATCTCACCACATCCCACGCACGTCTCAGCCCCCAACCATACCGAAATCATCCCGCGCGGGAAGTCCCTGCTCGGCGGCCATTCCTGATAGATCAATCGGCAATGTCAACGGCTGGTCATGGCGTTTCTTCGGTCCTCTGCCTCGTACGTTGGAGATGTGCCATCTGTCAACCGACATGTTCGTGCAGAGCCTTGAAGTCCGGAATCGGCTCCGCATGGCACGAGAGCTGCAAGAAATCTGCGCGACGTGTTGGCCATCGACATTTACTCTTTAAGGGTCACTCAAGATCGGGGTCAAGCCGGATCCGCAGCTGGGAATCCCTTGATCCCTTGATGCATCGTGTACCTGTGCTCTCTGGTTCCGCTCATTCCTCTTTCGTGTATGATCCCTGATAGATACCAACATGACCCTCGGTCAGCTCAATCATCACGCCAGTTTATCGTCACTGATCCTTCAGCTGGCCTGCAAAACCCCAGAGCCAAGACGAACCCAGCATCGCTGTCTTCTCCGCATCAGATCACGCTGCGGAGTGCCTCTGTCGTTCCGCGGTATTTGATTCTGGGCTTGAACTAGATGTATCTTGACAGCGGTCAATTACCTATGGCTTGACTGGAGTCACCATACCGTCAATATTAACGTCGATATTACCGATAAATAGAATTAATCAACATTTAATGATTAATTTATCAATTTCCTCTTTCCGCCAACCTTTGTCAGTCGATTGACCCCAACACAACTACCGCCTCCCAACGCACCAATCTCCAACAAATCACCACAACTGCTGTCACTCACCACACAAACGCCCTGTCGCACAATGTGGCACTCCATTACGACGCATTCAAATCACATTTCATCTACAGCGAGGGGTTGACGAGAATAGAACAAAGGTGCACAAGAATGGCTGTGTGGCCCCCACTCTCTTTGTATCTCGACGTTTCACATGCGCGAGATTTGCAAAAGGTGTGTCCATGATATTGCGAAACGGTGACTATCTTACAGATACAGTTGTTTACTGGTGGGCGCTGGCGGTTGGTAACCGCTGGCTGGTCATGCGGCAATGTGATTAGCCAGCCAGCCTAGCTGAGGTTGCCAAGCTGACAGCGACATCGGATATCAGCCTCAGTGTTGCGTTGCGTTGCAGATCACTTCACTAGGGCTTTGTATCTTTTGCAGAACCTCCAATCCTCTTGTGCTTTCTCGGGTCCTTTCGACTCATGGTCCTTTGGTCCCTGGTTCCCCTTCCACCCTCCCAGAACCCCTTGCCTTTTCTTCCAATGACACTCCTTCCGCAGAAGCCGCAGGCCTCGACGGAGTAGTTTTGTTCACGGCTACACCACCCACAGATCATCCGGTTCGCCCATTCGTTGATATGATCAGACTCCTTGTCATGGCAACGATCACAAGGGAAAACACGGCTGCAGCACGAGAAGCGGAACCACCGGTACGACTTGCGGTAGTGCGGGCATGCTCCCCGGCCGGGCAACGGATCTCCTGCGTGCAAGCCAAGCTTCTCCTGTTTCCGGCGCGGACCTGTGGCCGGCGGGGGAAGGGAGCCGGGTGTGATGAAGAGGAACTTGACTTCGGGAATCTTGAAGGTGAAGTGACCGTGACAGTCCCGGCAGACGTTTGTTACCGTCGAACCTCTGACCGAGACGAGGCCGGAGCTAGGTGTCGAACATCTTGCGCAAGTTGGGATAAAGGTGCTTGGTAGCATATCTGCCACCTTGCAGCCGGCAAGATCAAGGAAGCCTGCCCTAGACGAATGCTCGTGAACCAGCGTAGGCCGGAACTTGACGGCAAACGGAGTGGCACACTTTTTGCAGCTCGACGTCTTTTCAACATCAGGCTTTAGGCCCGAGACCTCGTTGACCGTTCTGCATCGATCACACTTGACGGTGATGCCCAGGATCGAAATCTGCAGAATCTCGATATTGTGCAGTTCGATGGAGGGAAACGAAACCATGGTACCGCGCTCGGGGGTTTCACCCGGCACGGGAGGGTGCTCCTCCTCCAGAGAGACGCCACCGTCGCCGGCATTATCAGAATCAGAGCTCTCCTCCGAATCTTCTCCATAGGCGTAACTCCACTCGGGAGGTCGAGGGATGACCTGGATGTGGCTGGTGTCTGTTTTTGAGTCGGCCTCCTCTGCATCGTTTTGAGCTTGGGGTGCCGATTGAGCTGCCTCAGCCTTGAGTGCTTCAGCTTGAGCCTCAGCTTGAGCCTGAGCTTGGGCTTGTGCCTGGGCCTGTTTGGCGAGCTTGTAAAGGTTTTGTGCGAGGTAATTAATATGGCTCATAAGAGTCATCTGAGGTTTGGCCGCCGCAGTTTCGCAGAAGAGGTCCTCCACCGGCTCTGCGTCCTCGGACTCAACATTATTGAGTTGGATGCGGAGGTTCTGCAGGGGATAGAGTATTGGGATAATCAAGTGAAGACTTCTGACAGACTGCAGCCCCGGTGGCAGTTCTGACCGCCTCTGTGGCTCAAGGGGAAGAGTATAGACGATACCATCAGGTGAGCGACGATACTCTTGTGTCCGCTTCATCCGCGCCTCAAGCTGTCGGACTTCTTGAGCCCTGCGCTCCTTGGCGGCGGCGATTTCATCTTTTGTGTAAGACGGTTCTGGAACATACGGTAGAGGCGCAGGCTTTGGTGCAGATTTTGCGGGCTGAACTGGTTCGGGCTCGGGCTCGGGCTCTGTCTTGGCCTCTTGTGCATCCAAATGTCTCATGTCTCTAAAGGTCACGAGCTTGACTGTCTCGGCCTTTTGCTCAGACAGGAACTTTTCCAGATTCTTGTCCAACTCGCGCGTGTGAGCTAGAAGAGTAGCCTGCGGTCTCTCCTCAACAAGCTTGTCCCATCCTCTCTCAATGTTGATACCGAAACCCCTGGGGATGTCCTTGTTCTTAACATACAACACCGGCATCTCATCCGGATACGCCTGCGGGATGCGGACATCACACTGGAGATGGGCCAGCTCAAAGGGAAAGTCGGGATCCGAGGGTTTGATGTTGAAGACGAGCGAAGTTGCGCCGTCCGGGGCGGTAGACTCTTTGGGAGAGTACCTCCGGCGGAGCTGCTCGATCTGATACGTCCTCGGGTCCTGGGCCTGCGACTCTGGCACGGGTTTGGGGACGACTCGAGATGAGGAGGCCTCAGCCACAGCCTGTTTACGGGACTGGGGTGATGCTTGGTTCTTTGTTGAGATCATGGTGGGTGTAAGAGCTGAAGTTGGTGGAGTGTTGGTGGTAATGGTAAAGGTGTTGGTGGAAGTGAGTGACTCGAAGAACCCAAACGCCGTGCAAACAGATTAATTTCGTGTCGAGAGAATTGAATGTGAAGCTCTGCCTATGAGTTGACGATGGAGGCGAGGCGAGTTGAATGTTTTATCGTCATGTTGAAGATGGTTAAAGTGGCGAGCTTCCCCACAGACCAAGCTCCAAGTTTCCTTACGTGATCAAACGAATTTGGCAATTGGGAGTGAGTGACTCACAGCGCGTCATTCCGCCTGCCAAATTTGAGATTTTGGAATGTTCGACTCATGGGAAATCATTTTTGAGTCAGGAGTTGTTTGATACTAGTAGATGAGTCAATGTATTAAAGGAGCTGTGGTTGGACTGTTCTGAGCTATGGCGAATCAGGTGTGTTGGTCAACTCACATCCGAGCTGAGATGCGAGTTGTATAGAATGAGTATCCAAGTTTTACAGTGTTCTTGTCAACTTGGGCAGTGTTGAATGATGTACAGTTGATACAGATCACTCAAGTTGCCCATTCGAAAGGAAGGGCAACGTCTGTAAATCCATCCCCTGAATGATGCGGCGCCGTTTCCTGACCGTTTCAAGAACCAACGGCGCACATACCAATAGTTCCATGCCAGATCTTCACAAGCAAGCAAACAAAGGCGTCTCCGTCCCCTTCAGGGGCAGATTGCGAAGTCCAAGAGGCTTGTGCTTATGCGTAGCCTGTCAGACAAGCTAGGCACGCGGGCAATCATGTCGAGACAAACGGAGAAACACAGATAGGCTGGGGTAAATGTTTGTTGTACTCGAGAGTGTGTCCTCCACAGGACATGAGTACAAGCACAAGCACAAGCACAAGCACAAGCACATTGTCGATCGAGTTTACGCGCGGTTTGCGTGCAGGGCAGTGTATTGTACCTACTTTGACTATGCTCGGCGACGGCGGCTTACAGTGCAGTGCAGCGGCAGTACTCGATGCACGAAGCCGCCGGGAAGCCGCCCGCCTGGGATCCATGACCCGTGAGGAAGAGGGTGGATGTGATTGGAGAGAGGTAAGGAGAGATGAGAGATGAGAAAACATGCCACCTTTCTTTGGGGGTGAGTCACGGGGGTGTTGTGCCTCGCGGGGCTGTGGCTGACAAGATCGACGGGAGTGTAGACAGGGTGTTTGACAGGGGGTGTAGATGTTGAGATCTATCACCAGTTTTTTTGATGACGAGAAAAGTGATGGGTGCCAAGGGTGACGACGATGCCCAAGTAGATATTGAAACAGGCTGAAAGCAATCACATTTGAATCACACGATGAGGAGACAATCAAAAGGAATGAGGACCTCTCGTTATAGATACAAACAATACGAGGCGGCGCTGTCGTGGCACCAGGGGAAAAGCCCATCAATCAAAACGTGATGTCCCTCTAAGAAAAGTAAAAATGTCGATTAATCGAATTGACAATATACAAACAATGAATGAAATGAGTGACAACTTGACAGCCCTGCAAGCCATGGTTGGGGTTAGGCCGCCACGTCTTGGAGCACAAAGAAAGCCATCTAGTGGGATGACACCCCCGAGGGATGGGGTTTCTTTGTATGATAGGATAGGAAGAATAAAGACGATTAATTCTCCTTTTTCTTTTTTTTCTAAAACAGGGACAAGATATTTTCTCGTGGTGGTGTGGGATCTATGCCAACTCAGCAAAAACCACGAGCAGATGACCTGCGGCCTCTGTTTCTGGCCGGCAGGTGCAATAGCACGGCCATTAAGACAAGAGGCCCTCTGTAAAAAGTAGTGGGCGGTGAGGCCCGGGAACCCGGTGCGGGTGCTTGCATCCCCGGCAGTGATGGATGCCAGATTAATTTAATCTGCAGAGATTATTTTATTATTATTTTATTCTTTATTTTTATTCCATCATTATTAATAATATTATTCGACGTTTTTCTTACCGTTGGACATATTCGGGGCTGAGGCTTTGGATGCCTTGTCCTAGTTTTACTGACCGCTACTACACCCACATTCTAACCTATCCACACATGAGCACGTATCTCGTCTCTATCAAATAATCTTTTGCAAATATCTCTCAACAATTAAATTCCATTTATTCTCTATTTATCCGATCAATTTATGCCATGCTGATACAGCACAGCATAGCACCAGATGCTCATGCATCTAGCATGCACGCCATCGTCGCCCGCATGGTTAAAAGGCGTTGACTCACTCACATGCTCCCCCCAGCCATTTTACTCTCATAAACGTCGGTGAGGATGCGTCTTTCAGCTGACGGGCCGTTTCCGGTGTTTGAGTGTGTGTGGCGAGGCTGCCTGCTTGCTGTTCGCCGAGTGATACTCAACGAGAGAAGACGGTGAAGGGTCAAATCTCATGCCCGTCGTCTTTTTATTTTTATTTTCTCTTCCTGGTCACGCCTCTCTCTCTTCAACGTCTTAGAGCTTAACAGCACAGCGAGTGTTGAAGCACAACTCAACACCATGATACCATTCCCCACGTCAACAGACCCCAAATCATCCGCCTCGATTGCCGTGCACTCTGATTGACCCAGTTGTCTCAGTTTCAGTCCCTGACCATTTCAGGGTCCGAGTACTTGTCTCTCACTAGATCCCATGATGGCAGACCGTCGGCCCATCGGGGCGTGGCTAAACCTCCTTCACAAGAAAAAATAAATTTGTAAAAAAAAGTCCATGTGAATACCCTCATCGCGTGAGGTCGCACGTCACCTCGGCTCCAACTTCCCTGTGCTGGTCCTTTCTGCCGGGGCCTTGACCCGTAAAAATCAGGGTCTTGATGCCCAAGATCTTGATTCTCACATGCAATGAGATCTGGCCATGTCATCACCGCCATCATCATGTCCGTGACTGCCGTGACTGCCATGATGAATACGTCAGCATCGCCCATGTCAACCGACAAAGATTCTTTTCACATTTTATCCATCAACACTTTATCCATAAGCATATCGTACCTTGACCGTCATAAACTCATCCCGAAACGGTTTATTCAAATACTCACACCTGATTGGCTATCGTATTCTTCGCTTCCTTTGCGTGCGTAGTAATTTCGCTTTCGTCGCATTCAGAGCCGCTGGCCGCGCAACTCCACACTCTGCCGTGGACATCGACCAACCAACGCCTTGTAATTCGCCGTCAGCTTGGGGATAGCCTCAGCCTTGGCGGCAGTTTGCTCGCTTTGAACCCGACAAGATGCGTGGCCTATGTAATGAACAGTGTATATAGAATCATGGCCATGGAGATGTAGTTACAGATCAATACCAGATCAGAATCCAATTCACAGATCAACCGTAACAATTTGATTCAACAAGCCTACCAAAATGGCCGACAAAGAGTCTATATGGATGTACAACCCATCCTTTGCCCTCGCCATCATCGGTACTATCGTATACAGCATCATCTTTCTTGTCATCTCCTACCTCACCCTCATCAAGTATCGAGCTTGGTTCTTCATTGTCGTTGTCATCGGCTCTGCCATTGAGGTCGCAGCCTATGTCCTTCGGGCATATTCAGCCAAGAACCAGTCCGAGATAGTGAGTTATCCATCCGTCTCTCTTCTCTTCTAACATCTTAGGGCCCCTTTGTTAATACCCTCACCTTTACCGTGCTCGCCCCCGTCTTCATTGCAGCCGGCAACTACCTCCTCATCAGCCGTCTCATCCTTGCCGTACTTCCTCCATCGCGCCACCGAATTCTCAAGATCCCGGGACGACGCCTCACACCCATCTTTGTCGCTTGTGATGTCGTCGCCTTTCTCGTCCAGGGCAGTGGGTCTGGCATCGCAAGTTCCGACAACTGGCAGGGTCAGATGGAAAAGATTGGCCGAAACATCCTCATTGGAGGTCTAGCATTCCAGCTCGTTGCCTTTTCTCTCTTCCTCTGCGTGTTTCGTCGGTTCCACGTCCTGGCGAATCGGATGGCTGTCGATGGTGCCCCTAACGGCTGGCAAAAGGTGGTGTTGGCGGTATATGTATCCAGCTGCCTGATCATGGTAAGTCGTCTGCACATCTGGCAAATCCCTGACAACATCCACTGACGGAAAAGGTCCGATGCATCTACCGGGTCTGTGAATTCGCCGAAGGAATGAACGGTTACGCGTTCCGAAACGAGTGGCTATTCTGGGTTTTTGAAAGCTTGCCCATGATCGGTGCCATTGGCATCTTTTGCATCTATCACCCAAGCCGCTATCTTGGAAGGGATGGTGCGCGTCGCAAAGCTGTTGGTTCTCAGGACAGTGTTGAATTCGTTGAGAGACGATGAGGGTGATCTGGTAGTAGTTCAAGTATCGTTATCCGATGGGAGTTTGGATCCCATAGATGGTGTTTTTTCTAGGAAGATAATAGGGAGGATGTTTCGACAGGAGCTTGGTCTGTATCTGAGTGCCTAAATAGAGTTAGCTGGGCTTGAGTCAGAATACATAAAGATAGACTTACCTTTCCACCAACGACAAAGTGTCCGTCTCGGACAGAGTCGCTGTTCCCCTGCTTAAGAGAAAGGGCTCCCAGACTTCAGCATCTTTATCAAACGAGTAGTTCAGGCTCTTGACAAGCTTAACTGGCCACTCTGCATATTCTTGATACTCAGCCGGAAGTCGCCCCTGGATCTCTTCAATCCACACTTTCGCCATGGCCCTTCTACAGTCATAACCATGTCTACCGATTCCAGTCTTGCCAAACTCGTCGATTGCCTTCTTGCTCATCACAAAGTCGAGAACAAGAGTATGCATAATGACCAGTTGAGAAACGTAATTCTGAGGGTCGACAAAGTGGGAAAAGTCGTTGCTGGTAAGGTCCCCTAATATGTCATAAAAGAAGGACAGTTCACGATAACCTGAAAGTCAGCAAGGCCTTGCAAAAGGTGGGATTCATACTTTCTGCCGGGTCTATAGCTGCCAGGCTCGCTATCTTTTCCATATGTGCGAGATAACGCAGCTCTGGGACACTCTTACAAAAGGGTGCAATTCTCCTCACGCTCGCGCAAAACTGGTTGGCGATGAGGGCATCGAGGTAATGTACGGTATCGTCCTGCTGGGCAAGTACCTTTATCTTTTCGTAATAGCTGGATCTCGCAAACGTCTTGAAGATGGTCTGCTCCAGATCTCCCACCCCGTAGCCAACAAGCCAGCCTAAACAATGAGCTTAGGTTAACAGGACCAGGGGGAAACTTACAGCCTCGAACCATTGTTAGAAAGTCGACCATGCCATCGGCCATGTAGGATGACTGAAAGGTCAGGACAAGCATGGCAGCGAATGCAGCTTCACCCCCCGATTTTGAGATGTTGGGTTTCGAGAGATGGCTGTTGAGCTCCCTGATTGCCGTGACTCGATGTTTCAAGGCAACTTTGTTGTAGTCAGTTGGCGTCAGAAGACCAAGATGTGATGCCCCGAGACCAAGCATAGCGTGTAGCAGAAACTCGTACTTTATCCAGTCAGCACTGATCTAGGACCTAACTCTCGCTCGACATACCTCGTGTGAAAGCTTTGAGGCCTGTTGCCACACAGTAAACCCATCAATAGGAAGAGGGGGGTACGCTTCAAACAGAAAGTGTCGAAAAAAGTTCATGTCGTTAGCATCATACATGGTTGGGGTTGTTCGTAACGGCCGGGCCACGCTAGATGATTGACTTCGATTCTGCTTGCCGAGATACTCGCAAGGCAAGCCTAACCGTTGACATGAGCCGCATTGGGGAGTTACTTCATCACATTTGACCTTGCGCCTCTTGCAGCAGACGCAACCTGCTCGAGACTTGGTGTGTCCTTTTCTTGGCATTGGCTTTCGCTTGGTCAATGCCGTAGAAGCGCCAGTGGCAGGGGACCCGACCGAAGATTCCGACATGTTTACTATATATCTTTAAAAGGGTGAGCCATAGAATGCTACGAGTCAAATTAAGGTGTTGAAGTTAACGCCAAATCAGGTTGGATGTTGAAGGAAGAAGATCCATGTAAGCAGTTCTGGAATGGGACCAAGTTGCTCCGTGCCGTGCCTCAAACGAAATTAATCAGCCTCAGACTCATGACAACCTCAACTCATAACAAATTAGAGAACAGCTTCATTTATCCATGGATATCATCTGCTATAGCCTCATAGATTGATAAGCATTCATTCATGGCTCATCTACTCTAAAAGTCGTTGTCATCTCCTCCCGACACGATCACGTTGTTGACCTTCAACACCATGCGACATAATTGTGTCGCCAGCTGAAGCTGCTGCTTCTTGCCAATCAACGGGTCAATGACAAATGCATCCTTCATGTCGTTGTTGCCTCGTCCCATGCAGTCAACTCCCAGCTTTCCACGACCCTCGGCGCCAGCCTTGACCTGCTGACTCTTGACCTCAGCAAGAGTAGCAATAGGGTTGAGACCACTGTTCTCGGCCAGGGTCATGGGAACAGTGTCGAGAGCCTCAGAAAAGGCGCGCATGGCGTACTGCTCAAGGCCAGGAGTCTTGACAGCCTCATCCTCGACAGCCAGAGAGCAGGCAATCTCGGCAGCACCACCACCGTACACAACTCGGTTATCGCGGACAAGGTTTCGCACCACGCAGAGGGCATCGTGCAGAGATCGCTTAGCCTCATCGATAATCTAGTTACTGTTAGCATACCGCAAGATTCAGCCATCAACATCACATACCATCTTGTTGCTGCCGCGGACAAAGACAGTCACGGCACGGGTGTTGGCACACTCCTCAATAACCAGCATCTTCTCTCGTGTTGTGCCGAAAGACATCTCTCGCACAACACCGGCAGTACCCAGCTTCTCCGCGGTAAGATCCTCGAATCGAGGAACTATTCGGCCGTTGGTGGCAATGGCAATCAGCTCAATCTCAGGTCCACCCACCCATCGAACAGCGGGCAGCTCGTTCTGGAGGAGGAGATGGTTGGCCTCATCATCAAAACCCCACTGGCAGATTGCCAGGTTGGCACCTGTATCCTTGATCTGCTGGATCATCTCGATAAACTTGTCCTTCTCGTAGTTTTGCAGCTTCTTGAACTCCTCGACGCTGGTGATGTCGAGGTGGTGCTTGGTCTTGGGCTTGGGGGGCTCAAAGGCGCAAGTAAGGATGGCAATCTTGGCGTCGTGCACTTCCGAGGGCATCTGGGGGTGAGAGAAGTCCTTGTCGATAATGACACCCTTGACGAGGAGGGTATCCTCGAGGGCACCTCCGACCTTGCCATCAACCTTGATCAGCTCGAAGTCGACGTCTTTTCGCTCGAGATCGGCAACGGAGAGGACAGCGTCAACAGCGATATTGGCAAACTGGTCGTGGGCCTTGGACACAATCTTGCTTCCCAGACTGGTTCGTGCAACCTTGACAAGGTTGGACGTCTCCTCACGCGAGAAGTCGATCGTATCCGAGATCTTGTCAAGCTCGGCAACAGCGATATCGCAGGCCTGGTCGTAACCGTCGGCGATTCGGATGGGGTGGATGCCCTTGTCGATCAGGTCGGCGGCCTGCTCCAGAAGAGCACCAGCGAGGACAACGACACCGGTGGTACCATCACCAATCTCATCATCCTGCGACTTGGACAGCTCAACTAATAGCTTGGCAACGTGGTTGGTAATCTCCATCTGTTGTAGGATGGTGGCACCATCGTTCGTCACGGTAATGTCTCCGTCAGGCGAGATGAGGATCTTGTCGAGTCCACGAGGACCAAGAGAGGTCTTGATAATGTTTGCGACGGTACGGGCGGCGAGGATGTGGTTCTTGACGGCTTCGTTGCCAAACTGGCGCTTCTTCTTCCCCTGACTGCGAGACGTTAGGCGGGCAATGTTGAGGGGACTGGCGGACATACTCTCTGACGACGATGAAGGGCCTACCCTGCTCATCCTTCATAACGGCCGCTATCACTGTCAGCTGGGAACCATGGCGAAAGGTGGTCTTGCGCAAGTACCGTTCGACACATCCAAATCTGTCCCTCGTTAGCTACCCCTCGCCCCTCGTGTCGTTTAGTGAAAATGTGCGGGACTCACTCAACGAATCCATCTTGACTGTGGGTTGTCCACCCGTGGGGAGCTGTATCGGCTATAAAAGAGACGATTACGGCGAAATCAAAAAGTCCCCCGGAATATCGTGACAACCTGGAGCTTCTGTCGCTTTCTTGAAGGGCCCGAATTTTTTGGAAGATTGGGGTTGCCTTGCGTTGCACACCGATCGGACGCGGGGGAAGAAAAGTCCGATCCAGGGGCTTCAGGTTGTGAATTGCCAGGCTCTCACCCCGCCACGCCAGGCTTCGACGTTCGGTGTGACTTCATTCCACCCCACTACAGCTGTGCCCCGCCATTCGTCGGCATCATCTACGATATTGCAACTTTAACATCCCAACATTGCCCGTCGGAACTCTATTGTATTTCAGTTCCTAATTCTTGTTGACCTAAAGAGTCGACTCTTGAACCTTTCTTCCTTCGAAAATCAACACACAACAACAACATAGCACACAACAACATTACAACCACCATCAACAACATCTGACTCGAACGACTACACAATGTCCCGCCATCGCATTGTCCACACGTTCAATGCGAACGACATCGTATCCGAATTCGACGGCGATGATTACGAAGAAGAAGAGGATGAGCTCAGCCCTGAGGATCGTCAGGCCATGGACAATGGAACTGCCCAAGTCCGCACAGCGCTTGGAACCGAAGCAAACAAGGTCACCAAGACTCAGATCGAGGAAGCCCTATGGCATTACTACTACGACGTTGACAAGTCAGTCACGTATCTGATCAAGACATTCATCGCCCCTGCCCCAAAGCCAGCCAAGAAAGCCCCAGAAGGTATGTCTGCGTCTTTTTACACTTCACAGCACCTCTTAAGGATTGGAGCAGACCACGGGCGTCTGTCAAATGGATACACCTTGGGCATCGACACTCCACGAGCCAACCCAGTCCCTTCTTGGTATTTCGACGACATGCCGTGGTGCAATACACCCCAAGACCGCCAGACCATCTTTATCGAGCCGGATCGTCCTCGAGGCGGGTTGCTAGGAGGTTCAGAGGAGCCTCCAAAAATGTCAAAACTTCAAGCTCTAGCAGCTGCGAGGAAGCGAAAGAACGAGGAGAAGAAGGAACACGAGAGAGTGACCAAGGGCATCAAGACGCTCTCTATTGCCGACCAGAAAGAAAACAAAGCACCACGACGTCAGGCTCTCAAACCACCTACGATCACTCCGGTTGAAAAGCCTGTGGAGCCTGAACCTGTGTCTGTACCTCAGCCTGAGCCAGAACCCGCCAAAGAAGACTTTTACAAGAAGCTTCTCGCCGAAATGCCCATCATTCCTCCTCGAGCCCGCCCGTCTGCCTTTGCTCAGACACTCTGTGGATCTGCTCCGGCCAAACCCCAACAACCCGAATTCTTTCCAATGCCATACACACGCTCCCCCTTCTTCAACGCCAAAGCCTTCGCCGAGCCCAGTCCAGATCAGGTTGTGCTTGCGGCTCAGGCGAAAGGTTCGAACTTTACAAGGACAAAGTAATGGGCTAATCTAATTCCATTCAGCGGGGAAGAAGCCAGTCAAGGCTCCAGCTGCCAAGAAATCTCAAAAAGAGAAGGACGTTTCTGGGGTTGAAAAGGATGTTGCCGAGCTTAAAATTGTTGAGGCGGCACCACCCAAGAGTAAGGGACTTGATGTACTCAAGGAGTTTGAAAATAGTGTCAACAAGAGGAGTATCAGTTTTGTCGTTGTTGGTAAGTTCTCTCTCCGTACCTACATGAGCCCTCCTAACGATCTAGGCCACGTCGACGCTGGAAAGAGTACACTCATGGGCCGGCTATTACTGGAACTCAAGTTTGTCGAAAAGCACACCATTGATCGGTATCGAAGGCAGGCCGAAAAGTCTGGCAAGCAGTCTTTTGCTCTTGCATGGGTCATGGACCAGAGAAGTGAGGAGCGAGAGCGCGGCGTAACCATCGACATCGCCACAAACCACTTTGAGACGGAAAAGACAAACTTTACCATTCTCGACGCTCCAGGACACCGAGACTTTGTACCCAACATGATTGCTGGAGCCAGTCAAGCAGACTTTGCCATCCTGGTCATTGACGCAAACACTGGAGCTTACGAGAGGGGCTTGAAGGGGCAGACACGAGAGCATGTGTTACTTCTACGGAGTCTGGGTGTTCAACGACTGGTCATTGCCATCAACAAGCTAGATATGGTTGGATGGTCACAGGAGCGGTTTGATGAGATTACACAGCAAGTCACTGGTTTCTTGACTGGCCTCGGCTTTCAGGGCAAGAACGTTACATTTGTTCCAATTTCTGGTCTCAATGGCGACAACCTCGTCCGTCGAACAGAAGCCACGGCTGCATCTTGGTACACTGGGCCTACCTTGATTGATGCCCTCGAAGATTCGGAGCCCTCCACAACGCGAGCTCTCAAGAAGCCTTTCCGGATGTCCATCTCTGAAGTGTTTCGATCTCAACTAGGTACGACAACGATAGCTGGGCGTATCGACTCGGGATCTATTCAAGTGGGCGATGCTCTTCTGGTTCAACCAAGCGGAGAAGAGGCATACATCAAGTCCATCATGGTGGACTCGGATATGCAAGACTGGGCGGTTGCTGGACAAAGCGTCAGTATCGCTCTGACAAACATCGACCCCATCCACATTCGAGTCGGTGACATGCTCTGCCACACAGCAGACCCCATCAACTGCAGCGACACATTTACCATGAAGGCCATGGCATTTGATCATCTCATGCCCATGCCTGTGGACCTCCACCGAGGAAGACTGCATTCGGCTGGCCAGATTTTGTCCATTACAGCAACCCTCGACAAGGCGAGTGGAGCAATCATCAAGAAGAAGCCCAGAGTTGTTCAGCCTGGTGGTGTTGCACGAGTTGTCATCAAGCTGGCAGCAAAGGTTCCCCTGGAGCCAGGACAGAGAGTTGTGATACGGAGTGGTGGCGAGACTGTTGCGGCTGGACTATTAGAGTGATCTCAGTAGTTGAATCAAACTTGTCAATTTCCCACAGTTTCGTTCAGTGTTGCATGTTAAAGCCGCAAGCAAGCTAAGATCGAGATGAATACACACATGCGCCTCAGAGCCAATACAAGTCCCATATCTCTCTCCCATTTTTTGTCATTCTCAATGACATTCCGTCGGCCACAATATCATAAAACGCAATAGCAAACATATGAATTACCATTCAATGCCTATCTCTGCAAGTTTGGGACTGGAGTATAATTCAGGGGCATTGTCACAAAGCACCCAATCATTCACCTGACACTTGATTTAGTTACGACGAGAGTCAAGGATTAAATATACTAAGATAGATTAAGAAATGTGCTCAAGTATCACTAGTCGTACATAGAACTATTATTACGTCAACCCTTAGTCGAGGAAACCCTTCTTGCCATCACCATCAGCATCCTTGAGAGGGTTCAATCGGTCAATCAGCGAGGGCTTGCGAGCAGTGGTGGTGGTGCCAGCGCTGGAGGTGTTGTGCATATCGACACCAGAATCAGGTCGAGCCTAGGCATGTTAGTTTCATCATGTCGAGGAAGTCGGTGTACTTACATGAGACCTGTTCATAGGGTCGTTGCTGAGAGCACCAGTCTTAGTCTGACTATAGTCAGTGCCTGCGGTGGTAGAACCGAAACCAGTGCCAGCACCAATTCCTGTAGTGCCTAGACCGACACCAGTGGAAGTGCCAGTGGTCTTGGGGCGAGAAGCAAGGCCACCAGTAGCAGCTCCAGCGGTAGCACCTCCGGCAGTGGCAGCTCCAAGGCCACGGCTCTTGTGAGACTTGCCAAGACCGCGAGACTCCTCATCACTGGAGCTGGAAGAGCTAGAGCTAGAACCACGGCGGTCCTTGTGGCCAAGACCATGGCGGCTCTTGCGAGTAGCGGCAGTGCCAGCAGCGCCAACAGCAGCGCCACCAAGGACGCCCTCAGTGGTACGGCTCATTCCATGACCCTCCCGGCCAGAGTAAAGACCGGATCCCTCACCAGTCTGGCCAAGACCAGCTCCCTCTCGACCGTGGGTAAGATTCTCTCCATAGTTGTCACCGTGACCGTGCAAGTGCATGCTCTTGTCGGCATCGAGCTGCTCCCTCTGCAGTTCCTTCCTGTAGGGCTTAGGGCAACCTTCAAACTCAGTCAACTTCTGAGCAGCCTTCTGAGCAAGACCACCTCGTTCAGTGGTGAACTCATCCAAGGTCTTGGTGGGAAGGACGGAAGTTCCATGGTGCACAGCAGCAGCATGGTGAGTCTCATGAATAGGAATGGTGGTGTGGACGACATGAGGCTGAATGGTCTCCTTCTGGATGACAGGCTGAACATGTTCGTGAACATGGTGATGAATACGCTCGCCAGTTACAACAGGAGCAGTAGTGGAAGAGTGGGTAGTGCTGTGAGTCTCGCTAGTGTCTCTGAACTTGGCAGCCTCTCGGTCAAGAGTAGCACGGGTATCTTGCTCGTTTCCATGATGGAAAGTCTTGTGCTCGACGGGGATGAGGTTGTGGTGGTGTTGCTCAGCGCTGAAATTGTTAGTTTATGAGATTTCACTCATATAAAGTAAAACTTACAGAGTCTCCTTGTGAGCGATGGGCTGAATAGTTGTGTGATGGTGCTCCTGGTGAACCTCCTTATCGAGAGCAGTAGTCACGTTCTCATGTCGGTGGGGGCGGACATGCTCCTCGACAACATGAGGCCGGACATCCTCGTCGACAGTGGTCTTGTGCTTTCCATCGTTGGAGAGGAAGCTAGAGACGGCTTGCTTTGCCTTATCCATTCTGAGTTTGTGCGAGTTAGGTGGTTGTGTTGGTGGTGATTGTGATAGTTGTGATGGTGATGGTGATGATGATGAAATACAGCAACGGTAGAGGCACAGTCATGATTAAATAGCTGTGAGTATGCCTCCGACACATCCGCCTCTTCATCATGTCTAACATCATGGACGTCATCTTTGAAGGTTCAACCAACGGCGGCTGAAAACGTCTTGTTGGAGTGTGGAGACGAAAGCATGGAGAGCTCAAGCCGTCCATGTCATCCCGCGATCGTCATTCGATGGAGGCTTAAACCCCTTAGGCCCGATACACATGTAAACGTGCTTGTCGATATCATTGTGACCATTGCAGCTGAACGAGACACACAATGGCAGGCGTCGACGTCATGGTCCCTGGAATGAGGACCATGAGCTCCGAGAAGCATCGACTATGTCTCACCTGCCCGACTCGGCGGGTCAAGCTTCAATCAGCCTCAATCGACCACAGGGACCAGGCTTGAAAATCATCTGCAACCGGAAGGGAGCCGCGAATAGCTTCGCCCGTAATGGGACAGGGCGCCCAGGCAAACAGGAAATGATGCTCAAGTCGGACCAGAGGCTGAGACTAGTTGGGACTGTGTGTTGTTTAGGCATGCGTTAGCGCCAGGTGGCTCTAGTGTAGAGCGTCATCGAGCAGCGGGATACGCAAAGTTCCGTCCTGATCCTCGTCGTCGATCCGGATCATGGTCTGAGAATCGTGAAGAATGTCATCGGTGGTGAAATCGTCTCGATCGGGTCATGGCATCAGATATGTCTTGATCACGGGATCGAGAGTGAAGAGAGGAAGGTGCATCCGGAGGAAGGAGTCATCGTGAGGCATCAAGACCAGACACGTCAACACTCTTCTCCCTCGCATCATCAATCGTTCAATTTCCATGGCAGAGCGTCTCAGAAGCATCAAGAAACGGGCATCGCGTCTCTTTCATAGAGGCCATGCACCGAATCTGTCAGAAGGAGCAATTCCTTCAAACAATGACAGCACCGCGGATGCCTCTGTGAAGCCTCGTCATCGGAAATCATTGAGTCTTTTGAGCAGAAAATCCAAGTCTGATCAGACGGAACCACCTCCACGCGATGACTTCCTAGCTCATCCAGCTGTCCACCCTTTGGCTGCTGATCCAGCTCCACGGACTCCCAGGCTGGAAAGGCCCAATCCCGGTTTGGACTTTGCACCACCGATCGAGAACCGATCTCATCACAGCTCCAAGGCTAGCGATGCTTCATCCCGTCTAGCTGTGCAGCAGACCGATCAAGAGAGAAGGCTTAGTCACTCGGCAGACCCTGAAGATCTCCATGACAGACTATCGCGGCTAGCAATAACTCACGAGACGGATCCTCCCACTGCAAAGCCTTTGCTCCAGGATGCCGACATGACCCAAGAAGCGCAGTACGAGCTTGTGAACGACCAAGTTCTTGCAGCCACCAACGGCGAAGCAGGTTTCCGTCTGCAAAACACTGTCGACATTGACCACACAGTCCACCCACGAACCCCAGTCGTCCACGAACAGATCAAGCCTCATGTTCACACCATTTACGAGCCAAAGCGTACACGCTCCATCCATCACCACGAGCACAGGACATATATCCAACCAATCGCTGACCCGGATCCCACGATCCTGCCTGAGCAGCACTGGCTCCAGACTGAGACGGGCGAAATGTACAGGATCCCAGATGAGCTTGGAAGGAAGCTGATGTAAAACGGTGGCGTTTCAGTTAGATACAAGCAAGCGAGTGACATTTACAATAAAAATAGTCTACAATACAAGCTTGTTGGCTTTAACATTAACGGTTTCCTGTCACGCTCTAGGGTAACGCCCAACTGCCGCCTGGGCACTATCTTGTAAATGCTACCGTGGCCTATCAGAAATGACAACTCATGCACGGCATGCTGCAGGGGATTCCTAGCATCTCGCACAAACGGCAGCTCCTGACAAATATACTAATCAATTGGCTGGGTCTTGGAGCTGACACCTGGCAATATTAAGGACGTCGAGATCCTCTTGGTCTGCTCGCCTTGTCCAAAAGGACACTTTCGGTAGCTAGGCTCCGAGCCCCACCGCTCTGGAATATTCTACTAGGTGGTTGAAGAGGACACTTTGCGATAGAATTGAAGCCTTCCAAGAGGCGGAATTGGGCATCACATTGCCTCAATTGTCAGACCAGGAACTATCCAAGGCAGCGCTTACATGAGTCATAATCACCACGTACGCGATAGAAGACGATAGAATGCCTAGTGCCTTTGTTGCAACTGTTTGAAGCTCTCAGTGGTGGCGTTTTGCGCCGTGACCAACCCCTGCCTCTGGAATAAAGCCGCCGGAGGTGTGTGTCAGGGGTTACAGCCTTGCCCAGAAGACACTGTACCCGGCTTTCATTATCGGTAGCTCACCACCAATGAATGTGCGCTTCGGTACATGAAAAGGCGGCAATGCACAGTGCACAACCACCCCGGCGTCTCCACAGCCCGTGGACAGGACCCCTGTCACGTGGGGCCGCGGATGATGTGAAATCTGGCCTCTTGTGCAATCTGGACACCTTAACTTTTTTGGGGCACCAGAGTTCATAAGTTGTTGGCCTTCCCACTCAATCCCGCTTCTTTCCAACAACATCACCAAGATACCCTTTCACCTCCATACCAAGTGATCGCAGGGCTGTCTGACGACTTGAGCCTTTGCATTCCGGTTCAATACTTGTTCTTTTCTTTTCCCACCCCGTCTTGGTTGCGACGACAAGCAGCTACACAGAGCATCATGGCTCGCTCAAGGAGCTCAATGGCCCTTGGCCTGGGACTCCTTTGTTGGATCGCCCTCCTCTTCTCTCCTCTGGCCTTTGTGCAGACTGCTCAGGCTGACGAGATTGACAACTACGGAACTGTTATTGGCATTGTACGTTGCTTGCTTCAGCTAACTCTGCGACCCCGCTAACCTGTTAGGATCTGGGAACCACATACAGCTGTGTCGGTGTGATGCAGAAGGGCAAGGTCGAGATTCTCGTCAACGATCAGGGTAACCGAATCACTCCCTCATACGTCGCCTTTACCGAGGACGAGCGTCTCGTCGGTGACGCCGCCAAGAACCAGGCCGCCGCTAACCCCACCAACACCATCTACGACATCAAGTATGCTCCTCGACCCAATTACAATCCAAACAGCTGCTAACTGTTTAGGCGTCTTATTGGCCGCAAGTTCGACGAGAAGGATCTCCAGAACGATCTCAAGCACTTCCCCTACAAGGTCATCAACAGGGATGGCCGACCCGTCGTTCAGGTCCAGGTCGATGGTGCCAAGAAGCAGTTCACTCCCGAGGAGATTTCTGCCATGGTCCTTGGCAAGATGAAGGAGACCGCCGAGGGCTACCTGGGCAAGAAGGTCACTCACGCCGTCGTCACTGTTCCCGCCTACTTTAACGTGAGTATTTCCACTTCAATACCCAACAGCAAGCTAACAGCTCCCAGGACAACCAGCGACAGGCCACCAAGGACGCCGGTATCATTGCCGGTCTCAACGTCCTCCGAATCGTCAACGAGCCCACCGCCGCTGCCATCGCCTACGGTCTGGACAAGACTGACGGTGAGCGCCAGATCATTGTCTACGATCTCGGTGGTGGTACCTTCGATGTCTCTCTCCTGTCCATCGACGACGGCATCTTCGAGGTCCTGGCCACCGCTGGTGACACCCACCTTGGTGGTGAGGATTTCGACCAGCGTGTCATCAACTACTTCGCCAAGAGCTACAACAAGAAGAACAACGTCGACATCACCAAGGACCTCAAGGCCATGGGCAAGCTCAAGCGTGAGGCCGAGAAGGCCAAGCGTACCCTCTCTTCTCAGCTCAGCACTCGCATTGAGATCGAGGCCTTCTTCGAGGGCAACGACTTCTCCGAGACCCTGACCCGCGCCAAGTTCGAGGAGCTGAACATTGACCTCTTCAAGAAGACCATGAAGCCTGTTGAGCAGGTTCTCAAGGACGCCAAGCTCAAGAAGACCGAGGTTGATGACATTGTCCTCGTTGGTGGTTCTACCCGTATCCCCAAGGTTCAGCAGCTCATCGAGGAGTACTTTGGTGGCAAGAAGGCCTCCAAGGGTATCAACCCCGACGAGGCTGTCGCTTTCGGTGCCGCTGTTCAGGCTGGTGTTCTTTCCGGTGAGGAGGGTACTTCCGGTGTCGTCCTCATGGACGTCAACCCCCTGACTCTCGGTATTGAGACCACCGGCGGAGTCATGACCAAGCTGATTCCCCGCAACACTGCCATCCCTACTCGCAAGAGCCAGATCTTCTCTACTGCCGCTGATAACCAGCCCGTCGTCCTGATCCAGGTCTACGAGGGTGAGCGATCTCTTACCAAGGATAACAACATCCTCGGCAAGTTCGAGCTTACCGGCATTCCTCCCGCTCCTCGTGGCGTTCCCCAGATCGAAGTTTCTTTCGAGCTCGACGCCAACGGTATCCTCAAGGTCTCTGCCCACGACAAGGGCACTGGCAAGCAGGAGTCCATCACCATCACCAACGACAAGGGCCGTCTGACCCAGGAGGAGATTGAGCGCATGGTCGCCGAGGCTGAGAAGTACGCCGAGGAGGACAAGGCCACCCGTGAGCGCATCGAGGCCCGAAACGGCCTTGAGAACTACGCCTTCTCTCTCAAGAACCAGCTCGCCGATGAGGAGGGTCTTGGTGGCAAGATTGACGAGGAGGACAAGGAGACTGTAAGTGACCCTGACTTTGATACAAAGAGACAACACGCTAACTTGCCCAGATCCTCGACGCTGTCAAGGAGACCACCGAGTGGCTCGAGGAGCACGGCGCTGACGCCACCGCCGAGGACTTTGAGGAGCAGAAGGAGAAGCTGTCCAACGTCGCCTACCCCATCACCTCCAAGATGTACCAGGGTGCTGGTGGTGAGCAGCAGGAGGACTCTTCCTTCCACGATGAGCTTTAAATGCATAGACAGGTTAGGGAAAAGAACGTAATTGCTCATTTTGATTGCTCATTTCGGTGTTTTGGTGGTGATGGGTGCGCAGGAAGTAAAGTAGATAGCGCAATGCCTTGATTTGACCACACCACACTTTCCACACCCTTTGCCTTTTCAATTTCGCTGTGACCTTGATAGTGATGTTGCGTGTGCTGTATCGTGTAAAAGACCCTGTCTGTAAGTCGAAGGCCTGAGTGCCAAGCCCTGTGCCCCTGGTATATCGACCAGTCAACAACTCTACATCGGGTGGACAGTACGGCATGCCTGACAGTCAGTGCGGCATATTGACTATCCATTGACTAGGCACTCAGTTAGTTGTCGGCCAGTCTATTAGACATGTGGAGTCGGTAGTTCGTATGTTGCCGCTCCTAGTTAACATGTCGACGAGTTGCCAACAGTCTTAACCCCTATGCCGGCCAACACCAACTTGTGTTGACGCTTGTTCCCATGCTGTGAATGTTAAACTCATCCGCTTTTGGCATATTACTGCCGCACAGTATTTTCTCCCGTTTGGGAGTCACAGCTTCACTGACAGCTGTTGTCGGCCGGCAACTGGTCGCCAGTGCTGGTGCGGCCGCGCAACACCAAGAAACTCATGATGCGTTGCAGCTGCCACCAGCTGGCAGAATGCAGGCCTGCTGCACTATATCTTCTCGCTTTTTCTCCCCTCTCCTCCTCCTCTTCTTCCCTCATCATCTCTTGTGCTCAGCAGAATCGTGCTCGGTACAATCAATCATTTGCACTTTCATCTTCACTCTGCGCTTTCATCGCACAACCTCACCACACACACGCAACCCCCCTTCACTCACTCACCATGCCTTCCCCAGGTTCCGACTTTCTCGACTCCCTGAGCCACCTGTTCAGCGAGGCTGGATCTGGAGGCCGTGACGGGAAGATCGAGTTTGCCCATCTCCGTGCCACTCTCATCAAGTTCGTCTCTGCCTGCAGCCGCATGACTGCCGCCAAAGCGCGTGCCAGCCACAACCTCAAGTTCATCGATGGCAGCGAGCCACAGACCCTCTTGGCCCTGCCCCCAGGCAAGCTCCGCATCGACGAAAAGATGCGCGCCGAGCTCGAAGCCACCACCACCGGAGACGAATTCATCGAGATCCTCCGCGACCTGATCACCAAGCAGGTTTCTCCCCGCCGAAGCCCCCGAAGCCGCAAGAACACTAGCCCAGTGCAAACCCCTCCCGGTAGCCCCAAGAGCAAGGCCCAGCAGCGTGCCGAGGCCGCCCAAAAGAACAAGAAGAAGACGGTTCGAATCAAGTTGCGACGCAGCGGAGAGCGACTGGGCACTGATGAAAAGGAACAGAAGACTCAGACCCAGACCCAGACCAAGCAGACCGAAACTGCCATAGAATCGCGCCCCGCCATCAGCCAGGAGGCCCTCGCTCGACTCGTCCCCAAGCTTGCTCAGCTCTCTCCCAAGCCTGCTGAGCTCGTTCCCAAGCCTGCTGAGCTCGTCCCCAAATCTGTTCAATCCGTCCTCAAGAAGGCTCAGCCCGCTCCCAAGTCGGCTCCCAAGTCGGCTCCCAAGCCTGCCCCCAAGCCTGCTCCTGCCCAGAACCTGCCGGGTCCTATGGATCTTGATGCCAACGACGATGACGACTCCAGCGAGGGTTTCGCTTCGAGCGAAAGTTCCGACTCCTCTAGCTCCGAGGATCAGTCCATCACCTACTCCGACAACGGAGACACCCGGATGGGGGATGCCGTTATCCCCAAGGTTGAAGAGGCCGCGGGCGCGTGGCCTGCTCAGCGCCGACCTCACATCAGCGAGGTGACTGCCGCCGCTGCCAAGTGCAACACAGGAGGAGAGTGGGAGTCGTTCAAGCCCAAGTTGCTCGACATGCTGGCCCGAATCGAAGCGGACGCCACCGAAGAAGAAATCGAAGCCGCCCTTCAGCGCCTCGAACAGGCCGTCATCAAGACCAAGTCAGAGCGCCAGTTTATCCCCGACAAGACCTGGCAGAAGTACCACGCCAAGCTCGTCAAGGATGCCAAGAAGGGCTGGTTCGAGAAGAACTGGGACGACAGAATCTGGAGAATCGGCAAGATCTGCTACCTCAAGGAAGAAGAGGCCGTCATGGTTGACCGCAACTGGGACCGCCTCCGCTCTGCCGCCAAGATGTGCGCCATCATCACCGAGATGACAGCGCCTCCCCAGGAGCCCAACAAGAGTGCCTCTATCGACAAGTGGCTGGCCGAGAAGCTCAATAACGTCACCTTCGCCAAGAAGGCCGTCGAATGCCGGGAGCATTACACGGCCGTCTGCGGCTTTTGAGGGATCGAGAAAAGCGATTGGACTGGAAGACGAAGTCGGTTCAAAGAGATTCAAAAAGGTGAATGGAAGCCCATGGCGATGGGACTCAGGACAATGGGACTCGAGACAATGGAACACTTGCTTTGAGGGAATGGAAATGAGGACGTGTGTAGATACCCTGTACAATTAGCATCATGAATCACTTTGGAACTATCCATGAAGTTGATGCCATGTGAAGTTGTGTGTGTGAGTGTGGTGGGTTGACTGCCCGTGTTGAGGAGGAGTGCTCGCTGCTCACGTGACTGCGCGTGCTGACTCTGCGACGCGAAGGGCAGTCGCGTCAGCCCATGACGACATTGACTGTTCTTTATTTGATAAGCCATCTCGACATTGGACATTGATCTATCATTAACTACCTAAGTCTTGGATAATTATTTTGTTCATTATTTGCAATGCCTCCAAAGCGCTCTGCCGAGGCAATCCGCCGAAGCTCCCGACGTGCTTCCAACAAAAGCCAGTACTTTGAGGCCAGCGAGACAGAAGAGAGCGATCCACCCCCGAAGAAGAGACGCGGAAGACCTCCCAAGAAGCAGGCCAAGAGGGAACCATCAGAGGACGTCTATGAAGAGGAGCCTGTACAGGAGCCTGAAGAGGAGAATGACGATGACGATGACGACGACGAAGATGACGAAGATGCTCCCCCAAAAGTCACCATTATCCCGCTCGAGAAGTTGAGGGATACGGATGGAGTGGACTATGAGGATTTCAAGGTACACAAGAACACACTGCTATTCTTGCGAGACTTGAAGGCAAACAACAAAAGGCCGTGGTTAAAATGTGAGTAATACTACCTATATCAAAGACATGGCTGACTTGCATAGCGCATGACGGAGAGTACAGACGAGCACTGAAGGACTGGAACTCCTTTGTCGAGCGCACATCAGAATCCATCATTGATGCTGATGAGACTATCCCCGAACTCCCGGTTAAGGACCTCACGTTTCGCATCCACAGGGATATCCGCTTCAGCAAGGATCCAACACCCTACAAGGTCCGAAGGCTCCAACTCTTTGTGACCTAAGCTTACACATCGCAGCCTCACTTCTCCGCCGCATGGTCTCGCACAGGCCGCAAGGGTCCATACGCCTGCTACTACATCCACTGCGAGCCGAAAAAGTCCTTCATCGGTGGCGGCCTGTGGTGTCCTGACGCTGGACAGATGCAGAAGCTCCGCGCCAGCATCGACGAGCGGCCGAATCGATGGCGTCGGGTTCTCAACGATCAAGATTTGAAGCGGGTTTTCCTACCCAAGGCTGCGTCAAAGAGTGACCCAGAGTCTGCATTGCTGGCGTTTGCCGAAAAGAACAAGTCGAATGCGCTCAAGACCAAGCCAAAAGGCTTTGTCGCCGAGCATCGTGATATCGAACTGTTGAAGTTGAGAAACTTTACTATTGGGACTCAGATTGATGATGACATCTTCTATGCCGACGATGCACAGGAGAAGATTAGTGACATTATTCGTCCAATGGTTGGATATGTGAGTTGTTCTATCTGATGGAAGCCAGCAGCTAACAGCGTCAGATTACCTTTTTGAATAGCATCGTCATGCCGGATCCAGGTGCCGACGATGATAGCGACGACGATGGTGATGATGACGGTGACAACGGCGGTGAAGACGACGGCAGCGATGGCAGTGACAGTGAATGATACTCTGGTTGTACAACTTGGCTATTTTATTAATCCTATATAATTGACATTTCCATAGTCTAGCACATATCGAACAAGGCCACGCTGGGATCGTGGTCGCTAACCTCGCCCGCCTTGTCCTGCCAAGTGTTGATGTGCAGATGCTCATACTTGACACCATAGCGCAGCTCCTTGCTGATAAACATGTGGTCAAGCGCCTGGCAGTTGGAGTCAAACAGATATGTGTATCGCTCAGTCTCAGGGACCTTGGCAGCATCGTCAAGGTCAACGAGGCCAGACTCCTCGACAAAGGTTCGGATTGGCGCAACCTGGGTGAACTCGTTAAAGTCACCAGCAGCAATGATGTGCGCCTTGCGGTCCTTCTTGAGGATCTGGGCAATAAAGTCCTACAAATGTTAGCCAAATACAAAAAGCATCGACACATCAACTTACAGCAGTGACTTGGGCTTGCTGAGTGCGCTTCTCGACGCCCTTGTTAACAGGAGAACGGGGGTCGCCATGGATCGAAGTTGAGCCACCCTTGCTGCCAAAGTGCACATTGACAGTGAAGAAGGGCTTCTTGGTTCCCTTAACAGGCTTCCACATGGCAACAAGGGGCTTACGGCTATCGTCCCAAGCAGCGTTTGCGGGATCAATGCGACCAGGATTGTACTTGAGGCTAGGGCCGTCAAGCACCTCGTTGGCAGCATCGGAAGCTCCGGCGCTGGGCTTGACGAGCTCGATAACGTCCGGTCGGTACAAGTATGCTGTGCGAATGTTGCCACCAGGCTGACCGCCATCCTTGTTGTTCACGGGATCGACCTCGGTCCAGGCGTACTCGATACCGCTGGATGCCTCAATACCATCGGCAAGGGCCGCAAGTGTCAAGTTGGCAGAAACAACGCCATCGTTGGTGGCACCCGAGTTGTCTTGAACCTCCTGCAGGAAGATCAAGTCAGGAGTGCGCAACTTGTTGACGATCTGCTCAATAACGAGAGGGAGGTGAGTCGACTGGGGGTTAAGGTTCTCAGTGTTGTAGTCGGCGACAGAGATACCCTTGCAAGAGCCCTTGCTGGTGAAGCTAACAGCAGGGTGCTCGGCGTCGGAGCGCTTCTGGGGCTTGGTGGCAGTCAGAGGAAGAATGCGATAGAAGCCAAAGGCGTAAGTGACAACACCAGTGATTTCTCCGATGTAGTCACCGAGCTTGGTGTCTTCAGCATTCTTGGTACCATCCAGGGGTGAGCCAATGGTGATGGCCTCGGGGTTGGCATCTACATGGTCAGTCTTGTATCCATTTCAATCGTCGTCATCTCACATACCACGGTCAAGCATGGTCAAACCACCATGACGGTTCAGACCAGAGACCTTCCAGTCACCCCTGACCCAGAAATCACCATAGTTGTTGGGTCGGCTGATGGCATAGGCGCCCCGAACGGTGACAAGCTCACCCGAGAGACTCTCCCAAAAGTCCAGACCATAGGTGTTGGGCTGCAGCTTGGGGTTCACCTCGGAAATGCGGCTCTCAGCATTGGGCACGCCAAAGATATCACCATCATCCAGCTTGGAAAAGTGCTTCTTCGGAGGCTGGGGCGTGTCCTTGCCAATGATCTTGGGCTTGAAGTCATTGTCGGATGACTTGACGACAATGTTTCGAGGAGAGGTGATTTCTGTGAGGTAGATGTAGTCATTGTTGGACCTGGCTTCATGTTAGCGACACTACACTCACTTGCAGCGCAACAGTTCTTACCTGTACTCTTCAACGAGGCCATCGAGAGTTACAATGTCTCCGACGACAACCTTGCTAACAGCCGACCTGCCAAAGACATACAAGCCCTCGGATGTGACAGAGCTGCGATCAGGCTTGGTGGATCGCAGGTAGAAGCCCGAGCTACCAACAGCCGTGACGAGACCCTCGACATCAGTAACATTCTTCCCACTGTACGACGAAAGGTACTGGTTGCCATTGATCTCAGCAATGGTCAAGGCGGCGGCCAATGGCCCGAAAAGGGAAGTGAGAAGGTACTGGAGCTTCATGGTTCGGGTTCACAGCTGCGGTGCCGCTGAGTCGACATGATGGTTATCTGCTGGGCGACGTAGGTATTTGTACGACGCAATGCAACCACGATGACGGGCCCTGCCGAGAATCAGTGCAACGGCATAACATCCCAAACCGTCACCGAGCGCCGAGCTCAAAGAGTCTATCCCCATCATCAACCTACTTCCCAGGGACCTCGGACCCGCCTTATCGCGTCCTATCGATCTGCGGTGCCCTGGCACGTTTCCCCATGCACAGCCTCCCATGGGCCAGTCAGCGTCCAGACGGACAAGGGCGCCTTGCCCGTTTTCGCAGGTCGTCCTGTATCTCATGGAATCGGGATCTTTTGATGTCTTGGTCGGGCGACCATGATAAAAGATGCAACCTGACTAACCTCCATTGGTCGAGTCATTGGTGGCATTTCGCCCTCGTGCGCGGTTACCTCAGGAGTGAGCTTCGCAAACAGAAGGAGCAGCCCGGAGCTATAGCTAGCTGCGAGTCTTGGCACTCAACATGGCTTCATCATTCGTGCAATGCTTGATGAAAGGGGTTCTCCCCCAGCCAATGGCATGTGATGTTTGGCACTGACGGACATAGGCGGTATGCTATCTGCTTGGCCCAGTCAACACCTTTCCAAGCAGCTCAAAGAACATCTATATCTAGCCCGGCACCCGCCGTCCTCCTTCTATCTTTCATGGTACGGGGCTTGGGCTGTCTTCGACGACCAGCCTCGCCTCTATCACCCATTTCGCTGTATGTCAAATGGAAAGAGTGAGTAGCCTGCGAGGCAGAGCAGGGACAAAGGATTGGGACATGTCCCGTCTTGATGCCTCGATTAGGAGAAATTAACTCCGCTCAATAGTGCGCTATCCAATCGCTGACTCGACCGACGCTTGTTGCTCCTCAGAGCGGCGCGATGGGAAGATGAAATTCCACCTCCCAGAGTCAACCACTCTAGATCCCCAAACTTGGCGCATCCAGTACCCATTTGTACTCAAAAGGATGGACACCTATAAAGAAGACGCCGATTCCAACTCCGACTCAAACAAAACTCCTAGGAATAGCCAATCTGAGTTGTACCTCGGCTCTGGTGTCTGGATCCAGCTGATTCGTGAGCTGATTCGTGCGTGATTGCTGATGGTTCGCTTATCCGGTAGCGGTTCAGCATGGCGCTGTAATCTATGTTGTCGTTCTATTTGAAAAGGATTCAGCCGGTGCTTGAACCAGCTATCGCCTTCTTGTCGGCCTTGCCCTTGCCCTTGGCGTCGGGATTGTCGAGGTCGCGATACAGGTTGTGTTCATAAATGTAGCTGATGACCTCGTCGGGGATTCTATTTTGGTTAGAATTGTCAACCATTTCATTAATCATGAATCATGCTTACAGGTAATCAATGCTCATATTGCGCTTAAGGAGCAGCCGGACCTTAGTGCTGCTAATATCGTTTGTAACAACCTGCTCATATTAGCGGGGTGACAGTTACACAGGAGCACAACATACCTGGCGGATGATATGGATATTGTGCTCCCACTGCTTGAGGTTTGCCAGGGCCGAGTCAATTTCTGTACCGGAACGCTCAAGAGCAAAGACGCCGTAGTTGCCAAGGATATGGTCGAGATCACGCTCGCCCCAGACACCTGGAGTTGACATGGTCTGGATCAGGTCCAGGCCTGCCAGGAGGACGATTCGCGCACGCTTTCGAGTTCCATCGCTGCATTCAATACCGCCCATGACCTCGTTGATCTCGTAATCGAAATGGTCGAGCACTCGGGCAGTAGGAATATAAGTCGGGCTCTCGGCTTCCCATGGGTCTACCATCAACCACTTGGACGAGTTCTCAGTAGCAAGCTTGCACATTTCGATACGGTGGTGTGCTGGGGCCAGTCCTTTCTTGACATATGCATCGGACACTATCGACGTCAGCACAAGTAGCTATGAGCGTGCTGTGTAACTTACCAGGACTCAGAACTCCTGCGACAACCTCGAACCCTGCTAGAGTTAGTAATCCGAAAGCAGCCTGAAAGTAGGGTATTTGGACAACACACCCTCATTCCGAGCATGGTCTCTAGCCATGGGGAACATTCTCAAGTGCACTACAAACAATTAGCCGATGATCCGATTTTCAGGTCAGAAACTCGTACGAAAAGTAATTGGCGAAACTACAACAGTCAGCTAAATGCGCATCGGAGACAATCGGGGGTCATACATGAGCCACATGCGACAAGGACCAACGGTTGTGCGCGAGGATCGCACATGCGCTGGAGTCGATGCGCAGGGAAAACATATCCCTCAGGAGTATGCTCCTTGACGAAAGAATAGTCGCTGGTCATCTTGGCGGTCTGTGATGCTGTGGCCCGAGTTTGCGAATCGTGCAGGAGGGGTTCGCGGCCGGCGCCGATAGTTGGCAGCGGACTTGAGCGAGGTGCGGTAGGGTCGGTTCAAGCCAATCCCTCCTTGTTGGGACCAAGAAAATCCGAATAGTTGCGCCTATGAAGTTACTGGGCTGGCGAGTTGTGTCGAAACCGTGAGGCTGGCGTTGTGTCGAGATGGCGAATGGTTGCCAACCAGATAGACGGGTGGCCAAGTACCAGTTACGTGAATATCGAACCCGGAAGAGTGGTTCCAAGACGAGTTCAGTTGTCGCTTAGCGCGGAATATAATCTGTCGGGCTTGAGTGGCGAGTAAGATACAATGTCAGGTTGTGAGGGGAGTTCGCTGAACTTGGTCAAAAGCGTGAGCAAAAGAGAGATGTAAGAGTAAAGAACAAAGTTGGGAAGAAGGTTTGTTTCCGGACTTCTAGGAGAATCAATCGCCCTGGATCCAGGCAGGCAGGATGGTGGGTGGGTGTGGGTGGGCGCCCGCGGATGCCCAGAGCCTTATTAAGAAATAGTGGGGCGGACTATCCAGTGAAGGTACGGAACCGAAGGTACCTTCCAGCCTGTGGTAGGCCAGTTTCAGGACGCTAAGGCGACATCGCCCCCAGTCTCGAGGTCTTGATCCTGCCATTCTCCATCCACATCCACACGCACCAACACGCGAAAGTCGAGGCCTTTCATGCACCAAACGCACGCCATCAGCCGCCATCTTCACTGCAGCAAAGAGGCTTTCGACTGCCAATTTGGTACCTGTCACTCTTCTACAGGCTGCCTCCCCACTGTCAGCCCCTACGTAATGGGCTCCATGTCGACCAAAAACATGCCCAAAAGAGCACCTTGTCCTGGTCGACGACGTAGTGATTCCTGGTCAATTCGGCGCAACTCTCAACACTCTACCGAAACCCTCACGTTGACTCCCACGTTGGCTCCCGGTGGCGGGGAATGACGACGGTGATCTAAGCCCCTCCACCGATCCCGGGTCGAAGGAACGCAACAACGCAACCCCAGGTCTTGAGCTCACCCCAGCGCCTCACCACTGGCTAGTTCGTGTCGTTAGCGAACAACGGCTTTCAATGGCTATGCAACTCTGGCCAGAGGTGCGTGATCAGCTCCTGGCAGCTCGGTGAGACATGCTTCAGTGCAGTGCCAACGGGGGGAATGTACCGATATCTCGACTGGGGTCACCTGCCTGAGTGGCTCTGCGGACAATAATACACAACCCGCGTGGCACACCAACGGCAACCACCCACGTCTTCTAGCCAGGGCCAAGGCCGTCAACCTCTTGGCTGCTTCAGAGCTGCGGCCAGAGAGAATGGATCGCCTCAGCCTGTGTTGATCTGGCTCGGGTGGATCTCGGACGGCCCTTGGTCACCAGAACACCCAAACCGGATAGAATGGCTCACGACACGGCTTGGTCAGCGAGTCAACGATTGTCCGCACCAACTTCGGGCAATCGGTAATTGCATCTTGGCTCCGCGGGAAGCCCGTTTCCTACTCTAGGCACAAAATGCGGGGGCGATATTCCAGGCTATCTTTGATCCTGGATGCATTACACAAATCATTTACGCCAAGTTGCCTGCGTTCTTTTCTAATTGTGCAGCATAACAACGCCAACAGACACCAATAAATCTCGCAATAGCAGCAAACCTTTTCTCGAGCTTCACTTGTCCCCACGCAATCCTTGATCCCCACGAGCAGCCCCAACATTCCCCACCCTTCTAACGGTTTGTTACCAACGCGTGACGAAAAAATGCATCGTATTCAACGCAGCGATGTGGTCTTTGTTCCAGGGCAATCATATCATGATCACCTAAGGAAGCCAATGCCTTACGTACAGGCTGGTGCATTGTTCCAAAAAGGGGAACTTTGAAGAATGGGAATCCACCAGGAGGCCGCCTAATCACGAGTTTCAGGCACAAAGCCCACCGGCTCCCGCAGAACCCTGAGTTGATCTATCTCTGACAGTTCCGCCATAGTTTCAGCCTGTCATCCAACCGGGTGGTTCACGGTCACAGAACAGTCCAGACGATTCGCTCCTATTCCTTGTGAAAGTTTCATTCAGCCTATTTGACACGGTACAGACTGAGAGACGAGTCTCGGACTAAGCGAACCAATTGATTCTCAACTAGGGCTACAACGGAGGTCCACCCGGCGAAATGTCGTCTTTCGCTATTCTGTCACGATATGCTATTGGGGGTTCCGCCAAGGTGACCGGTGAGAAGTACGGGCCTGGCCAGAAACTGCAATTGTTGCCGCCGACAACGGACCCAGCTTGCGACCTCGGCGCGAGCTATCCTGTTTCTGAATTCAAATTTTCTTGAAAGGATTTACGCCCCAACAAGGAGTTAGCGGAGAATGATTACAATGTCAGGCACTGGGTATAACGTGTTGGCAACTTGGGTTGTGCGCTGCATATGCTGGTTTCAGCGTCGTGCATGCTCCTATTACTGACTGATTCAGCTCAACACCATCCACTACCTATTCTAGTACCGCTCCCCACACGAATCTTTCTCCATCAGGGTTCAAGGCGATTCCCATACCTTGGAACCTGCATCCTCCTTGGAATCGTCACACCCAACCTCCTTGGACTGACGAACGAGAGTGCAGCCCATCGATCTCCAGGTTGACTCCACGCGGAGAAGGTCAGATTGCGGATCCGCAACCTCGGGCGCGGGGGAGTGGGACTTGGAGTTTACTCTGTCGTCCGTACCTCCCGAGCGTTTGCGGGGAAGGGCAGATGATGGAATAGTTTGGTTGCGAGGTCTGGTCGAGTGTAGTTGGCCGTGCCAGGTGCTTCGTGACCAGCTGCTCTAGTGTTGGAAAGCGATGCTACAACCTCGAGGTCGAATCCACGCCTCATCCCACGACCCCAGACTTGACCCGGCACTGAATAACTCCCCGCATTCAGAAGAAACGTCAAGGACGTTATGATGGCGTTAGCTCCCCTTACACCGGGGGCTAGCGTGAACCTCCCTCCGGCCGGGCGGGCCTTCACAGGGATGGGATGGGATTGATATGGCGTCTAGTCTGGGGATAAGACATGAGGGCTGGGTGAGGTTACTAGTAGGTTGTCTGACGTGAAGGTACATTCAATTTGGCCGAGTGTTCCTTAATACCCAAAGTCTTCCCACACAACCTTTTCCCCCTGAAGCCACTCTTCAAGAGCTGACAAAAGGGCCGGTCCAGTACACAAAAAGAAACGTGCATCCTGTCCCTTGAGCTGTTCAGCATCGGCCTTGCTCATTCGTCGCTCGTCCACCTCTGCGCCAGCCCGCTTTACCTGATCAAGAAGTTCCATGTTCCCCGGTTGGCCCGTGATGAAAAGCTTGGTCACGTTGGCGAGATCTGGAATCTTGGAGAAGGTGTCGACTGCTAGGGGCAAGTCCTCGAAGCGGAGACTCCAGAAGAGTTGGAGAGGGATGCCTCTTTCGAGAACTGCCGGTGCTTGTGCAAGAAGGGGGGTTATTCCCACGCCGGCAGCGATAAAGATTGACTTTGAAGCTTGAGGTGTCAGAGGGATGCGGAAGCCCTCTTCGCCACCAAATCCGATGACGGGGATTTCCAATGGCACGCGGAGATTGTGCCTCCACAGAAAGCCAGTTACTGGACCATGCTTCCGAGCTGTGATTTGGATCTCTTTTCTGTCAGGGGGGCTCGATACAGTAAAAGTCCGTATGTAATCATCGTTGATGCTCTGAGGGTCGTGATCGGCCATGTGGCTGTAACCACCTGACACCTCAGCTTCAAAGTCGAGTGTGATGTACTGCCCAGAATGCCAGCTTGGTATCGGCTCCTCTGAAGATAGCTCAAATGTGAATCGGTTGATGGATGGTGTGAGGACCTCACGCTTGGTCAAGCTTGCAGATATTGTCTTTAAAGAGCTGGTTGAGATGTGCGAGTCGTGCTCGGACAGGAGATGGCGAACAGGTGGGTTATATGGTGAATATTGGCCCAGAGATCCGCGAAACGGAAGCCCGGACTTGACAAACTTGGCACCTGTGACGGATATCTTGACGGCGAGGTGGGTTCTCGCGAGGAGAGACGAGGCCTCATCGCCTACCAGCACTGAAGCTCTACCCGTGAGGTAAAGGACATCTGCAGTGTCAAAGTCGGGGATCGCAATGCCCACCAAGGGATTAACCTTGAAGTTTCCCAGGGTTTGGTATAATCTGTTCCCAGAGACTGATTTGTTAGCTGCGTCATTGAGAGAGAAAGGATTCGGGGACTTACATTCTGGATAAATCAACTCAAGCTCATCCTCCTCATTCTTGATCACCCTGATGAAACCAGGACTTCCACCGCGATGATTCGTATCCATAGTCTCTCCATTGGTACTCGACAAGAAAAGCATATCCGCAGAAGCAATCAAATTCAATGCCTCCTTCGGCAGCTGCAGCGTTTCCGATACAAGCTGCGACTCAATCTCATTCAAAACAACGTCCTTCTTGTTGAGATACTTGGGACAGTTTCCCAGGCTCTCAGTGACGGCCATGGCCATTTGGACTGCCTTGCCGCCGTCCACTGTGGCGCCAGCAATCATGTTGCCAGCCAGTTTCACGCGGTCTCTTGTCTCGAGGTCAATTGCCAGTCCAGCCATTCCTTTGCCTTGACCATCATTCGGCCTGTTGACGGTACCTTGTTGTATCCCCTCTTCATCAATTCCATCCCAGAAAGCCTTAAAAACCGGATCGTTCTTGGTATCGACAGCACTGTTGAATGCCAGTACATTCTCAGCCACCGGTCTTGCGAATCCACGCTCACCGCCCCAGATTGTCGTCCATGGATGGCCGTCTTTGTCGAGAGTTCCAAGAGCGACGAGAGAAGATTGCATCACTCTCATCCCGTACCGCATTGGCAGACCTGGAATCGTAGGGTTGCCCTGTCGCGGGACTTTGAGCAGCTGGTGCATAGCACGCTCGCCCGGATGGAAATCAGATACTGCGGAGGGCATCTTGGCTGTTGATTCACACGGAGGATTGAAGGATGGAGATGAAGATGACCAGAGGCCGTGGGTGACGGAAGAATATATTCAATTGCTGCTTTCTAATGAATTCCATGATGCAATGTCAGCGGTCAAGCTTTGCGCCATTGTCACTGTTGATTACCTGACAAATCACCATTGATTCCTCAACAAGGGCGCGATTGACTGCGGTTCCGCCGTGACATCAGCATGAATAAAGGTGCCATCGACGAATTGGGTGTTAACGGGCGCGGTCAGCCCGACAGCCAAGTCTTTAACCTGCCAGCGCAACAGCTTATTAGATTCTTAGCTAAAGGAGATCAGATATTGTAGAAACGATTTGATGAGATCATAAAACAAGTCTCTTATTATTTTGTAATTTTATCTCATCGTACAAGCCACCACTCCCGCTCCAGTCGTAAATCATTATTATCACCACCATTCAAATCATTCCTTTACCAATCACGTCCTCGCTGTGATTCAACGTCATAGTTGGGAGAAGGTCTGGGAGAAGGTCTAGGACCAGGTCCTGCTGTAGAAGCCCGTGGCATCGGACTGGTCAGGTTTCTTTGGGGTGCCCGGAAAGGCATTGGTCCTGTTACACTCCGAGTTGGAGGGTTGATGGGTTGTGGTCCACCCCAGGAAGAGTTGACGGAAGGCGTGGAGCTTGTCTCAGGGTTATAAGCCTGGTATTCTCGGGGAGGGCTTGGCGTTGGGGCGGGTGCAAAAGAACCCATGCCCATGGGCTGCGCATAGTTGTCTGTTGGTCGAGCACTGGGTGCGCGGGCCGGAGGAGGGAAGGGTGGCATGGTGTCGTGGGCTGGGCTCTCGGTGAAGCGACCTGGAGCAGAGAAAAACGAGGGATTCGAGTCTGCCATATGATTTACTGGCGGACCATAGTTTGCTTGTGAGGAAATTGTAGATCGTGACTGGGAATAGTTGTAGTTCATCGGAGGTATCTCAGGAACAGGAGATGCAATCCTCCCGTAGCCTGACCTGGAAGTTGCATGAGAGGCATAGCTCGCAACCGACATGTTGGTGGCTTTCCTCGTCAGAACGTTCCGCTTTGCGTCCACTGGACTACCTTCCATTCCTCCGGGAGTTCCTGGTCGTGATGTATATGGTGGGAGTGTTGCCATGGTGTCGTTGCGGTGCAGCATTGGCATGGGCTCCGTCTTGCTGACAGGTCCAATATTTGGCAGCGTCGGTAGGGTGGCAGTTCGTTCCACACGAGGCTTCTCGCCATTTTTCTTGGCAGCCTTGAACTCTGCCCTGAGTCGGTTGGCCTCCTCTCTGGCCAAGGCTTTGTTGACCGTCTGGGTGACAATCTTCATCAGTGCTTTGGTGACTTTGCGCTCACAGTATCCAGAAAGTCCACCGTCAGCGGAAGGGATCCAATGATAGAGGAAGAAGACCCAGAATAGGACGGCAGCCAGGAGAAACAGGGCTGAAAAGACCCAGATCACCACAGTAAAGCACATGCCAGAAAGGATCAGTGCTTGCTGGTAGTCCTCCTCGGCGAGAATCTTGATCTTGTCAAAGAAACCCGTAATCGAATCACCAACGTTGTCCGCAGTGGGAGTCAACTTGGCCTCGTAAACCGACTTGAGCGTAAAGACATTGAGAACTTGACGCGGCCCAGAGCAGATAATGACACGAACCCAAGCTGTGAAAGTCAGTAGGGGATTACCAGTGCCGAGAAAGATGGCTTACACTGGAAGCTGAAATAGGTAAAGAGGGCAATGTACTGCGCACCCTCCTTACTCTTGGTGAGCTCGGCGAAAACTAAAAACCTCTTCCATCCTTGAGAACCGAGACGAATCGATTCCCATCTAACAGCAAGACTGTCCAGATAACATTCTGCAACATTGCCTCGCTTGATGACTCGAATAGCTCGGAAACCCTCATAAGCCAAGTTGATAAAAGAAAGAATGATACAAATGGAGAAAATCCATTTTGAAACGTCAAAAGAAATTGCTGGGTCAATCTTGGAAGACCAGCGGTCAAAAGCAAGCAGATTGACGGCGGTAAAACTGTCAACGGCATAGACAGCAACCGACACAATGAGCATCAGCCAGAGGTAAATGTAAGCAAATACAGTGCCACATCCTCTGCTCTTAAAGTCGCGAAGGTTGATGTACTCCCATCTCTGGTCCGCAACCTCCTCAATCTGCTTCTTGCGATGGCTGAGACAACCCATGATGAACGAACGGCCAGCCGAGATAATGGATGAAAGCAAAGTTGGTTGAAAGAGTCGGATGTCGTAGTCCTCGCCAGCGAAGTTGACTATGCGCTATCCAGAGCAGCTCGGTAAAAGAAGAGTAAGAAAGCGATCGTAGATGTGCTGCAACCGGTGCGCGAATGATCAAGGCCTAGTGTAATGGCGGACACATGTCGAGGCGATGTAATAACGATGTCGTAAATTCTCAAAATCGGGAAATATCCAAAACGGTGTAGAATCGTTTGGTATCGAACGAGCGAGAGGCGGTGCTCTCGAACAATAGCTGAGCAGCTATAATTCGTGGCTGAATAGCAGGGTCTAGGTATTGTCGAGCTGCGTGCAGATGCAGTTGCAGGTGAATGGAATGAATGAATGACGAATACGACAAAAACGGTCCAGAACAAAGAAAATGGAAAACACCGAGACAATAGATGGCTGGAAGATGAATGAGAGAAGTCTGAGACCGCAAGCGGATGGGAGGTTTCAAATGAAAGGGGACGCGACTGAGGAAGTCGCACACGGCGCAGTTGCCATGCTCGAACCCGACCCGACATGACCTCAAACCTCAAACACTCCCGGGAAGGAGGGGTCGATCAATGTGGGAGGTGCGACCCGGCGTGGCGCCATGGCCATGGCCTGCAGGTACCAGCCGCCAAGCCTTGATGGGGTTTAGTTAGCACTCGGGACCAAGAGGCCAAAACTCCAAAAGAGGAGGGACGTTTGAAAAAAAAAATCATGTCCAGGGAATCATCCCAGCCGTTGATTGGCCTCGAGACATGCGCCGGGATGACGGTCGCTGTCAGCGGAAGTTGTATTGTACAGGCGTTGAGCTTCTATGATATCGACAGGGGCTGGGACTGGTAGCGCCAGTAGCCAACCGTTTCTTTTGAGTGGCTGATTTCTTTGTTCTAGTTCCTCCAACCGCCAGAAGGAATCCGAGATGCGCGAGAAGGCATGTCATCCAATCCCGACGCGCCAAGCGATTCACGGATAACCGCCAACTTGTCGCTCATCTCGACGGCGGTAAAAGATGATAAACATTCATCGCGGTACTGTACGACACGACTACTCGGCTCTCTCGTCCTTGTGATCATTGGCGACGGACGCGGTTTCAGCATAGTTGCATCACCACGAATCCGTCTTTGGACGGATGAAACGTGCTAATTTTCGGGCTGCCTCCCCATGCCAATCCATACCACAAGCACGAGACATGGCCGTACGAACTATTGCCGTCTTGGTCGCCGGAGCCCGGATCCGTCAGCGTGTAAATCACTATTTCGGCATTCGCCTTCAGGAATAGAAGCTCCTTCGTCAAGGCGCTCCCGACGATCAGCTCCTGTCGCACATCTCTCTTAATCATCGCGGACAATAACAGTCCGTTTGCTCCGAAGCACTGGCCGTGTTTGAAGTCTGAAGGATTTCGGTCCGCGGCGATGATCATGACGCCGGACGGCAGCCCACATCTATTTGTTTGAAACAATCTATGCCGTTGCTCATGCGGGAATTAACTTGGCGAGACAGCTTGAACAGGCAACTTGAGCATTACATGGTCCAACAAGCTAGTCTAGCCAAGAGGTGATTGACATGGGATCTCTTTGTTCAAACAACGCCACATTGGCAGTAGACAAAGACTTGGAGGCAATGTTCTTTGTTCTCCTCCAAGAGATGAAAGTGTCAGCTGTCGTGGCCATAATGGCAGATAAAACGATGGCCCTTTCATGTTTAGTGCATCATCATCAACTTGTTCATCATGGATCACCAACGCGAGCCCCCTCTTGGTGGATTTCGTTCAGGTTTTGAACACCCGGCGGACTCGTCCAAGGAACCAGTTTTTGAGCTTGTCAAGGAGATCGGTACGAACCTATGGATCGCGGCCAGACGAGGAGATACCCGTGGAGAGCAGTTCCTTGCGAGTCCCAGTCCATTTGCAATCCAGCAAAGCGAGGGCTTCGACCAAGCTCAGCAGGAAGCCGAGGCATTGCACAAGCTACTGTCCAAGTACAACCAGGCCTACACTATCCGCCAACTTCTCAACCACGAGAATCTAGTTTCGATTGTCGGTTCTCTCGAGCATCAGACCTTTACCAAGACCCAGGAACCAGACGAACAAAGCAGTGCTCAGTTTCTTGTCTGGGACTTTTGCGATGCTGCCAATCTGACTGCCGTGTTTCAGCAGTATCCAACTGATGATTCGTCTTACTATCTTCCAGAGTCTCTCTGTTGGCATGTCCTTCGATCTTTGACTCGGGCTGTGGCGTATCTTCACGACGGGAAGCGACTCTACTTTGATGCCAACCTCTCCCCGGATGACATGAGAGAGTGGGTGTCTGTCGACACAGATTGGTTTCCCATTCTCCATCGCCGCATCGAGCCAGACAATATTTACTTCCAGCACCCTCGTGGCACTGAACAATATGGTCAGTGTAAGCTGGGAAACTTTAGCAATGTGGCCGTGACATGCCATACTGTCAGCGATGAAGAACTCTCGTACGAAGACCAGCTCGCCCGTGGGATGGCGTTGGCTACGCGGGAGGGAACTGTGCCACTCAACCACGCGCGAGGCTTGTTCAAGATGGACCCGGCATTGATCTCGGAGGTAAATACTCCACTTCTGAATTCGATATCAACTCACGCTTTATAGGGAATTCGTGGCTATACCCTTGGTGACGAGATGTGGTCCATCGGCTCCGTCATCTTTACCATGATGACTGGCTTAGAGGTCAACTACTACTGCAACATGTGCGGCTGCTCACACGTCTTCTTTTGTAAAAGAGATGGGTGCCTTGAACATGATGCCGCATATAATGGCTGCAGGTGTCTTTTTGGAGGTTGCAAGCACCTGAGCGAGGACGGATGCCGTGAAGAAATCACTCGGTGGACTCGTTGCGGACATAACTGTCAGAAACCCAAGATCAACGTCCACACTTACATGGCGCGAGCACGATACACCAAGATACTCCGCACCCTCGTCAAGGATCTGCTTCTGTACGATCCTCAGCTTGGTCGAAATCCATGGGTCAGAGCGGTCGAGTTTGCCCAGGTGGTGGAGGAGGCGTATCAGGAGTGGAAGAGGGACACGGAGGAGGGGAGGGGCTATGTTGATCTCGACGACGACATGGCTGCGAGATTCAGACGTGCTAGGGATGAAGCTGAGTATTTGATGGAGGAGGATGAATAGGCTCAACTGTAACTCGGTCGTTTCCTACATGACAATTCATTGACATCTACATCCGTGCCTCTTCATCATGAACAATCTACGACCAATGATCTTACACGACGCATGCCGACCACGGCGACCAATAGCGTTGCCCAGCCACTGTAAGCATTACGGAATAGCCCCCGCTATTCCCTGATTGTGCCTGCTCAGGCCCCGCCATCGGCTTAAGCTGGAATCCGCTTCCCCATTCCTATCCATCGTCAAAGCTTCACCTCAGTTATCATCAGCATCTGCCCATCTCGCCGATACGCCGCGCCGCGTCGCCAACCCGATATACTCTCCCGAGCCGAATACTTCACCGTCTTCAGATTCTCGTGCCGTCGACTTCACGCTCAGCCATGTCCATCTCGCATCCCACACCTCCTCTCCTCCTCACAAAGCGCCTCACGGCCTTTCTTCACGCCAACCAGACGGCTCAGCTGCCCACGCTGCTCCTCACGTCTCCTCACGGAAAGCTCCTCGCCCACGCGAGCCATCAGCCCGTCTCGGTCCTACGAACCCACGCCACCGTCGCCGCATCCCTCCTCGCCATTCACTCCACCTCGGCGCCCGCCCTCGCGTCCGCCCTGCCTGGTTCCCGCACCCCCGATCCCATCGGTAGCTCCCCGCCCGACGAGGACGACGAAGACGATAACGACCGGCTCTCGCAGAGCCAGCAGCTAGAGTCGCATCCTTCAGCCAGGGGGAGAGGCATCAAGCCTGCCACAGTCACTGTTCAGCTAACGAGCGGCACCGTTGTTATCCGCCGGTTGAAGTGCGGTCTTCTCTTTGTCTGCGTCGGGCCCGCTAGCCCGGACGTAGCAGAGCACGCGGTGCCGCACATCGATCACATTCAAGTCCCCGCAGGCGAGGCATCACATGTGGGAAGCCCAGACGGAGCCGACAGCATCCTCAGCACAGGCGCGCAGACGACGGCCAGCCTTGAGAGCACTACCGGCACAGCAGCCGTGGTGGCTGCCCTCCGCCGCCATGCTGCCGAGCTTGCGCGGTGGCTCGATGATAAGCTTGGAACCCTCACCGTACCAGAAGAAGGCGTTGGCGTTGAGTGATGTTCTTGGAGCGATACAGCATAGACGGCGTTTGGGTTTCATTGAGGGATATGCGGGTGCCAGTCTATGGCTTTGGCGTTGGGATGGCATTGTAGATACCAGGTCGATATCTATCTATCACGAGGCATTTCTTGACTCTAGCTCTCTGCTCAATCTGGGGGTATTAATAAAGGAAAGCCACCTGAAAAGGCTGATTCTATCTGCATCGAGTTCCCGGATGCCGCCCATAACGCCAACACCCATAACGCCTCGGTATGCTTTTAATACACGCTGACAAGACAAAAACAAGGCTGCAACAAACAAGGGCTGGGGGCACCAGATTACTCAATGCTCATACGCATGATGCCATCGTTGGTGTCAATCATCCCCTGGAATCCAACGCGGCCTTTGCTGTTGAGTCTCCCTGCAGAGCTGCCGCCAGAAACATTGCCTGGCGTACTACCAGATTCGCTGGGGGCACTACTTCCGCCCTTGTCTCCGCCATTGCTACCAGGTCGAGATCCCCATGACATACCGTCGCGTTGAAGGGGGCTCTGCATTATGGGAGAGTTATGGACGCTCATACCAGGACTTACGGCACGTCGCTTGAAGCTGACGGGGTCAAAGTCATCATCACGTCGACGTTTGCTGTTGATGCGGCGGGTGATCTCTGCAGCGGTTGGAGGCTGGGGACCAGTTACCTGCGAAGTGTGAGTGGTCAGGACCTTGATTTGGGGTTGGCAGGGGACTTACGGCTGCTCCACCAACTGACGGTGAATCCATCGCCACGTCTTCACTGATTCCCGAGGAGGAACCTCGGGGAAGAGATGCAGCGGGAGGCGGTGTGGTCCTGGCACCGCCAGTACTGCTGGACTCTGAAAAGGTGTCCCAGAAGGTCTTGCCCTTGGAGTTTTTGATGGCGTGCTGCTTGAAACTGCCCGAGAGGCCCATCACCACATCCCCCATGATGTCATCTTCAGGAACATCATTGAGGCCTTCTTGCTGTATTAGATTTGGCGACGAAGGGGCAGTCGTTGTTTGTGTTGATTCTGCGAGCGGCGGTGGGATTCTAGGCTCAAGGTCCATGTCACTCTCACGGACCTGCTTGACAACCTCGGCTTCTCGACGGAATTCGGCTTCGGCGGGAGTGCTCTCTTCCATGAGAGCTGCCCGGATACGAGCAAACCCTTTTGTCTTGGGCTATACAATGTTAGTGAACGAAGTAGTAAATCGGTCAATGGCCACTCACAAAGAGGTTCCCTCTCCTCGTCACCACCCGCCGAATGACACTGCGCTGACCTTCAAGTCCGTCATCACCCATGGCTCGTGCCTCATCCGAGTCGGCACCAGAGATGTGCAATTGATTGGCCTGCCAGCTGATGCTCTCGCGTCTAGCCCGTGCGGAGTTGCTGGGTGGTGACTTGGAGAGAGATGCACCACTGAACCCGAGGCCAAGAGGCCCCCGGCCCTTCTTCTTGGGCTGCTTGCGGGGCCGCTGTCGCTGTTGGAAACTCATGAGGCTGCTCATTGCGGGGGATCCAAAGGTTCCACCAGACCCTTGAGCCCCCATGATCGGGCCAATCTTGTTGACCTGAGGAGTCGTCACGTAGGTCTCATCCATGTCCTCGTCCATCAGGTCATCATCGTCCGAGCTGCTGGACGAATCGGAGCCCACGGCCTGGGTGCTCCCAAGAGAACTGCTAACATGCATCTTTTCGTTGCCCATGACAGACCAGAGAGATGTCGATGTCTGCTCGGGTCCTGCATAATGACTTCTTCGGGTGGGAATGTTCATCGCCCGGCCACCGGCGGTCGGCGATGAGTCGGGCGACGACTGCTCGGCGAGGGTCGAATGATGTAGGCTCGTGGCGGCGCGTGAGAAGTCGAGACCTCGGGAACGACGGGGGAGGATATTTGTAGGAGAGGCGTAGATCTGGGAGTGGTCGAGCTTAGGAGAGAGAGGAGCGGGTTTGACATAGGGATTCGCTGGGGGTGGAGTGAATTCCCGAGGTGGCATATGTATCGAAAAGCCACGGTTCGACAGCGCAGGACGACGAGGCGTCACTGGCTGGGGAGTCGGGATGCTGGTGTCGTCTTTCGAGGTTCGGCGAGAGGCTTCGATGTGTGGCGAGGGCGACAAGCGGGAGGGAGTTCCTCCTCCATCCGACATGGACCTTGTCTTTGTCAAGGGCGACCGACCGTGGGTCCGGGCAATGTCGACAGCCGCCTGCTCGTCAGGGGCCTTGACGTCCTCCATGATGGCCGATTCATCATACTCGCCGGTAAGGTTTTGAGGTCGCTGCATGGTGGTGGCCTCGCGATGGGTGATAATAATGTTGGGCTACCCTGATCGCGGCGTTGATCAAGGTGCGATGGACAAGAGGGATGACGAGGAGATCATGGCATCACATGCTATGACGCGGAGGAGAGCTGCTGGGAAGCTGATGATGCGGGTGAGAGAACGGGCGAGCGATGGATGCGACAGGTGGGCGGTTAGCAGCAGAGTAAATAGAGATGAGATCCTGGCACGATGCTCTTTTAGGCTTGGGCTGAGTCCCGTCGAGTCCCACAAGCTGAGGCCCCGCAGTCCAGTGGCAGTCGGCGTTGGTCTTGGGGGCACTTGAAGACGTTTATTTGTTCTGTTTATAGCAGACGGTTCAGCATGAGGCTGGATAACCTTTATCAACCTTGTCCAGGGCTTCCGGTGACTTTTGTTGGTACAGGGGTTACGAGGGCCTGTCATGTAGAAACGTGGGCGCTAACAGTGGAGAAGTCATGATACCACGGTCAGATTCACGCGAAGAGACGTGTGCTGTTAGTGAACGGGTATGCGCAGTCATCGCATAACGGATGCGGTATCCAATGGATAGACTTGGTTCAGTTACACGAGAAGCATCACCGAGGTTGACGCTTCTCAGTTGCCTACCCTACACTCTTGCGTGACACGCTTGCGGGCTGTGTTTCACCAGGTATCTATCCAGTAGGGATCTATATGATATTCCTAGCTTGGAATTGTCAATATTTGTTCATTCTTAGCTCATGTATGCTATGTAGTTGGTGTAGTTAACAAAAACAATAAAGAATTGTTTGACGTCAGTCGCTTCCTCATCGTGGAACTGCAAAGTGGGGTCAATGAGGGGCTCAACACCAGCTTCAGCTTCGTCCTGCTCGATTTATCCAACTCGCAACTCTCACGAACCCGACTCAATGAGCCTTGCAAGAGCTGCGCAGCGAATCAGGGCAATCCAGAACTCTCTAACTCGACCAGCTATCCCTCGCGCCTCTGTCCCTGGACACTCCAGATCAGTCACAATGGCGGCCACCACTGATACCAAGAACTACAAGTTCAACCACTCGATGTAAGCGTAGATGGCTCCGCAGCCAGATCTGCAGGCTGACGACACAAGGATTCGAGTCAAGGACCCCAAGGAGTCTGGTATGTTGGGTACCTACCCTGATGGCTGGGCCCGCTGACTAGAGCTACCGTCTAGTCAAGTTTTACGAGTTCCTAGGCCTCAGCGTCGTGAAACGACTTCAATTCCCCGAGGCCAAGTTCGATCTGTACTTCTTGGGCTACGACTCTCCCAATGCCGTGTCTCATGGGAACAGCGTTTTTGACAGGGAGGGTCTCATTGAGCTGACTCACAACTATGGTACCGAGAATGACCCCGAGTACAAGATCAACAACGGCAACAAGGAGCCTCATCGCGGATTCGGCCATACTTGTATCGCTGTCGACAACATCCAGGCTGCTTGCCAGCGCATTGAGGATGCCGGCTACAAGTTCCAGAAGAAGCTTTCCGACGGCAGAATGAGAAACATTGCCTTTGTGCTTGATCCTGATGGCTACTGGGTTGAGATCATTGCCCGAAACGACTACAAAGAGACTGAGGACATCAAGGAGACGGATGTGTCCACTTATACCATGGTACGACCCAGTTCCTCAGGTTGATATTCGCTAACAGCATAGAACCACACAATGATCCGCGTCAAGGATGCCAAGAAGTCTCTCGCCTACTACAAGGATGTTCTCGGCATGGCTCTTTTCAGAACCCTCGAGAACCCTGACGCCGGCTTCAACCTCTACTTCCTGGGCTACCCTGGGGACCAGCCTTTCACCGAGGGCCAGAACCAGAGCGACATTGCCCGTCGCGAGGGTCTTCTCGAGCTGACCTGGAACTATGGGACTGAGAATGATGAGAACTTTAGCTACCACGACGGCAACAAGGAGCCCCAGGGCTTTGGTCACATCTGTAAGTGCAACGTACTCTTGCTAGTACCCAGCTGACATTCTAGGCGTCTCGGTCGACAACCTGGAAGCTGCCTGCCAGCGATTCGAGGATCTCAACGTCAACTGGAAGAAGAGACTCACAGACGGACGGATGAAGAATGTGGCTTTTTTGCTGGACCCCGATGGCTACTGGATTGAGATTGTGCAGAACGAGAGGTTTTCTGGCCAGGACAACTTTTAGCCGGAGCCAAGCAAGACAGCAAAGCAAAGCAAATACAAGCAAATGGCGTATCTGAAAAGCAGGATAATCCCCTCTCGTAAGAGCCACTAGGAAGACGAGTACCAACAGATCAAACGTGGCAGTCAGCCTCGAATGCAGGCTCAGCGCTTCGCTTCAACTCACTCCCATCGGCAGCTGACGAACCTCGCTGTGAATGACACAAGACTTGCCGATGCGAACCCCACGGCGGCCCGTGGCTTGCAGTAGTTCCATACGGGGGTGGGAAGTGAGGGGTTGCAACCTTCAGGCCCAATGTTTGTGTGCCATCTCCCCAAGCGTCGTTCCCTCGTTGCACGACATGGACGTCCCTCGTTTGTTCCCCCCGCGCTCTCACCGCGACATTTATCGACAATTGGTCACGTCTCACTGAAACTCGCGTGCAGAAATACCCCCGCGTCGAGAGAATATACGTGGGCTCGGCGTGGGATTGGTCCTAAAGACGGGACTCTGCATTCTGTCCGTGACTTGTCATTGAAGGAATCACTGAAGTACTTTGCGGACGCTCAGTATGGCATGGCCTGTCTGGATTGGTTCAGAAGTAGCGGGTGGCGGTCATCTCTTGAGGACAAAGGCGGAGACGTCATCTCGACTTACTTATACCGGGTCATCGCCCTGAACCTTGATGGCTTCTCGCCTGCTTCTAGAGACTCGTCTGCTCTTACACAGCACGTAGACTATCCAACTCACCATGGCTCCTATTGCTACTTTTGATACGCCATCCAATGGCACCTCAAATCGTCCTCGCATTCTTGTCCCTGAAAAGGTTTCCCCTGACGGTCTGGCCCTCTTCACTCCTCACTTTGACGTCGACATACGAAAAGGCCTATCGCCTGCCGAACTCGTCAGCTTGATCCCCAACTACCATGGCCTCATTGTGCGCTCCGAGACTCAGGTCACGGCTGACGTCTTACAAGCCGGGAGAAAGCTCAGGGTTGTCGCACGAGCTGGCGTCGGTGTTGACAATATCGATGTCCCTGCTGCAACAACTCAAGGCATCATAGTCGTCAACTCCCCCTCAGGCAACATCATTGCTGCGGCAGAGCATACCATTGCACTTCTTTTAGCGACGGCCCGAAACATTGGCCAGGCTGATAGCAGCGTCAAGGCGGGCCGATGGGACCGATCCAAGCTTGTAGGCTCAGAAGCCAGCTCCAAGACTCTCGGAATCATCGGCCTGGGCAAGGTCGGCATGAACGTTGCCCGCATGGCGAAAGGCCTCGGGATGACGGTCGTAGCTGTTGACCCCTATGCGAGCGCCGACATGGCCCGTCAGGCAGGCGTAAAGCTTGTGTCTGGCTTGCAAGACTTGCTCCCAATCGTCGACTTTCTGACCATCCACACACCTCTTCTGGTCACCACGCTGGACATGATTGGTGAGGAAGAGCTGAAGAAGATGAAAAAGACAGCTCGCGTGCTCAACGTTGCTCGTGGCGGCGTGTACAATGAAGCTGCACTGATCAAGGGGCTTGACGAGGGATGGATCGCAGGAGCTGGCATCGATGTGTGGTCTACAGAGCCTCTGGCCCCAGACTCGATAGCTGCCCAGCTCAGCAAGCACCCCAAGGTCGTGGCAACGCCTCACCTGGGAGCATCAACGATCGAGGCCCAAGAGAATGTGTCGATGGATGTCTGCACGCAGGTGCTTGGGATTCTGCGTGGCGGTCTCCCCACCAGTGCCGTCAACGCACCCATCATCATGCCCGAGGAATATCGCAAGCTGCAGCCTTCTGTGAAACTCGTTGAGAAGATGGGTCGTCTGTATACGCAGCACTTTGCGCGACACAAGGGCGGAATGATGGGGGGTCGGCGCTTCGAGCTCATCTACCACGGTGACCTGGCCAGCATGTCCAACACAAAGCCGCTGTTTGCTGCATTGGTCAAGGGACTGGTGTCGTCGTTCAGTGACTCGCATGTCAACATTGTTAATGCGACGCTCATCGCAAAAGAGAAGGGAATTGTCATCAGCGAGACGCACTCTGGTGACTCGCCGTCGACCTATGCCAACCTGGTGACACTGCGGTCCTACCAGACGGGCAGCAGCAGGGAACAGGTGATTGAGGGCTACGCCAGTGACGAGCGGGTATTCATCTCCAAGCTGGACCGATTCAACGGTGTCTTTACGGCCGAGGGGACCCTGATCATCCTGCACAACTACGACGAGCCTGGTAAGATCGGAGGCGTCGGAACGGTTCTTGGGATGCATGGGATCAACATCAAGTCGATGCAGGTGGCAAGTCTCGACCCGGAGGCGTCCAAGGGAGCCGAGACTCCGCCGGACCCCAAGGGCGACGAGGCATTGATGATTCTGGGGGTGCTTGGGCCGGTGAGTAACGAGGTGTTGGAAGGGTTGAAGAACTCGGAGGGAGTGTTGGATGTGAGTCTGGTGCAGCTGTAGGTACCTTACGACAGGTGCAGATAAGTACAGGTGTAGCCCTGGAAGCTTGGACCATAGATAGATTGGCCAATCAACTTGGCATTGACTTGATGGTTCGAATTGACGTGAAATAACCCTCGAACTGAACCGAATTGACCCTTGTTTGAATATTAACTCAAAATTGCGAATAAACACAAGGGAGACAAGGTCCGCATCCATGATGACTTCATGTTGCCTTTGCGACCCTCCACTCCTGCGCCTCAATCGCCCCGCGTAATTTGCTAGCTGCGAAATTAGGGCGGCGTAGCACTGTTAGCTGCTGTAACCCAGTGGACTGTGCTGAACCGTCGGGCATTTGGACCCTGGGCTAATCGGGGCCTGGCCAATCACAGCCCCAGCGCCGCTCGCCGGGAGCTCCCTGTTGGCGTCATCGGCAACAGGTCGATGCTCTTATAGCTCGCTCACGTTCGTCCCACTTCTTCCTTCCACTTTCTTCATCACCAATCGCCTTTGGTGCGAAGGTCGTGACGACTACAGTACAAGCTTGCTTCGACTTCGATTCTCATCTTCTCGCCAATCTTTCCGAGCTTTTCTTGACGTATCCTTGACTGTCTCAGATACATTCCAGCCACTATCGCCCTGTCACTTGTCATCCCGAGTATCTCGTGCCTGTGATCGCAGACGATTCGACAACATTATTCTTCAATCAGTCGTTCAGACGATAGTATACTCACCCGACCTCGCGCATTTGCTTCAAAGCCTCTCCCCGGAGAAACCGCACAATCATGACGCGACGCGCAGCTCGGTATAGCGCCCTAAGGCCCGCCATCATTGGCATGGGCCGAGTCTTTGGCGCCAGCTTGACGGCAGTCTCGGCTCACCCAATTCAAGCTCAAGGCCATCATCATGACGAAGAGGGTGCTGACCTCTGGGTTCTCGCCGTTGCCTCGATGGCTCTGGTGCTCCTGGGTGGTGCTTTTGCCGGTCTGACCATTGCGCAAGTTCCCCTCTCCTCTTGGCACCACGCGACGCTGACCAGCATAGCCTGATGGGACAGGACAGCATCTACCTTCAAGTTCTCTCGGGCGACCCTACCGAACCGCAGCATAAGAATGCAAAGCGCGTGCTGAAACTTTTGAATCGCGGAAAGCACTGGGTTCTGGTTACGCTGCTCTTGTCAAACGTCGTCGTAAACGAGTCATTGCCTGTTGTTTTGGACCGAACTCTTGGCGGGGGCGTTGCTGCGGTCGTCGGCAGTACAATCCTAATCGGTATGTCGGTACGACTCTGTCGGTAGTGAAGCTAACAACGGTAGTTATCTTTGGTGAAATCGTTCCTCAGTCCATCTGCGTGCGATACGGACTCCCTATCGGCGGATACATGTCGACGCCAGTTTTGATGCTCATGTACTTGACTGGTCCCATATCGTGGCCTATCGCCAAGCTCCTTGACTGGATTCTTGGAGAGGACCATGGCACTCTGTACAAGAAGAGCGGCCTCAAGACGCTTGTCACCCTCCACAAGTCCCTTGGAGAGCTCTCGGAGCGATTGAACCAGGATGAGGTCACCATTATTACAGCTGTTTTGGACTTGAAGGATAAGCCCGTTGCTGAAGTCATGACCCCTATGGACGATGTTTACACCCTTTCTGAGGACCACATCCTTGATGAGAAGACAATGGATGATATTTTGTCCTCAGGATACTCGCGCATCCCCATCTATCGCTCTGGAAACCACATGGACTTTGTTGGCATGCTTCTTGTCAAGACTCTCATCACGTACGACCCCGAGGATAAGATCCCCGTTCGCGAAGTGCCCCTTGGAGCTATTGTCGAGACAAGACCGGAGACCAGCTGCTTGGACATCATCAACTTTTTCCAGGAGGGCAAATCTCACATGGTGCTTGTTTCGGAATTCCCTGGATCGGATCACGGTGCCCTGGGTGTTGTTACTCTTGAGGATGTTATTGAGGAGCTGATTGGAGAGTAAGTTGTTTGTTCTTCTGACCAACCAAAGCTGACCAATTAGGGAAATTGTTGATGAATCCGATGTCTATGTCGATGTCCACAAGGCCATTCGACGCCTGACTCCCGCCCCCCGAGCCCGTCGTATCCAAGCCGGAGCTGCCGCTGTGGCTGCCACCGCCAGCAGACAGGCACCTGAAGCTGCCATTCTCGTCGATGTTGATGAAAACCATGTGACCCCTAACCTCGAAACTGCATCCTACCACAGCAACTATGAGGGCGGATTTCACAACGGAGCCAAGACTGCTATCCACATGAAGCGCAGAACTTCGGACGGCGGCATTGAAGGAACCCCGGTTGTTGTCAAGGCCAGCTTGGATGAGATGCGGCAGCAGCTGCGTCTGGGTCCCGCCAACCGAGCCACAAAACCTCTCAACAACACTCGCGGCAGTCTCTTCAAGATCAAGCAGGGGCTCGGCGCAAATCAGGCGACTCCCCTCGAAACTTCAACCTCAACTTCAAGTCGTCTGCCCCCGCGAGCGGCTTCACACATTGGCTTCACAAGTACGCAGCGTCTCGGAGGACATGAGCGAACGCCGCTATTAGGCAACGACCACGAGGAGGCTGTTGAGGACGATACCGATCACGGACCTAAAACCAATGGTGCAAAGTAGGAGATATGAGTATGACATCAGCGAGCAGGTGTCTCTGGCAACTGCACGTACATCAGCGTCTCAGGCTAATAGGTAGCTCGAGCGAGGACAGTTAGTGTCCGTAACATTTCGTAATGACATTCTTGTTCTCTTTATTTTGTTTTAGTTGTACCAGATGGCATTCATGCCAAAACCGGGCTCAGGAACTCTCACTCTGGCTACGCGAGCAAGAAACTCGTCCTGCCAGCGGTAAATCTCCAGCCACCCCTCCTGATCATCTGTAATAGCCACCCATTCGTCAGTCCAGGGGCACGGCGCCACGGCGTTGCTATGTCCTCCACTTGTAGGCGTAGGGTTCAAGCAGATCTGGCGCTCAATGGCGCCTGTAGGTGACAGAGCAAAGGCGGCGACATAACCGGTGAGGTCAAAGGAGTTGGCTCGCGATGAGGCGAACAGGTATTTCCCTGACGAAGACAGCACGCACACGTCGGCGCGATACTGTGTCCACCGGTCAGGGATACCAGGAGGGATTAGAGGGTACTGTCGATGCGTATACACAGGGAGACGAGTGGCCGGGTCGATGAGGTATTCACAGATGCGGTTGCCCTTCTCCATCAGCGCATAAAGGTAATTGCCCGTGGGATGCATGGCAACCCAACGGGGATGGTCTCGGTGATCGGGACACTCGACAGATCCCACTAGGTCAAGGGCAGCGTCGTTTTCTCGGCGGCGATGGACCCAAAGCTTATTGGCACGGAGATCGGCCGAGTACAGGTACTCCTCCTTAGGATCAAAGACCATGCCGTGAATGCCAGTGTTGGGCTGGTAGGGGTAGTTTTGGACATTTTCCTTGAGAGCCTTGGTGGTAGAGTCTGTCGTGAAGACGGCACCATGACCAGCATGATCATAGAATGGGTTGCAGTAGACGGCGTACGGAGGCTTGTTCGCAGCGAGGAGAAAGATGGCTCTTGTATTTGTCGTCGCGAGAGAGGCGTTGGCTGACAAGTTAGCTGAGAAGCTGAGTCGTGGGTGCGAGACATACGATCGTGTTGCATTGGATGAGACACTTGGTGGGTGATGGAAGTTGGCGACTCGACGGCGAAGCTGGACCACTTCTTCATGGCAGCGCCATAAATGGCTTTCCGATCATGCTTTGACGGTCAGCTGGTGATCAATTGGTCTCAATTCGACTTACACTGAAAGTCATCCATGAGATGGGCTCGTCCTTAGGAATCTCGGTCTTCTTGATGAGGTCAAGTGTGAGAGCTTCATCATCAAAAGCAAAGGTGAAGATGGCACCCGGAGGGGTCCAGGTTCCAACCATGAGATGATGAACAGGCATTTTGGAAGCGAGTATTGGGATGAACCTCATAGACAAAAAAAAAACAAAGTCAATTGGTGTTGAAGAGGAATCAAAGTCAAAGACGAGTAAAAGAAGTCATGAGCAGCTGGTGACGATGGAGGGGCAGAAGGCTAAACATTTATCCCGAGAAACCCCACGAGATGCAGCAGCGGGAAGAGACGCACGATTTAAAACACGACAAGCCTCGGCCTAAAGAGCGGGAATCTGGCATTTAAAAAGGGATGTTTCCGGAGACGCGGTTGGCCGCTTGGGGACACAATTGAACGTTGAAGTGGTGGGGTTGATGGTTATGGGGTTGTCATGGTGGAGAAGCCGGGGTTAAGACTTCGGTAGAGGGCGGCGGCAGATGGAGATGGAGATGGTGCATGTTTAAGAGTTGGAAGTCGTGATTGATTTGATGATGGAGATGGTGGAGGTGAATGGAGGAGATACCTGGATGGGTTCCTGCCTTGAATACCAACCACGTGATGCTATACTGAACTTCTATCTCTTGCTATCCATTGTTGTTAGGTACTCGACATCTTCCTCTGCATCTTCATCCATTCTCTTGATAGCCTCCATCTCGACCGAGCCGTACCGATTTTCGTCCCGTTCCCCACAGACACTGCAAGTCGGCATTAGACTCGGCAGGGAGGATGAGAGGATGAACTATGCCTCCCATCACTAGATGCAGTAGCACTTGAACCCGCGACAGCCCTATTACTCACGGACAATATGCCAGTCCATGGACATGGTGTAGGACAAGGTCAATGGCCAGATCAACATCTGATGGAGAGCACTAGCATCTTGACGTGATTCGGCTATCAAGCGAACAAAGCATTATCAAGAGCCCAAATCTATATCATGGAGCATTGAAAGCATGAAAAGCATTGAAAACGTCGCTGTCTTTGGCTAGAGTGTTGTGGGTAATCAATCTTGCGAGGTAGGATTCAAGATCTATTTGTAGGACCATCCCTATCGTCGATCAACATTGACCACGAACCAAGCAAATTCCTGCCCTTTCAATTCTCTCTGCAACAATTAAACAGACGTCAAACATGCAAGGCCCAAATTTAACCCGCTCAGGCTCGTCCACACCATCGTGCATCGGCGGTGCATCATCCGCCCGTCACCGTCACCGTCACTGCCACTGCCACTGCACGCACCGATAAGATAGCACCACTGGGGCGCCCCCGTCTCCCGGTCAACCGCCGCGCCCCGATAAACAATCCACACCTGCACCGCAACGGCCTGCACCTGTCTATCCGTGACTTGTCAACCACCTGTTACCCCAGTTTTCCTTTTCTTCTCCCGCAATGGCATAGTCTCATCCGGCATCTTAGTCTGTTTCCCCTTCACCGTAGGTGAAGTCTCTTGTTTTCCGTTCTTATGTTCTTCAGCATCCTCTTTACCCAACGCTTTGTCGTTTGTCCTTGATCGAGCCAGGGCCAGTCTAGCCATCAATCGGACTGTCTCAAAACAAGACGACAATGAATCCCCTCGAGGTCAACAGCTTCGAGCCGGGCCGACGCCCAAGGCCAAAGTCATCGATACTCGAATCCTTTATGAACCGTCGCCAGGCCTCCAACGAAGACCGCCCTCCTCTGAGTCCCTTTGAGGGCACCACGCCTCCGATACAACCCAAGATCATGGCATTTGAGAACTTTTCCAACCCCGGTGCCCTGGCTGAGCTGCAGCGCAATCAGCAGGAGCCCATTCCTCGCTTCCCCAGGCGAGACGACCGAGACGACCGCGGCCGATCACCATCACCGACCAAGAACAGTTTCGGCAACTTTACTGTCATCACGGCAGCTGGTAATGATATCAAGGGAACCAAGTCCCGCGACGTCTCGCCAACCAAACCTAAAAAGACCAAGTCGGGAACCAACTTGGCTGGTTTGCTGAGGCCCAAGACCCTCAAAAACCTAGGCAGGTTCGGATCCGACGAGGACATGAACTCCAAGGACAAGGAAAACAGAACACCCGATGAACCACCTGCGCCCACCCCCATATACGCCCAGTTCACATCAAACCCTCTGACACAAGAGCCACGAAGCCAACGTGCAAGTCTCGACGCAACAAGGAGACCCAGCGACCAGGACCTTTATATGAGCAATCGACCTGTTGTCAGAGAGAGACCAAAGTCATTCCACCCCATGCACACCAAGATGGAGTCACCACCGTCACCAACAAAGGCCCGCTTCCCGAACGAGTCCCGAAAGGGCTCCAAGGACTCGACCGAGTCCAAGAGTAAGAGTAGCCGCGGCAAGGTCCTGAGTGCCTTTACATTCAGCCACGGCCGATCCAAGTCCATGTCGACCGTCGCCGAGCCCACCGAGAGGGTGCTCGATCCCAAGGATGTCGACAAGCACCTCGAGGCCATGCTGGATCGACGAAACATTCCAGAGAACCAGAGGTACAAGATGCGCAATTTGAGCAACACCATCAAGATGGAGTTTATCCGTCAGGACTGGGCCGAGATGCAGGCTCTGAGGGCTGAAAGGCCCTGCTCTACTGACAGTGTGAACAGCAATGGCTCGGTTGATGCGAGCAGGTATGAAGACAAGCCGAAGCGATCACGAGGAAAGAGTTTCACGCTCTCTCGGGGAAAAAAGGACAACAAGGAGCCGAAAGAGCCGGTCAAAAAGTCCAAGGGCGATGGCACGCTTGGTCGCCACTTTAGGAGCAAGTCGACCGATAGCGTGGTTAGTGAAGCCCCTCCTGGATCAAGCGGATCAGCCAACTCGGGCATCCTCTCCAAGATCAAGCTCCAGCAAGGCCCGGGCGACTATGTAGCCTATCTCAGAAAGGTCCAGAAGCCTGAGCTCGTCGAAGTCGGCAAGGTTCACAAGCTTCGACTATTGCTGCGGAACGAAACCGTCGCCTGGATTGAAGACTTTATCCAGCAAGGCGGCATGAAGGAGATTGTTGGTCTCCTCAACCGCATCATGGAGGTTGAGTGGAGGTGAGTTCTACTATCGGTTACAGTTGGATCAAGCTGACAAGGTGTAGGGAGGAACATGAGGATGCGCTCCTTCACGAGAACCTTCTTTGTCTCAAGGCATTGTCGACGACTGCTCGCGCCATGCAGTATCTCGACACGATCCAGGGTGACTTGTTTCCCAAGCTCCTCCACATGCTGTTTGACCCTGAGAAGAAGGGTCCCAGCGAGTTCACCACGCGCAACATCATCACGTCTGTCCTCTTCACATACATCGAGTCTGCAAGCCCCACTGAGCGGGTGACGAGAGCAAAGAGTGTCCTCTCACATTTGCGAGACCCAGAACCCAAGGAGGACGAACGTCCGTTGCCGTTTGTCCTGGAGATGAGGCAGGAGAGGCCATATCGCGTATGGTGTAAGGAGGTTGTCTGCGTGACCAAGGAAGTCTTTTGGATATTCCTCCACAACGTCAACGTCGTAGACCTCCCCTCGGAGCGCCCTTCATCAGCAGATTCCAACCCTGGTCCGTATACCTACATGCTCCGGCACTTTCCTCAGGAGCGCCCTCCTGTGCCGGCAGCGCCGTACGTGGGCGGAGTAGAATGGGATGCGACCAACTACCTCGCTTGCCACCTCGATCTCATGAATGCGATCCTGGCGTGCACACCTACAGTCGAGGAGCGCAATACTCTGCGAGCACAGTTTCGCATTTCCGGATGGGAACGTTGTCTTGGAGGTAGTCTTCGCCTCTGCAAGGAGAAATTCTATGGAAGCGTACACGACGGCCTTCGCACGTGGGTCGCAGCGGCTGCTGAGGATGGCTGGGATTATAAGGATGTACGATTTGGGCCGCCACCGGAGTCCCGGGGTTCGCCAAAGAAGGCCGGAGGGGGCCAGAAGAAAAAGGTTGAGCAGGCGCCAAAGATTGAGATGCCCAAGCTCGACTTTGGTCTGGATAAGCCGCCGGCGCCGAAGAAGGACGAGTGGATGTGATGAGTCTGGAGGCCGGAATGTTTCTTCTTTCTTTGTGTATGGTTGTTTGGGACATTGTTGGTAGTCTGGTTGCGTCTGCTTGATGATGGCATGTTAATGAACTGATGACACGGCGTTATCGAGTGTATGTCGTCCCTTCACTCGTTATGGTACATATAAGCGTATTGTCCAGCCAGCCACTGTGTCTATGGCTTGGTCATCACAGGTTACTTCGGTGCAGCTTGAATGCCTCGTAGACTGTCACACCCTTGAGAACATCCTCCTTGACCTTGTCGTCGGCCGACGTCAGCCTGGGCAGCAATTCTACCACCGCAGACACCTTGTCCTGGGGGATGACGACCACCCCGTTGATTGGATCGCTAAATGCCAGGTCGCCTGGAGACACGAGGGTTCCATCAATGTCCAGAGGTACCTGGGTGGCCCAGGGCACACTTCCGCCACCGGCTCCGACAGTGGACAATCCACGGGCCCAAATCTGCAAGTCTCAGAGTTTGAAAGTAACCAGGTTCATGGGACTCACCGGCAAGGAAGTGCTCTTGAGTTCTTCGATATCCCTGGCGCGCCCAGCCACGATTATGCCCTTGGCTTGGCACACTTTCATGCGAACTGCCATGATACCACCGCAGATGGCATTCTTCTGACCCTCTGGCTGCTTGAGAACGACAATTGTTCCTGGTTGTGTCAGATCAGCCCAATGAACACCGCTGGGGATATTCTTTGGCTCTGGTAGATCTTCTCCTTTGCGAGCGAACAAGACTGTCGAGACTGGAGCGATGGTAACCGAAGCCGGCTTGCTCCCCGGGTGGCTGTAGAGGTCAAGGTCGGCAATGAAGCCGGCACCGGGCACTTTGAGCTTTAGGAGTGCATCTGAGATATCACACGCAGTGTACTGCTGAAGCTTGGCAATATTCTCGGTGTGAGAACCCATGTTGAGAGGATAAGGACAAGTCGGTGAAGAATAGAGGCTCAATGGAGTATCGGTATCTGTCGTGTGAAGCTGCGATAATCGCAGGAGGATCAGTTGTTATGGAGATGGGAGCTCCGTGACTCCGGAGCCTCCATCAACCCGGAGGTCCAATCATGTTCGGTACCAGCACATGTCGATGCGAGACCTTGCCAGGATGGTGGGGAGGCAGCGAGGGTCTTGCAGAAGCCAATCATGGAGACGTGGGATTCCGCCTTGCGGACGGAAGCTTGAGCGGAGCTTGTTGCGGCTGCGAGGGAGGCTGCATAACCCTAGCTTAGGAGCTACTGTATGGATGGAGCTCGCAGATGACGTCCCTTGTTGGCTCTTTTCTCCTCTCTTATTCTCTCGACTCAAGCGGGGTCGTAGGACAAGAAGAGAACGCATTGACGGGCTATCAATTCCAGTCCAGGTATCAATCGGTGACGGAGGAGGCTCGGCTGGTCAGAAATGACGTGTCTCTTGAGCAAGGGACAAGTGACGGAGGATGGGAACTGTCCTGTCAACGGCCCCAGCCGCGATTGACGTCCTGGGCTCTGCATTGCCGAGTCATGATGAGGCATTGGAACCGGGTTGTTGGTGTTTCAGGGAAAATTCAACTTTTCAACCCCGCCTCAACTTGTAAGCGATTGACCGTGAATGGTGAGAAGGCAGGTGCGCATGCAGGGCTCAGCGACTCAGGGCAGGTACTTATTAGACCTATCCAAGGCCTCGAGCTGCAATGCATCATGCTCGCTTGTTCCTATAGATTCCGAGATTGGTGATGATTACCAAGTGCTCGATCTATTGTCGTCAAGGATCATACAAATGTCCCCAGGCGCATGGAACACTCCAGGGTCCGACCTGACGCAGGACGATGCACCTGGCATCACTACGGTCTAGTACGGCGGGTTGAGCTGCTTTATGCACAGGAACAGGATCCGAATCTCATGGTACAGAGGATAGCGCGCCTTTGCTGCCAACATCAGCTGTTGTCTTCTGTTTCCAGACAGTTAGGCCCTTCTAGTCTGTTGCTGGGCGGGGCCGAGGCTGGGATCCATGGCTGGATGAGTTGGTCTGGATAATGAGCCTGTTGAGCGTAGATGCGATGCTGATCAGTTTCTAGTGCATGACACCCCAGACTGAGACGCGACGAACCAAGCCGCGCCGCACCGTACCGTACCGTTCTCGGTCAGCCGTTGGTGCTTGTCCGAGAGCTGGGGCAGAGACCATCCCGGTTGTCCCGGTCTTGAGGGTTCAGTCGATTGCTGGGTCCTTTGGATGCAGCTAGACGATGCATACCATACTGTAGAGACGTAGGTATCCGTAGTTGGCGTGGGATGAATTGCCCCTCTTCTGAGGCATCATGATTCGTGGTGTCGAGTCCCATGAGGAGGAGAATCAAAATAAAGTACACATGCTGGTGTTATATCCCGCCAGGACTGAGTCGATATTTATGACTGCTGGTCTTGTGTCGTGAACCCACTTGGTTGGGCTGAAGTTGAGCTGGTGGATGCCGGAGCCTGGGTGGATGGGTCTAGCTTTCGCTAAGCCGGCCAAGACCAGTCGGGTGATGGACGAGGTTGACAGGCCACACGCCGGATATGATTTCCGTAAGGGTTATGATGAGAGAGAAGGAGACTCTTTGGGTGAGACGAGTTGATTGTAACTGTTGCGTTCAGGCGTCTCCGTTTCACGGACGATGGGCAGGTGCCGGATCTGCTAGATACGGAGGGAGGGGTTTTGGTCCTGGTCCTGTGAGGGGCATCAGGATCCTCGCTCAGAGGAGTTGATGTCAAGGTTGTAACGAGCTCAGCGTTGGGGCCAGGGTCTAACATGCCAGGGGTATATGAGAGAATGCTTGTACGTATCAGGGCAGAGTGTTGGTGGCTGTGGTGTTTGAAGTTGATGCTTGTATAGAAGCCTGATGGTTCTATCCGATTGCTTGTTTGGGCAGCTCACAGCCAGGTCTCTGAAGGCATGGATGTATCTCGAGACACAACGGAACTGCGTCGAGCACGTGGTGGACTGTTTCAAGAGGACCCAGGACGCGGATGATGATATTCATTGGTCGACTCTGGCCCCGGAAAGTGACAGTCACCCAACGTGGACCGTGACCGTGGACCTCCTGGCAGATCAGCACCGCGGCTCGGCCCAAAAATCGATCCGCAGCGCCCAACTTTGCATCTCCAACCTTACTCCATCCACTGACTGACACTGATTCCTTCCCTCATCCCTCCCACACATCAGCCGCTCTAGCCATCCCTCCAGCTCGAGACAGAGTGCTGTATCATACGTACCGTTCGTTCTAGTCGCCGTACTGCATCTGCTGCGACTCTAGACATCACACCATCGCCGCCTGTCTTGTCTCGCACGCCGCCTGCCCACAAATCGAAATCGCCCGCCAACTCGATCAAATCGCCGCCTCCCCCACCTGGTTACGGCATCGCTTCCAGCCACCAGCCACCTGGGAGTTTACTCCTGCTGCCTTGGTCCTTGGTCGCAGGCCTCCCTCTCGTCTGTCTGTCTCTCTGTCCACCCATCTTCTCCTTGGTCTACCCAAACTTGGTCGCGCCTTGGCCTCTAGCTACCGCTACCGCTACCTTGCCCTTGGCTTCTAACCGTACCCAACTCCAACAGTCCAGTCCAACAGTCCAGTCCAAACGACCCACCCCCCACCAGCACCAGCACCAGGCCCCAAGGCCCAGAGGCCAACCCGGCCGCAGAGCCACTCGCTCCAAGATCTCGGAGCTACTAAAAGCTGCCTGCACGTCCTGACCTGCCGGTACGGAGCCTGGAGCCATTCGTCCACGAGCTAGGGTCGCTTGAACCCTGTCCGCGACAATGTCGATAAAGTAAGCCTCTTTCGCGAGCCTCTTCCCTTCCCCTTGAGCCTTTCCTCTCCCCGTCTTGTCTTGTTCTACCTTGGCCCTTGGTCTCTTCCGTTCCCGCCCAGTCTCCGAGGCCCATCCTTGCCCGTGGCTCTCTTCCGTTCCGTCACCCTCCCGCCCGTCACTCTCCGCTCTATACCATCCCGTCCTGTCCTTGCACCTCCGTCCTATCCCCCCGTCCCGTCCCGTCCAGTACACGGCGCCCACGGCGTCCGCGGCATAGTCCGCCCGTCGACCGCCCCGCCATCTACGGCCCATGTAGTCATGGACCCCGCCCTACAATGGACAACCCTCACGACTATTTGATTACGAGCCGTCCTCCTTCGCGGCCCGTCGACCCTGACAATGCCGATAGCTGGGTTATGCTTAACCAGGGCGGCTTCGTCAAGCTTGGCAATGAACGCATCTTGATGAAGCTCGACTCGAGGATCTCATGCGACCTGTCTGTGCCCCAGGAGCTGAGATCACGATGCACCTCGTTCCAACGGAAAAGCGATAGGGGCACCCTTTTCCTTACCAACAAGAGAGTGAGTTTGTTCTGTCGTCTTGGTCGTCACGTTCTGACCTTGTAGATTGTGTATCTACCATCGAAACCTACCCAAGAACCAAAATTCGAATCCTTTAGTGCTCCCATCTTAAAATTTCAAGACTCTACGACCTCATCCTCGATGTGGTGGGGATGGGTCTGGAAGTCGGACTGCATCCCAGTATCTGGGGGTGGCATTCCACCAGACATTCCACGAGTCGAAGTCAAGTTCACATTTTCCGACGGCGGCATGACGGACTTCAATGAGACCTACATCCGGTTGAGGGAGCGCCTCTTCCAGTATCAAGAGATGCGCCGAGAGATGGGCCCTGGCGCTGATGTTCCCGACGAACCTCTACCAGCCTACGAGGCCCAATCTAGTCAACCAGCCACAGCCACTTTGGATACGCGGCCAGATCGATCCGACAGTGCCGCCAGCCGGAGGGCGCCAGATGAGCCGCCACCAGATTATGACGAGGCGCAAGCCCAGCAGTTGAATATCCGGCTGGAGGATCACATTCGAGGGGAGATTGACAGGGGAGTATACGAACGCGATGATTAACGGCCGCATTTCGACCACATCGAGGACTGGTCAAGATACCAAGATTTGAGCACTGCATTATGAACTGTCTTTTTTGCACCGTCGGGACTTTTGTATCGTAGCGATGGCAGACCTGCTCACATGATTTACGTTTGTCAATGGCTATCAGATTAGAAGAAATGAGATGATAGATCAAGCAGACTTGTGATGATTATTTGTTGCGGCTAAAGTGCGGGTCAATGATGACATAATCACCGGAAGACTGGAAGACTCTCGGGTCTTGAATCACGTGCGGTATTTTTGACCAAGCCGGGTACCTCTCAGCCAATCAAACTGCCTCAATTACCTAGGTTCCGGATCAGTTTTCATTTCGTGCCTCTGGCCGAGAGCTTCCGACCTCTTACGATCAGGAACGACAACGACACCTCAATCGAAACCACCACTCGCCATTGTGAATTCTTCCGCCTGTCGCAATGGGTATCTGGGACGCCTTTACCGATATTGTCGAGGCCGTGACGCCATGGAGCGTCGTCGAGGCTGAGGCTCCTGCCGAGCCCAAGGTACGGCATTTTCTCACGCATTTTCTCTCACCCATCAATTGCGTCACGCATCGGGGGAGGACGCGGCCAATGCCTCGTGAATTCATCGATAAGGCTGACACTGCATAGGAGGAGCCCGAGGCCGAGACCGAGACCAAGGACGAGCCCGAGGAGGAGGAAGAGGAAGAGGAGGACGAGGATGAGGATGAGGAGGATGAGGAGGAGCTCGTCGACCCCAAGGATACCCTCGAGGAAGGTTCGTCATACCAATTCATACGAATCGAGCGAAATACTTTGTCGTCATCGATACGGACTGGAATTCCAATATGCTGACGCATCTACAGAGTGCCGGAACTCTCCCCAGTGTGCTCCCGCCAAGCACCACTTTGATGAGTGCGTTGAGCGCGTGCAGCAGCAAGAGAGCGAGGGTGGTGCCAAGGAGGACTGCGTTGAGGAGTGTATGTCACACAGCGAGGCTGCTGGTCTCGATGCCTAATCTCGTACAATTGCTAACATGTATAGTCTTCCACCTGGCTCACTGCGCGACCGCCTGCGCTGCTCCTAAGCTTTGGGCTAAGCTCAAGTAAATACTCGATCAACCGAGTCATCCGATGCGAACGATTCGTATTGACGAGATGACTATACCATGTCGAGACGCCATGCCGGAACGAGGCAAAGGATACTCTTGCGGGGGCTTCCTTGTACGATTGGTCGTCTGTTGGATGTCAAGTCCAGAGCACTGTCTGACGGCTCTCTCTGTATCATACGCTGCAACGCCTGAATAGATTTCTTTCATCAACTTGACTAATGCCAGTCTGTCTTGGCTGGTTCCCAGTGGATGGTGATTCAGTCTGTACGTTTCTCGAGCAGATGGCTCTTATACTCGTAGTTGTCGAATATTGTTGGGCTCTGCCTTGGCTGCCACACTAACGCAGTCATGTTGAGCTCTCAAGTTGGTGTATCGAGGACAGCATTATCCCGATGTTGCACGCGGCACATTGCAGGAACTGCAGTGCCACTGGGGCTGTTGAATATGCTGCGTTTACACGGACCAACTTGAGCATCACGGCGTCTCGAAATAGCCTGGAGATGATGTGTCTTGAGTCTTGCATCGGAACCCGGCCCTTGAAAGCGCAGTCTTATTAAACTCGTTATCCGTTATCCACAGTCAGATCGAGGGGCCTCGTCAAAGTATTGACAAGCCAACGTTGACAAGCATCGACAACATGGCCAGCATTAGCAACTTAAGCGACAACGCACACTGAAACCTCGCTGCCAGGTAAACTGCATGCCGTCGTCTATTCTATTCTAGGGTCTTTGGAGGAACGTCTGCATGTGCCATGGCCAGAGACCGGCCCGACCCCCATCACGCAGTGGTCGCCAGATCGAGGCTCTCGGATCCTGTTTAGCGTGTCAATCAATTCAGATGCGGCATGGGCAGAACAGATAGTCTGGCCATCATGTGAGATTTCGCAGATGTGACTTGGCAGGTTTTTCGAACCGAGGCGACCAAATCGGGCAATGACGCCGGCGTGATGAAACCCCGTGCCCCCGCTGAAGAAGACGGCGACGGCGACTGGTGGCCGTGAGCGAGCAGCGAGAGCGGCACAGGACATGGCTAGCATGGCTCTTTTGTACGAGATCGAAAGGGGGAGATATGGCTGATAGTCAAGGGCTTGGTTGGCTGGAGTCTAAAACGCCGCTGCGGCATGCCTCCCGTTGTTTAGCAGTGACCTATCAGCGTCCAAGCGCAGTCCGTTACGGTTGTAGTGCGTTGAGGATTCAGGAAGGTGTTCGCCAGGGAGGTGCAAGCGTAGAACTGGACGGATAGCACTTGCCTTGAATGTTATCACCTCGGTCGGTTTAAGATCTCCCCTCTTTTGGAGACGGTAGATCAAGTTTCTCCATCCTCCATCTCTACCTCATCTCCATCTCTATCCTCCATCGTCGGACTTGTTTCGTTCCCGCCGCCGAAGGACTCAGCAGAGGAAATCACAGAAGCAATTATATACCCCTGTCTGCCAAGCTGAAACAGCCCAACACCACGCGACAGTTGCGAGAGCAAGCCGGTCGAACCAACAACACGCTCCGGCTCCGACTCCGTGTCAGCGCGGCGAGGATCCTGGTACTAACTCAGGTAATAAATACCAAGGGTGGTACAACGGTTCGGCACAGACCCCAAGGCTAGACTCGACGAAACGAGACGGAATCCATGAGGCGATTGTGAGGTGACCTGGACCTCGAGAAACCTCTGGCGAATCCAGGAGAGATTCGATTAAGCTGCATGTGCTTCTCCTTCCTGTCGATCCCCTGAGTAAAGTTGCTTTTGGTGGTGATTTAGCCATCAACTACTTCATTCAACTCGGCCGCGATTCACTCATTTCGTTGCTGCGACCGCCGCCGCCACGATAAACATCTCCGACACTGCTCATCACTCCTTGCCACTGTCGACTGCCCTACTCTCCTTGATCAAGTTTTGGGCGGACCTGCAGTGTCCCTGAAATACCAGCCGTCGTCTCCACTGCATCAGCAATCCACAAACCACAATCTCACGGTCTCTTCTTGAGTCGACTTTTTCCATTGTCAACAACGCATGCGCGCCCAAGAAGAGAAGCAAGGGCGGCATAAGCGGCTCTTTGAATCATTCTCCATCATGAACAACGACGGCGTCGGTGGTCGCTTCTGGCGAAAACAGAAACTCGGATCTCGCGACTTTAGCCTCCAGGAACGCAGAGAGGGTGAGGGCGATGGTGATGGCGATGGCAGCATCCACCAGGGCGCGTCGACCGAATATCGAACATATAAACGCCGCTGGTTCGGTCTTGCTCAACTGACGCTCATGAACATCATTGTCTCCTGGGATGTAGGTTGAAGCTGGCTTGCGCTAAGATTAAGATGCTGACTGAAATAGTGGATGACCTTTGCGCCTGTATCTTCACATGCTTCCACCTACTACGATGTCAAGACCTCGACCATTAATTGGATCAGTACCGCCTTCTTCTTGGCCTTTGTGGCCGTCTTTCCCATCAGCATTGCAATCCTGCACCGTGGACCCAAGCTGGCTTTCATGACTGCTGCTGTCCTCATCCTCATTGGAAACTGGATTCGATATGCTGGCTCTACCAAGGCCAGTGGTGGAAACATTGCCTATGCTATGGCTGGAGAGATTATCATTGGATTCGCTCAACCTTTCATTCTCGCTGCCCCAACTCGTTACTCGGATCTGTGGTTCACCAATCGTGGCCGTGTAGCAGCAACGGCCCTCACAAGCTTGGCCAATCCCTTTGGTGCAGCCTTTGGACAGTTGATCACACCTTTCATGGTCAGCAAACCTAGTGATGTATCCAGCATGGTTCTCTATGTCTCCATCATTGTAAGTATTGTGTCTTCGTTGTTGACCCAGCTAACATCTCAGTCAACCGTCTGCTCTGTCCCTGCTTTCTTCGTCCCGGCCAAACCACCTACGCCTGTTGGCCCTGCTGCCGAGACCCCCAAGCTCAACCTACGCGATTCACTCACCGTTGTCTCTCGATCTCTGGAGCTCTGGCTGATCCTCATTCCGTTCTCCATCTATGTTGGCTTCTTCAACTCTCTTTCCTCTCTGCTTAACCAGATGATGGAACCCTATGGCTTTTCCGACGATGAGGCCGGCATTGGTGGCGCCGTTCTGATTGTGGTTGGTCTTGTTGCTGCTGCCATTTCATCACCCATTCTGGACCGCACAAAGAGCTTCCTACTCGCCCTCAAGGTTCTCGTTCCTATCGTTGGCCTCTGTTACCTGATCTTTATCTGGATGCCCGAGACGCGTTCTATTGCTGGTCCCTATGTTGTTCTCGCGCTTCTCGGCGCGTCGTGCTTCTCTCTGGTCCCCGTCGCTCTCGAGTATCTCATCGAATTGAGTCACCCTCTCAGTCCAGAAGTTACCTCGACTATCGCCTGGGCTGGCGGCCAGCTCTTCGGAGCCATCTTCATCATCGTCAGCAACGCTCTTGTCGCACCCAAGGATGCCAACCCACCCGAGCATATGAAGAAGGCCCTGATCTTTGAGGCGGTTGTGGCCTTGGCCGTGGTACCCCTGCCGTTGTGTCTAGGTCTCTTTGGTCGACACGACAAGTTAACTCTACGCCGTATCCGCTCCGATGAGGAGAATCGGTCACGGACTACTGTTACAACTGTCAACCCCTGAGTGCGGGCACATACGGGAAGGAGAAGAGAAGCAAAATACAAGCTCAATTGGAGCCATAATAATAATGTCCTTTGTTGTTTGACCATGTATGTCAGTTATTCTCGCAATATACCCATGCAAGATGATCCAATGCTATTTATTCATTTTGTCGGTATCAATTGGGGCGTGCTCACTGAAGGACCTCCCAAGTAAGTATTAACTATCATGGTATTCATTACTGGTCAGTCTATGTCGACTCTCTTTCACCCCTTTTCCATCTTTTCAACTCCAGCCTCTTCTATCCTCCGACAGACCTTTCATACAGTTCCTCCTCGAGCAAAAGGGGTCCATGTCTCTCGCAGCTCTTCCATCTTCTTCCACGTCTCGGCACCCAACTCTTCAAACTCAACAATATCCTCCTTGGTCACATCCACTGCTCCCCTCTTCCTTCCAATCGTCTTCCTAAAAACGCCTACGGCCGTGTCTTCCTTGAAGGATGTTGCGTCCTCTACCTTGCCCTCCCAGCCCCAACCTTCGACCTCGGTCTTCTTTACCTCAACTTGACGGTGACGGTTTGAACTACTGCCCCATTTGATCTTCTCGGCGTCTAGCTCATCGAGGGTCGACTGTTCCTGGAGGGCAATCCACGCGGATGACTTGGATCCGCTGTAGCTGTCGGTAGGGTGCCATGGGGAGCCTAGCCATCGACTTATAACCAGGGCCAGTTCGTATGCCCACATAAGGAACCATGGAACGGGAAAGAGTGTGCTGGCGACGATACCGGGGTGAGTGAGGTACATGCGAGGGCGGACGGGCTTTTCACGAGCTTCTTCCGGGTCGTCAAGAGTGAAGAATCGGTTGGAGTAGATCGAGGTTGAGGGAAGAGTTGCCGTGAGAGAAAGAGCATCGGTAAGGCGCTTTGCAGACTCGTAAGGGCCAGCACCCTTGAAGCATTGAAAGTCGGAAGTGTCAAAAACATTGCGGACGGCCTCGAGACTGCTGGACCAGACGATGCGGCCTGGGGTTTCGGACTCTGATCGTCGGCTGAGAAGGGGGAGGAGTTGGTGGGCGAGGATGTAGTGGCCAAACACACAGGCAGTAAAGACTTCGCCGAGCAATGGTTTCTCGGGCTATACATGTTAGTCAGGTCCAAACACTCAAGAGGGGAGACATACAAGACCATACTCGGGCCGCTCGTTCAAGATGCAGGTTGGCAGCGCCTTCTTGAACGTCGGCCAAGTCACGGACTGCACCAAGCCCTGAGTCAAGATGACCCAGATGGCCATTGGCCAATCAACACCCGACCAGCCACCATAGGCCGCATTAAAGATAGCCGTATCAATCCTCGGAATGCGCACATCTCGAAGATATTCACCCTCCAAGCCCTCAGGGTTGCTAACGGGTCTGTGCACGAGCTCTTCGGCAAAAGTATACACCTGGCGCAAATCGCACAGGTCGAGCTGCAAGCTCAGCACGTGGATACGCGCAACAGTATCCTCCCAACGGTACGAATCGCCGATTCGAGATCGTAGGGCGGTCGAGGTCTGAGCGGCGCGCTGGGCGTAGCTGCGCAGGGTTCGGATCGTCTGCAGGGACTTGGACTTGGAGCGGGTGGTGGGGATGAGGATGAGGTGTGACTTTAGGGACCGCGTGGAGAGGAATTCGTCGATGAGGCGTTCGCCGATACTGAGGCCAATGCCGCTGTCATAGATTATTAGCATAGCTTCGTGTACAGCCTGGTCGACCTACCTGTTGGCGCCTGTAATTAGGACAAATAGCTGCTCTTCAGCCGAGACATCCTCCCACGGCGCCTTTGACGAGGTCAATTGGGATCCCATCGCACAATATTCTATCAATTGATAGACGGCGAGCTGCTGGGAAGAAGCTAAAGCTCTCAACTACATCAATGAAGAGTGTACGAGCGGTGTGATGAGTAGATCTGAAAAGAAGGAAATACGTGGCTGCCGTTGAAGCCGCGCACGTGATGAAGCTTAATCTCGCATCACGAACACGAATAAGAGGTAGAAGCGCATGCATTCGAGAATTATTCATTACTCTTATATTTATTACAACAGTTACTGTCGAATTTCAACCTTTACGGTCGCATATTCCCTGCAATGCTCCGTCCAATTGGATGCTACCAATATTACTCCCGCGTCTTGTTGCTGCCCTCCCGCACGGCGGCGAGGATGAGGTCCTTGGCCAGCTCAACACCGTCCTTGGTTCCGATAATCTCAATGGCCTCATCCTTGGCTTGGTCCCGAGGCACCTGGATCTTGCAGTTGCTCTGCTTGCGGATCGAGTTGACCTTGGAGCCGTTGGGGCCAATCACATGGCGGTAGGTTCGGGGGTCAGGGAGAACAAGGTATCCTGTGGCATCGTGCTTCTTAGCCTGCTCGACAGCCTTGGCGATGGCCTCCTTGGCCTTCTCCACGTTCTCTGCCGTGCCGCGGAGGACCCAGGGGAAGTCGCTGTCATCCCCAGCGTCGACCTGGACAACCTTCCACGAGTGGGCGTCGGTCGCGGTATCATCCTCATCAGTGATCAGAGGAAGGGCGCCCACGTTGGAGCGGGTAGATGTATCAGGCTTGGGAGGAAGTGGCTGGCCAGCGTGGTCAACCGTAACCTGGTGGTTGTTACGGAGCTGACGGAAGAACTGGCCACCGTTGGAGATGGAGTGGTGAAGGTTGCGAGGAACCTGGATGGTCTCACCCTGCTGCGCCTTGACCAGAGACAGGATATGCTCCTTGGCCTTGGCAACGTTCTCGGGTCGGCCAGTGACCTTGACTCCAGTCTTGCCGTCTCCCTGGCGGGGGACATCGATGGAGACGGTGAACTTGGACTCGAGCTGACGCTTGGCATCACCACCTCGGCCGATCAGCGAGCGGTGGTTCTCGATAGGAACATCCACCACCTCGGTAACCTGGCTCTCACGCTCGCCAACAATCTCCTGGATGCGCTGAATAATCTTTTGCACAACATCAGTGCGGCCCTCAATCTTGATCGTGTTGCCATCAGCCTCCTGCTTGGGGAACTGGATGGTACGGGCAAGCTCTCGTCGGTCATCAGAGCCACCCGCCTTGACGACAATATCGCGGAGGTTAGAACCTGGAGAAATTAGTAAATGCATAACATGTGAAGGCAGGAAACTTACCGCTAGCACCAATAAGAGCCTTGTGGTGCTTCTTGTCAACCTCAATAGTCTGGACGACAGTGTCGTCAAAGACGGCTCGCTTCTCCTCGAGGATCTTCTTGGCCTTGGCAACCTGAGCAGCAGTACCCTTGATCTGGATCTCCACGATATCGGTGTCTCGGTCAGCAGGCACGTCGATCTTAGCTCCAGTAGCCTGACGGAGATCGTCGAGGGCAGCACCACCTTGGCCAATGAGAGATCCAACTTGCTTCTGTTGAACAGCGACGGTAGCAGTGGCAGAGTGCTCCTCGAGGTACTTGTGCAGCGAAAAGATCTCGTCCCGAGCCTCATCCGCACCCTTCTTGGGACCTCGGATGATGACCTCATCAGCAGGCTGCTGGCGACGAGGCTTTCCGGCATCGCTGGCAGCATCGGCGTTGGACTGGTCGTCGGCAGCGGGCTTGGCAGATCGAGGGAAGAAGATGTGGACCTTGTACCGAGTCTGCAGACGGTTGATCTGGCTACCCTGAGCACCAATAAGCTCACGGTGGTACTTGGGGTCAATCTTGAGAGTGTGAGTCGTCTCGTCAGCCAGGGTGCGAGCAAGACTCTGAATGTGCGAGCGAGCAGTCTCGGCCTTGGCCTTGGGACCCTTGAGCTCAACCTTGCCGTCCTGAACCTGAATCTCAACGTCGAAGCGGTCTCGGAGCTCCCTGATGTTGCTACCACCCTTTCCAATGAGGTGGTTGGCAAACTTCTGGGGGAAGTCAAAGGTCAGAGTGAAGCCACGCTCCTTCTCGTCCTCCTTCTCCTGCTCAACAAAGGAGTTGGCCTTGGCAGCAAGGGACTCAACGGCCGAAGCGGGACCTCGGAGAGTGATGGTTGTGCCAACCTTGGTGACCCGGATGGGGATCTGGTCTGCAGAGCGGCTCTCCTGCTCCTTCTTGATGAAGCGTCGAAGTCTCTCGTGGAACTTGGCGGGAACATCAAGAGTGGCAGTGGTGATGGCCTCCTGCTTCTTGATAAGTTCAAGGATGTGCTTCTGGGCGTCCTGAAGTCCTTGTTGGAAAGCACGAGCTTCAGCATCAGTGGGCTTGGAGCGAGGCAGCTGGTAGGGGCCTTCGGCGGGGTCAGGACCCTCGTACACGAGGAGAACAGGGACTTCGCCCTCGGCAGCCTCAGGAACGACCATCTGGACACCATAGTCCTGCTTGACCCTGGGGGTAACGTTGTTGCGGAGATGCTGGAAGAAGAAGGGGTCGACGGGAACAGAGGTCATACGAGAAGGAGGCTGGCCGTTGATGATGCCGCTGATCTCGGACTGCGCACGAATGGCATTCTTACCCTCGCGAGAGTAGAGCTCCCAGGGAAGGGCACCACCCTCAGAGAAGGGGGTGTTGATGTGGGTGTGGTAGAGCTTTTCGAGGCGCTCAATCTCCTTGCGCTGTCGAAGGTAGCGGGTGACGTTGCCGGCGTGAATAGCAGCGCCGCCAGGGGCATTGCGGTGGAATCGGGCAATGTCGAGGTTGGACATTTGCATACCCATGGCCAGGTCCATGGCCTTTTCCAGACCAGCAGCAACCTGATCAGCAGGACCGACGACAGTAATAGTGTCATCGTCCTCATCAGTGGGCAGCAGAATAGCACATCCAGTGTCGTTAAAGAACTGATCGACAGGGACACCACGATCACCAATAATGAACTGGTGGCGGCCACGCTGGATCGACAGCTGCTCGGCAGCAAGCTGTCTGTGGAGCTCAGCAACCTGGCGCTCAATCTCGGCGCGGACCTTCTGAACGGCAGCACGGTCACCGGCAAGCTGGATGTGGTTCTCTTCTTGGCCAGCAGGGGCAAAGACAGGTCGCTGACCAGGGACGGCGGTAACAGGAACCTGGCCAGGAGTGTAGGCCTGCAGAGGAGGGACACGGATCTGGATACCGTTGTTCTCCTCGAGAGCATGGGCCAGAGCATTGTCGGGGCCGGCAATGAAGGGGTAGAAGGCGGCGGGGATGCCCCGAACCTTAGTCTGGACATTGGCAGATCGCTCGCCAGCAATCTTCAAGATCTCGTCACGGGCAGAAGCAGCAGAAAGGGCATTACCCTCAATGGTGACATCAATGGTGGCATCGTCATCCTCCTCGTCGATTGGGTTGTTCTCATCGACCTTGGGAAGCTGGATCTTGGCACCAGTCTTCTCCTGAAGGGCCTTGATCATGGAACCTCCCTTTCCGATGATATGGGCTCGGGTGGACTGGGGAATCGGGACCTTGATGGCAGTCTATGGACGTTAGACAATGTCACAAACCGGTGGTACGATACTTACCCGAGTTCCGATCTGAGCAACCAGGTCCTTGAGCGCCTGTTGAGCAACGTCCTGAGGACCGGCGGCATCAAACTTGTAACGACCATTGGCCGAGGTAGCCATGGAGATGGTGGCACGAGACTTGCGGTTGATGTCCTTGATAATGTCGGTGATGGGCCTCCTGAGCTGGCCACGGGGCAGGATGTACTGGGGGTCAAGAGTCACAGTCTCAACATTGCGGCCGGGGATGAACATGGAAGGCTTATTAGGGGTAGCAGCTCCAGAGACGGGAGTTGAGGAACGAGAACCGCCGTTGGAGGCACCTCCATTGGTCTTGCCATTGGCATTCTTGGCGCCCCAGATAGGAGCGACATTGGCGGCCTTGCCCTTAGGAGCACCGAGCTCAGGGAACAGTTCATGCGATTGAGTATCCAGAGTAGCGGCGGCAGGCTTGGTCGGCTTGGGAATTACGACTTCGGCGGAGCTTGAGGCCTCGGCGGGGGCGTGAATGGGAAGGTCCTCATCCGGGGCATCCTCAACAGTGACGTGGTGAGGAGCTTCGGCGTGCTTCTGCATCAGCTTCTGAGCGGCAGAAAGCTCGGCGGTGTCGGCCATGATGAACGTATTTAGTCGGTTGGAGCTAGGTGAAGTACTATGAACTGATGTGTTAGGAGCTAAAGAACAGGTAGCAAAATGCATGTAGTACGTACAAGTGGTGGCTACAAGAGCAATGAAGCTTGCGGCCAAGTATAGATGCTTGAATTGGAGATTCGTTAGAGGAGGATGATCAGATGTAATTGAGTCTTGTCTCTAAAACATTGTGCAAGAGACAGCAGGCGGTGAAACCGGTAACCAGAAGGAAGAACCAGAGCGATGCGAGAGACCGTAGACCGGAAAAGGCGACGACTCAGAGAAGATGGTTGAAGGATGAGTTATGGTTAAAGTTGAGGGTGAGGTGGAAGTTCTCTTGACGACCTCTCCCCACGAAGTAAGTAGTAGCCACCTATCCCAGCAACAGGGAGCCACTGAATTTACGCGAAGCTTGCCCGACAGCGGGCACTAACCTGGTTTGGAAGGACACCGCTAGAAAGGGGAGGTGGGGTCGATCACGAGAGAATGCATGTGACTTGCGAGACGATTCTGGAAAGCTCCAAACTCACGTCAAGAACAAGACGTTGACCACTCAAAGGTTGTTTGTCATTCTGTCAATGTCTGTGGTTGTTTGTCTGATTGTATCTTTCATCCTTGGGTGTTTTCATCCATTCATCTCGTTTGTTAGTTGCCATTGGCTTGTCTACATGTGCAAACGCAGCCTCGATGACTCGGCACGCGGGCTAGGAATCATGACACCAAACGAAGTATAACTCCAGCCTGTCTCTTTCTTCCTTCATCCGGGTGCTGGGCACCCAGTGTTCCCAACCATTTTCGAAAAAGTTTGACTGTCAACGGCTGAAGTGGCTGTGCTTGACCGAAAGTATCAAGAAGTTCCGAGACTTGAACAGAGTTTCTTCTGTTAAGGACACCATGGCAATCACAACTGTCAAAGATCATCAGTCGTTACAAAGCTGCAGCACGAGCATTCACACGTCAAAGGGCGACGAACACCCAAAATATCCTACAGTATGTGGGTTTCAGGTTGGTCGGCCAACGCACAGGTGGGTTCTCACAGGAGTTCAGGAGCTGGCTCCAAGGTGACATCGGGCTTGCAACGCGGTATCGTAATGGTTTCCTGCTGTGAAAGCGTCTGCTGCGCTGCAGTTGACGGCACATCCATGACACGCTGTCAGGTACGGTGCTTGGCGCGATTCCCGCGCCTTCTACGACCCATGTCGGCTTCTGTCGCATTCGACACACTGATGATCAATTGCTCTCAGAGACAGTTCGCAATGCTGTTGTTCAGCTGATCTACATCAGGATGACAATGCCGGCATCACGCAAGCTGATTGTGCGTGGAAACACGAAAGAAGCTCGTATGAATGGCCATCCCACAGCTCGCTTGCGCCTAGCTGTGCACAGATCTATTCGTGTTGGAAGTCTACCATGACTTGAACTGCTTAGAAGGCGGCTGTCTCAGATTCGGTCAAATACGTACGAACACGTATGCAGGGGCGAGAGGCTGAAGCGCGGCAGCAGGATTCGGCGGGCGCCCGTATCGATGGGTGCCGGGTTATGTGCTGTGCTCCAATGCAGGAGAGGATCCAAGAGAAAGCCACGGCCAACGGATGAGTTGGATTGTGTCCGGGAGGGCTGCCGAGTAAGGATATCCTGTCGCAAGATTCGTACCAAAATGGCGACTGGCAACAGCATAAATTTCATGAGGCTGCAAGGTTACCCTTGGATGCGAGGCTATTGGGCGGTACCGGCCAACCACGGCGAAGATGGATTCGCCCACCTCGTATCGCTTCGTTCTTGACGCTGGAGAAGCTGCCGGATCTCACTGAAGCGGCCAGTATCGAGATTGAAGGACGACGATGGGTGAACTGGTGAGGATAGGTCTGGCTTGAAACGTGACCGGCGGCCCCAGAACCAGCAGCCGCCTGCGGGCCAGCTCATGTATGTCTCGGCTTGACACGCCTAACGAGGCGCCGGGGCCAATGGCAGGGAGCGAGCCGCTCATGTCTCGCCCCTACGCTGGGGAAGACAGTGTGGACAGTGGAGCTCTGATGTCGAGACTGGTGGCTTGAAACAGGGCAGCCAGAGGAGTCGCAGCTTGATGACTTCATGACGGATTGGCGTGCGATGGATAAATAGCATGCAGCTCGCCTACGAGAGCTAATGAGGACACGGTTGAGAAGACGCCTTCTGTCTCGGCGTTGGGTGTCAGATCTTGGTCCCTTGACGGATGAGATTAGATGGGATGAGGTGAGGTGACACGCCGTGCGAGCAATAGATGTAACGAGAGTAAGCACCAGCAGTCGCAAGGGCCCAGCATCACCAATGGCTGATGAAGGGATCAGTTAAAGGCCCCCATCACCACGGCTAGCTGTAACGGTTTCCGGGCGCAATGTTGCGGTTCCTGCTTGTGGCTCCACACGATCACAGTAGAACTTGTCAAGAAGAATCGACTCGACTCGCCTCGGCTCGTTAGAATCGTCAAGAAGCCTGATGATCAAGGATAACGTTTGCGCGGCGCCTCAGAGACAACGGGTCGGCCAGCCACGGCCACATCACCAATGCTTGACTCCCTAGACTGCCACCAGGGCGTTGACGAGTCTCCACCGGCCACGAGCGACCCAAGCTAGTCCAGCCTAGCCTAGAAGTCGGCCGGGGAGAAATCACCAAGATTGTCCAGGACCGGGAGGCCAAACCTTGATCTCTGGCGTCTGTTGGACGTCTTTGAATCTTCCCACTCGGCCTGTGAGAAACTTGGCAATCCCGGAGGTGCTCCACCAACGGCGCCCACTGATTCCACTCACACTTGATCGTGGTGCGTTTGCTACGCGCTTGGCCATGATCATGGACCGTGGGACCTTGGGCAGAGCCTGAGTCTGGGCCTAATGACACCCCCCTGGCCAGAGGTTATCGATGTTGACGGGACTGAATTCACGGATAGCGAGTGAATAGCGTGGGTTAGTTTGGATAGGCGTACAGTGCCGTCTGGATGAGTCCCATTGACCGATTGACAAAGACGATTGACTGCAATGGTTCAGCCTCGACGTCTCGTGTGCGTCTCGCCCGTCTGAATAGACATGGCTTCGACAGCCTGCCAGTCTTGTGCATTCTTCGTCATTCTGAGGCATCAGACTGAAATGCGAGGCGCCAGGGGAAATCGGATGCGGTCCTACCATCGTGATCCCTCCAACCATGGCGTCGGACCAACCACCAAGTGCTCGGAAGAGGCTTTCACACTGTCAACGGCCCGAGAGGCGAATGCGTTACAGTGATGGAGGCGACGTTGGTGAGTTGGGAACGGGAGTTGGGTATCAGCGCCAGGTACTTGACGAATGTGCGTGTGCCCCGCAGATGAGCATGTACCTGCTGTGCCAAGTTGGCTGGGTCCAGGGTCCAGCCAGCATCGTCAGGTACCGACTGTTGGACTCGTCTGGCTGGCAGTCCCTGGATTGTCAGTACCTGGATTGAACTCGATAAGGAGTCTTGCGACGGATGATTCTCAATTGACGTCGGCCTTGACCCCAATGTATTGTATCTGTTGAATGGCAACCTGGAGTCAATAAGTGATCAAGTGTCAGCACGCAGGTCCCTGAGGCAAGTAAGCGCGGCACAGCACAGCAAGCAAGCACAGCGCATGCATCGCAGCACACACAGCTCAGCGGGCACAGTACTTCTTTCTAGGTACAGTTCACATCCATCCCGCAGTAGACAACCTAGACAGGCCCTTGATCCCACAACGCCCCCATTCTCACATTCAAGGACCTGCCATCTCATCCACATCCGCGGTCCCGCATTCCGATTCATCTCTCCCTCCCCTCCGCTCTGTCCATCGTGCTGATGCTGATGGCTCTGCACAGTGTGCGTGCGTGTCACTCTTGTGCTTCTTCTCTCGTCTCCCCCCAACTTGATTCCCCCAACCCACTCCCGTCCGAATCTCCAGCTATCCTATCGAAGCAAACGCAGGAGCCGGAGCAGCACCAAAGCAGAAGCAGCCCGCCAGAGCTCACCACCAGCTTCGCCACCGCAGCATCCTCCGCCCACACACCCCCGCGTTGTGTCCCCAGTCTACAGCGCCGTACCAAGCCAGGCGTCTTGCCATTGTCTAGAGCCGTCTCTCTACGCTGCTCAGGTCTGGCCGCCGAAGCCGCCTGTGCCTGTGCCCACACGTTTCCCTTCTCTCCCATCTCCTCCTTGCACCCACACCCTGTCCTCCACCCGCTCGACCCATCAAACCTCCGTACCTAGTAGCCGTCCTGAGACCTTTTTTTAGCCCCGAGGGCCCCAACTCGTCAGTTGCAAGGCTGCTTCTGCTGCCGCTGGATCATGGACGGCCCCGGATACACCTCTGCGTCGTCTGCGTCCGCTCATACCGCAACTTCACATCGTCGCAAGCTCATCAAGAAACCTCCCTCTCACGCCTACGCCCGCTCCTCGTCCGGCTTCGATGGTGGTGGTGGCTTCGACGCCCAGTCCCTCGAGAGCAAACGCAGCTCGCAGAGCCTGAGAAGGGCCCCCAGCGCTCCCCCAGCCCGCTCCAACCCCGCGGCCGTCGACTGGTATTCCAACCAAGAGTCTGACTTGGCCAACAACACCATCCGTCCGATTCCATCTCCAAATCCAAACCTGGCCCACGCCGACTTTGCCCCCGCCAGCCACTGGGCGCCCGTACCTCGTCATACCGACCGCCTCTCCGACTCCCACCTACGCCCTCTGAGCAGGACCGCCCCCGACGACCTGATCGGCGCCCCCTTCGACGGCGCAGCAATTCTGAACCGCATCGAGTCCACAAAGGCTCCGAGCCCAAAGGCTCCCGTCCATCGTCACTTTCCGCCCCAGTTCAAGCACCCTAACGACGTGAAGCTTGCGACTCCCGTTTTGCGATCTTCGGCCAGTTTCACCGCGATGGATTCGTCCCTGTCGGAAAAGGGCCTCGGCCCAAGGGTCCCGACCGATGGCCCATCTATCAACCCCAAGCGATATTCAGACGACGGCAGAGATTCAAAGCCTGCCGTCCTGCGCAAAAAGTCGGGCTTTTCGGGCTTCATGAACAGTCTAGTCGGCTCGCCCAAGAAGCCCATCATCTCGGCCCCAGAGAATCCCGTTCACGTCACCCACGTCGGATACGACAGTTCAACCGGCCAGTTCACCGTCAGTTTTCCCGCCCATGATCTTTATTTTGGTTAACAAGTCGCAGGGTCTGCCCAAGGAATGGCAACGGCTTATCAACGAGAGCGGAATTCCCGAAAAGGAGAGGCGAGAGAACCCGCAGACTATGGTTAATATTTTGCAGTTCTACAAGGAGACAACCGAACGGCCTCCTGAGGACCAGAGCCTCGAAAAGTTCCATCATGCGGGTAACTACGCCAGTTCTCCGGCGACTGCAGCATCACCGGGCATGTACCCGTCAAACTATATGGGTATGTCACCAAATACTAGCTCCACGAACCCCAGGTTTCCAACTGTCAATCATGAAGGAAGTTTTGAGAATCCCCGGGCCCCGCCGCCCGTCCCCAGAGGTCACGTCCCCGGCAAGGACCTGATGCCCAGCCGTCCGGCCCCGAAGCCGCCTGTCAGCATGAACAACCGGCATATGCCTCAAGGGGCCTACGCCGCCAAGGATTCCGGCATCGGCATGTCCCAGCCCGGCGACGACTCTTACGGTATGTCCAAGGACAACGGTCCTATGCTCCCCGAGGAGCACCGGTCAAGGTCCAACTCGCGCGCCGCCGGACCTACACCCTACGCTCCGACAGGCCCCCAGCCTAACCCTGCGCTCGCCCAAGCCCAAGCCGCCGCCTATCAACAGCAGCTCTTGCAACAGCAGCAAGAGCAGGCTCTCGCACAGGCACAAGCCGCCATGTCTGGTGGAGTCGGCCGGGCTCCTAGCAAGCGAACCCCTCACCAGACCGCGAACCAGCCCAATGCCGCCTATGGACGTGTTCCCGATGCCAACGGAGCAGCCAACGCTCCTCGTCAGCAAGCCGGCCCAGCAGGTGTACCCGGAGCCAGGCCACGACACCGAGCTCGCCAGAGCGCAGCCATCGATGTGGTCGCCTCGCTCAAGCGGATATGTAACGAGGGTGATCCCCGAGACATTTACCGCGGGTTTAACAAGATTGGCCAGGGTGCGTCTGGTGGTGTCTTTACTGGCCATGAGCGCGGCTCGAATCGACTGGTCGCTATCAAGCAGATGAATCTCGAGCAGCAACCTAAGAAGGATCTGATCATCAACGAGATTCTTGTCATGAAGGACAGCTCACATCCCAACATTGTCAACTTTATCGACAGCTACCTGTGCGGAGGCGAGCTGTGGGTTGTCATGGAGTTTATGGAGGGTGGCAGCCTTACGGATGTTGTCACCTTTAACATCATGTCAGAAGGACAAATTGCGTCAGTGTGCCGGGAGACTCTCAACGGCCTGCAGCACCTGCATTCCAAGGGCGTCATCCACCGAGATATCAAGTCGGACAACATTCTGCTGTCCATGGAGGGCAACATTAAGCTGAGTACGTGACCCTGCCCGTTATCGAATGCCTGTTAACCTCAACAGCCGACTTTGGATTCTGCGCCACCATCAACGAGGCCCAGAACAAGCGAACAACCATGGTGGGCACACCGTACTGGATGGCACCCGAGGTTGTCACTAGGAAAGAGTACGGACGCAAGGTGGATATTTGGTCTCTGGGCATCATGGCGATCGAAATGATAGAAGGCGAGCCGCCATACCTGACCGAATCTCCCTTGCGCGCGCTGTGGTTGATTGCGACCAACGGAACACCTCACATCAAGAACGAGCAGGATCTGTCACCCATGTTCAAGGACTTTTTGTACTTTGCGCTCAAGGTGGATCCTGAGAAGCGAGCAAGCGCACATGATCTGCTTCGGGTAAGTAATTCGACTCCTATATCAGATGTCGCTAACGGTTGCAGCACGAATTCATGAAGCAGTGTGTCGACCTGTCTCAACTCTCGCCATTGGTACGAGCTGCTCGAGAACAAAAGGCACAAGAGAAGGCTCGCAAGGGGCAGTAGGTACGCCCGAAGCGAACCATACCTCCCGCATATCCCCTAGAGGAACAGGAGAGAGCACGCCGCCGATGGTCGGCGTTTTTCCAACGACGATGATCAGTCCTTTATGAGGATGAACGCAACGACCAGCGACGACGTGATCCATTCACAACATCTAATGACCATTTTCTTGCACAAGTTGTTCAACTATCAATCATAGCAGGCCTTGCATCTTGAGGAGGAGTTGTCATGATGCCGCGTCAAGGTAGCCTCGGAGTGCATGGAGGAGACGCAAGCCGAGCCCAAGGTGCCAGCAAGCAGGTGGACGCGACGACGACGCCTGGAGGCACATAGAAATGACACGCTGGATATACCCCCTGCATACCTTACCATACGAACTGTTTCTTGCACACCGATCACACCGATCACGCCGAGTTCACACTCGAGGTTGGGTCTATTTACGTTGCTAGACCTAGCCCTCTCTCCTCACCAGCTTTGAATCATAAAAAAATACTTGTTTTTGCCTTTGGGTGCACAGGATTGGACGTGGACGTGTGTTGCTTGATGAAAAGCTGGCATTGCATTCTCTTCTCTTCTTCTATCATACCACCTAGCAACGACGAAGGTTATCACGACTCGACCGACTCAAGGGGTAAAGGCATAAAGCAAATCAACGCAAACGCAAAACGCAAAACGACAAAATGCTAGGCTGGTTTCTGGTCTTGGCCCTATATCCCTCAGAGAAACTTGCTCTTTCCGTTAAAGAAGAAGCTTCCCTGCTCCCAGTGTTGATAGAAGGGACTCATTTGTCTCCGGAGCCTCTCACATCCCTCACCAGCCTTGACGGCGCCGTGTCCCTCCATTCCAGCAGGTAGCCCGTTGCCCAAGACGGCGAGGGTGCCTAGAGCGGCTGGTGCAGGCTGGTTCTTGATCTTGTCTTGGGAATGCGAGTGGAAAGGCGAGGAGAAGTGGAACGAGTTGCGAACTGAAGCGGCAGCAGCGCGTGCGGGGAGGAGGGTAGTCGAGTTGAGGAGGCGATTCCGCAGAGAACGAGCGGCGCGGAAGAGGGACAGAGAAGGGGTGCAAAATAGTTGCATCTTGATGTTTTGGTTGCTTGCTCGGGGGATAGAGTTGAACGGTGGTAGTTCTTATGACCTGACGGACAGTTGGCTGAGGGTTGGTGTTATGCAGTATGGGTTGGATGGACGGAAGGACGAATATTTGAAGGTGGGAAGGTAAAGAATAGACTTGCGAATGAATGCTTCTGACGAAACGAACCGGTTTATTCGTATCCCAGCCCCTCCCTTCTCTCTTACCGCCGCCGCATAAACCCATGGATCTCTCATGAGCCGAAAAAGGCGGGAAGCGGTCTTGAGCGGCGCGGCCAAGGGGGGTCACTCTCTCGGCCCCCTCCGTAGCACGCTACGTTAGATTGTGGCATGTAATATGTAGGTAGGTGTGTTTTGCGGATGCAGACCAGACCCCGGTGGAACGTGGAGGGACTTGGTTCGTTGGTCCGGGTGGGCGGACGAGGTCTTGTTCGTATGTCGTAGAGTAAAAAGTCGTGATGCTCCGGATATATTAGAGACACCAAGTATTGCACAGACGATAGAGGGCACGCACAATGTCTCAGCCTCCCGAGACATTCAACTCAATCTCAGCCTCTTTTTCTTTTCCTTTTCCTTCTTATTAAACATGCTTCTTCTCTTTCACCTCATCTTCCCTTCCATCTGCCCCTTCATGCTGGCATCAGCCCATCCCGTCTCCACCGCCTGCACATCCGCCGCAGCTGTTGGCGAGTCGTTGCCGGATGCCCCATCCCGGCTCTGACAGCCCCCGTAGAGGCGGTGAGCATGGCGCCGAGCAAAGGAGCTGAAGCGACTCGATTGCCCTTTTCAACTCGGTCGGCCCGTCTTGATTGGCTGTCCGGGTGCGCGCGGCCAATGTGAGGCTAGGGATTACGTGCATGGGGCATCAAAGTGGAACGTTTGTGCATGCTCTATCGTGAAGCGATCTGCGCAAGGACAGGCAGGATAGGCAGGATATTGAGCCGACGCGAGCTATGTCGGAGGCGCTTGTGACGATGCTTAAGTCAATCTAGCTTTAATACAATGCTTGCAGAGTGCATCACCACGTGCCGAGATGCCAGCATAGGACAATCCCGAGTCATGTCACCGGCAGTCGTCACACCGCAAACACAGGAGCAAGAGTTTGCTCAATATCATTCAATTAAGATCTCCATCTGGATCCTGTTGCGCCGCCTCTATGCGGGCAATCGCTTTGCTCTATCATATCTAGAGCTCTCTAGTGTATCTCATTCGTGCTTCCTTTTTTGCCCTTTCCAAGGGAACCGTCATTCCTTAACCCAAACTCCAAACAAACGAAAAGCACATCCCCTTCTAGGAGTGCTGCACGATCAAACCCATTTTCATAATACAATTCTCGCTTAGTAGCAAGTGTAACCACCGTCAATGATGCAGTTGGAACCAGTCATGAACTTGGAGGCGTCGGAGGCGAGGAAGACGCAAAGGCCGTTGAGCTCGTCGACGTTGCCCAGGCGGTTCTGGGGGGTCAGGGACTTCCAGATCTTCTTCTGAGCATCGAGAGCGGGAACTCGGTTGAGGGCAGTGTCCATGTAGCCAGGGGAGATGCAGTTGACTCGGATCTCGTACTTGGCCCACTCAGCGGCGAGAGACTTGCCAAGCTGGATGACACCGGCCTTGGAGGCGTTGTAGCAGCTCTGCTCCTGGGGGTAGTTGACGATGGATCCAGACATGGAGGCGACGAGGACAATGCTACCGGGCTTGCCAGCAGCCATCATGGCGCGGCCGACAGACTGGGACATGAGGAAGGATCCAGTAAGGTTGATATCGATGAGTCGGCGGAACATGGCGGGGTCGTAGGTCTCGGCCTTGATGTTGGAGTCGGCGATACCAGCCGAGTTGACAAGGACATCAGGAGCACCGTAGCGCTCGACAACCTCCTCGACGGCGGCGTTGATGGCCGCACCGTCACGGACATCAACCTTGAAGAAGGAGACGGGAAGACCAGTCTTGTCGTGAAGCTCAGCAGCAGCCTCGTCACCAAGCTCCTGGTTGGCATCGAAGATGACGAGGTTCTTGGCACCAGCCTCGGCACAGGCGCGAGCCATGTAGTTGCCAAGACCACGGGCACCACCAGTGATGATGATGGTCTTGCCATAGACGCTCATGTTGCGCATGGTGTAGGGGAGCTGGTCAAAGACCTTGCGGGTGAGGGGCTGAACAACATCGTTCTCGGCAGGGGGGGCAGGGCTGTCGTGAGGGACCTGAGAAGCACCCTCGGTGACGTTGACAGTGTGCTTGTCGCCGGTACCCTGGCCAGCACCGTAGACGGTAACGGGGACCTCCTTCTCACGAACAACGCTCTTCTTGTTGGCGGTGTCGTGGACACGGTTCATAGCAGTGACGGACATGCATCGAGTAGCAGTACGAGGGAAAGCAGGGGCAGCAGCCCGGGAGATGCGGACGAGGTTGCGGGCGGCGAAAGACATGTTGATAGTGAAGGGTGGTGTTGAGGAGAGTGGAAGAGAGTGTGGAAGAGAGTGTCTTGGTAAAGTAAGATGGGAGGAGGGGTATTAAAGGATCTTTGTCAAGTCCTTGCAAGGTTTGCTCAAGAGAGAGGAGTGTGAGGATGAGAATGCCGAAAGAAAGTTTATCGACGGGAGGCTTGATATATAGTTGATCTCACCAGTGATGACTGTGGGTCTGACACTGACGGGCAGTTGGTGTTGGAGATAGTAAAATTTCAAGCTGGGGGCGAACTTTTTTTTCTTAGACGAATTCGCAGGGGTCCGCTGATGCAGGATTTAGTGCGGCGGTATGTCCGTAAGGCAATAAGTTCAGACTTGTTCAGCTGGGGCTAGTATCAAGAGATCTGCCAAGTTGGGGCTTTGTTGCTGAGGGAGGGTGGGAGCGGGGCCTGGATGATTCAGTGGAACCGGGAGTCGCAAAGCGTACGAGTCTTGGGTTGCAGATCCTGAGAGGGAAAAGTCCGCTGTCGAGGTCAACGGGACGATCCTTGGAGAGGGTGGTGTGTCCAAATGGGAAAGGTTCGCAGGACAGGGCAGGGCGGTTAGGTTACAGCGGGAGGGCCGGTACTATTCTCGGGGCTCTTCAATAGCGACTCCAGAACGGCAGCTATGTGCTGAGGGGTGATGTCGTTGTCTTGTCTTGAAAGACGGAGATCCGAGCTATCCTTCGGATCCGGGCGGTGCTGTGGCAAATGCAACAGATATAGATGGGTGGTGTGGAGGACTGGGTTTGGTGTCTGCACATCAGTCAGCTTTGTGTTCTGGCCCTTTGGAAGCGCCATCAACCCATGTTGACGGTCACTTGCGAGGGGAGGACGCCAAAGGTTGCAGAGTCACATACCGCTAGACGCTGGGGTGTGTTTGTTTCAGGGCGAGTGTGTCAAGGGCTGTAGTCGCTGAGGAGTGTGCGATGGAGAGCAAGACGAGCCGGCTTGGGCTGTCTGGAAGAGGATTTATATAGAGGTGACGGCCGGGGGTGGAGCAGCAGGCACGCTGACCGTCGCCCAAGCAAGGGAGCAATCTCTCACCGACTTCGGTGTAAGACGGTGAGCGAGCATTGGGGGTGTCGTGCGTATCTTGTCTCAAAGGTACCAAAGGGGATGCACGTAAAGTCGCGGGGACCGATGTCGCATGAGCCGGGGTCTCCCTCCAAGACGCAGAGGGATGGAGGCTTGCGTGGTCACAAGATCGAGTGCGCCAGGGCATTGCGTCCAAGACCAAGGGGCTGGAAAAGCAATGAAATTGTCAGACCAGCCAGGGCGTGTGATGGCGTTGAGTGACGGGGTTTTATTGTTGAAGTGTCAATTTGGTCATGATTTGTTGTTTCCGTCACTTCTAAGTTGTCTTGTTTGCTCTTGCCTCGTCTATTCCTGCCACGTTCTGCCTAGCACTCTATCAAACTCGATGCTCTTTCCTCCTTCCTACATAGTTCGTCTCTGGGCTTCTCACCTTCACTTCATTCATCTTCACCTCTCCATCCCAGTTTAATCCATTGGCGCCAAGTGCATGCATCTAGACGCCCTCACCGGCCCGGGTCTCTTTCGTCTCCATCTGGCCTGGCCTCCTTCTTTGGAACGTCTGAGGTGTGGTCAAGATGGCAACGCGGGTTGGTCACTCCTTCCAATGCCCACATTCGGACTTGCATATGCGGTGGCTGCCAATTGTGCGGCTCCTCCCATCTTCCATCTTTTCTCCTCCATCTCCTCATCTCAACAATACACAAACACAGCCTGCTTGTCGTTTCAGTACCTGCCCGCCATCTATGCTGTCAGACACGATCAAATGACCATCACAGGCCCTGACTTTGTCCTCCCCCGCGCCTGACCTGACGACTCTCGGTGTCACCATTTACTCAGGAACACGCATCAATGCGCCGAGCGATCAATCCCACCCCGACGCCCCATTCTTGTGGGGAGCTATGGCGGGTCCAGCGCCCTTGTCCAGGGCAGGTGGCCCGCGCTCTCAAGGTCAAGGCGCACACCCGCAGGGAATGACAGGCGCTAAATCTTAGGGGCTCGGGGAGGTTGCAGGGATAGCTCTCTCGGTAGCTTCTCCAGGTCCACCCACGTTCCGTCAGTATCGCGCTCTCGCAACCAAGCATTCAGAGTTCCGCTTGTAACCACCAGTGGCAACAAAACCCTTGGCCCCCGAGCGGCCCGGGCACGGGCACACTCTTCCCTGTCTAATTTTGGAGTGCCGTGTTTCTGCTAGGTTTCGGTATGCAGCTGCCCGGACACCCGGCATACACCAGCACAGACGCGCTTTCTGGCCTCAACGCCAGAGATACTGGACGAATCGACCTCAATTGACCTGCCACTCAACAATTGCTGACTCTAATCCCCTCATCTCATCCTTACTGGTGACATCCGCTGCGGCTTGCAGTAGTCTGAGGGAGCAATGGGGTTGACTCGATTCCCCCCTTTCCCCCCATCTTTTCAGGCAGACGGATTTTGTCCTCCACCAGCGCCCTACACCGCTGACGCCAGTCCAATTCAAGTTGACCCCGGCTTGACACACTTGCAGACCCGAGATGAAGCACAGACAGGTAATTTGCATGTCCCTGGACTCAATTCCCAGCAACACGGCCGCAATCAGTCCCAGCAGATCTTTCCTTCCGAGAAGCGTGGGGTGTTTCGCAGGCCCAAGTCCGGCACACCGAGACCGCTTGATTTCAGGAGGTCATGTGGACTCTTCCCCGCGTCCATATCATGATTGTCCAACGACAGCGGCAGCGGCCGACACGGGGAAACGAGACATTTTCACTCCTTACTCTGCCTTTGCCTGTCCCATCGGCTTCATCAACTCGTCAGCGTCGTTCAACTGCATGTCGGATTTGCCCTATCGAGTCTGTTTCAGAGAATACACAATGCGATTTGTGGGCTACACAAGCCACGGGCAACTCGACGAAATTATCAAGCGAGTGACGGAGCCTATGTTCCTAATGTCACCCTACCTCACCCTCCCTCAGAATTTTCACCAGATACGGTGCTGGCTGTCTCGGTGTGCGGTGTAATATCCTTTACACAACTGCTTACTCGGTACGGCCCAGCATTCCGTCTGCCTGGACACCAAGTTACACTGGAGATTGCCAAGACAACCTTAACGCCAGCCCGTGAGGCCCACTGCTAGACTGGTTCACCCCACCCTGAGGAATTTTCTTTTGGTTGCGTGTCCTCATGAGTGATAGGAAACACAGGAGGCAGTCTCGCAGTGGGGGTTTTGTGCTATCGAATATTAGCGAGAAGGCGATTGGACGCACATACTACGTAGTATGTGCTCCGATTCCCGTGGCAACAGTTACTCATGACGACATGTCATTTCAGGTGTTGATAACCAAGGTCGTGATCGGTGACCGGAAGACGGTGTGTCTGAATCACTCACCTCGTCAAGACTTTGCGTCAATCGAGCTGCGGGTCTGCCATCAGACGATATTCCCTGCCGGAGGATCTTATGCATCACATCTGCAGCCCACATTGCTAAGGCAAACACTCACCCTGGTAGTTTCTGTACGAATTTCACACATTGCATTTCGGGCAAAGTCCATATCAACTCGAGAGGGCACCCTCAAAGGTGCTATCACCAGGCAGCGGAACCCATTGGCTCTAATCTCGGCACTATCAGTCCAGACTCGAGTCAACTCACGGCAACTCATGTTGAGTGGCTCTGGCGGCTTGAAGGATCTACAATGCATCGAATGACACCCAACGGTGTGGCAGACACCATTATCAAGTTGAAGGGTTACCATGAGGCTGGCTCTGGTGTGGTCTCGCCGTTGACCTCTGCAAGACAAGCAATGCCTCATTCGCTAGCTCAACTCTGCGGCGCTGGAGCTATCACGATGGTGGGGCACCGCATTGAGCGGGTTCCAGAATATCTGCAGAAGCCGTCCATCGTTGGTCCAGGCAAATCTGCGATGCGCGTGGAGAACAGGGAGCACACGATGGCCAGGGGTGCACGGGCCTGAGCCTACCAGAGTCCGGGGTATTGGTGGATACCGGCATCGAAATTCGACTTCGCCCGACTTGCCTTGATGCCACGAGAATGAGCCGCCGATGTCGACAGCCACACGCGGTTTGCGGTGCGATGCGCAGTCTGCATCCGCCGCGCATGACGGCGGTCGCCGTTTCGGACGCTCGCCGCAGGGAATAACCAACGCCAGGACCGGCCCGGCGCCGTGCAGCAATCTCCGATGCCAAACAAGACTGACAGTCCGGGCCGGTATCAGCGATTGGTCTATCAACATCTAGACGCGCAATTTCCAGCTGACGGACTTGTAAATCCATGACTTTAGCTAAGTGTCTATTCGCTAGGCAATCAGATCTATCTCACTTGGCGCGTCAGGCGCAAGTGCCGACTATCAGCCTTGAGCCTCTTGAGCCTCGAGTCTCTTGAACCTCTTGAACCTCATCTTGCTTGGCTATTGCTTCCCAGCTCCTAGTTCTCGAATATCATACCTCCATCCAACACCAGTCAGCCCACAATGAGCAGGGTATTATTACAATCCAGATAAAAATCAACCATCCGTGGCTTCACTTCCGCCCGCGCGAAACAGCTCAAGTAAAGATGGGCAAATAATCCCCTCAACACCATACTTGGAGACGCCCCGCCACAAACGCCTCGTCTCATCTCCTGCACCCCATTGCTTCCTGCCTGCTTCTTGCTTGCTTCTTGCATCGGCGTGATCTCCGCCATATTTCCTTTGCCCCGGAAAAGAGGCAGCTGAGATCTATCGCGGGGTAATGAGGAGATGTTGGTCTGGGGTTGCCAACATCAACACCATCGTCGGTCTACCTCCGAGATCTCAAAGACGCCTCCGTCCGGGGTTCGACCCACCCCCGCTTCCTTCAACGAATCGCGGCCCCACCACGGGATCAACGGCCTTGGCCGTCACTGTCGATGCGGATCAGATCAAGCAGTGATGCAATGTAGGGACTCTGCGAGATGAGTTAGCACGGACGCGTTCACAGTTGGGCGGGGACGGGAGTGACATACCAGAGCCCTGTTCTCTGCAAGAATCTCGAATAGTCGAGGCAGAATGGGACGGAAGAGGGTCTCGTTCCAGCCTCCGGTTTCGCCGGTCTTTTCCTGTTTTTTGAGCAACTCCTCCTCGGCCTCCGTCTTGACCACATTACGCGCCATATTACGCAGAACGAGGGCGGCACTGAGGGGAATACCCGCCGCTTGGGGCGGTAGATTTGGGTTCCGCTCGTCCCGGACTGTCAAGGTCTCCTCAAATGTGACAGCCATTGTCTTGGCTGGTATGATCCAGGCTCGCTCCTGTTTTCGAGACTCGCCGGGCAGCATGGCAGAGATGTGCGTGCTGATGTGGCTTGCAAAATCACGGAGGTGCATCTTTGTTGGCGACCCATATCGGGAGCATTCGCCCCATGTGCAGGTAAACTCCTTTTCCACGTTGTCAAACTGTCCATCAGCGTTGCGTGTCTCTCCCATGTGTGAGGTAAGAATGTGATTCCACATCTGCTCTGGTTGGAGGTAGAAGCTTCCGCACTTTTCGAGCTTGTTGCCGGGATTCGATGCCCAGAGACATCGGCCATACTCTTTACCATCCGTGCTCAGAGGTCGCGGTCTTGCGCGAATGCCGTGGATGATGAACTTTTGCTGGGGATCGCCTGGCTCTCTAAGGACTTGGGCATTCGAATCCTTATACACAGACGTGCTATTCCTAATAAAATCGGCAGGCGTGATGAGCGGCTGGCCGATAGTCTTGAGAGGGCCGACAAATGCATTTTGGTACGCCTGCCAGGCAGCCAGCTGCGTCACGAAAGAGTTGTTGTCCTCTTCAAAGAAACATCGAACCCATCGGTGCACACGGTCAGGCTCTTCAAGCTTGAGCATCTCCTGGAGGAGGTCCTCGGGCATGGGAGCGATCTGGTCGCGGGCCGGAATTCTCTGCTCTGGGACGAGGACGAAATCGCGTTGCGTCTTGCGCGCACCATGAGCGAGCAAACGAGCAAGGTGGTCGACCAGGTTTTCCGGGGTGAGAGATCGCATGAGGGTGTCCACGTTGGACACGACCGCAGTGTACTGATACAAAAAGTCGAGGCAGGCATCGATGAGTTCGTCGTCGTTGAGTAGCAACCAGCTAGCGATTCGTTCAAGCACCGGTCCAGGAATGTCACCCAACTTGTTTGTAGCGTCGAGATTCATCGAAATGCGGCCGAGTGCTCGAAGCGACGTAAGAATTGTACCGCGGTCGTCCGAGGTCATTTGTGTGAGCAGAGTCTTGTACAGAGGGTCGTCCGACTCCAGAGCCATGAAAGGGGTAAGCTGCTCTGCGATATCCAGAGTAAGATGCTTCAATTCGACGAGCGAATCCTTGGGTGGTAGGTGCAACATGATGCAGATGAGATCTCTGAGGGGGTAAAAGTCGGACATGTTGAGCGCATTTTCAGGCAGAGTGACCATGTTGCGTATTGTCAGCACAGCCTCGGTGATCAAGACCAGTTGGTCCGAGTAGGATTCAGTCTGGAGAACGTCGGGTCGGTCTTTTTCGATGAGATTCTGGATCCGCTCGAGAATGTCTGGAGTCCCGTAATTCCCGTCAAGCGCACCAACATCGTTGGGGTCGACAGAGTCCCACGAGACAGTCCAGTTGACGTGATAGAAGAGCTGCCCAATCTCGAGTGCCTTTTCAACCAATCCTTCCGCCAGACCAGGGAAAGACTCGAATTTGTACTTGTCGCCCCGCTCAAAGGAGATCTTGACCAGGTGGTTGAGGGCGAATGCTTGCTCGGCAGCAATGTTCGATCGAAGCGCGTTCAGACAGCGCATATAGATGTTTGGGCCATCAAAGCCAGCTACGCATGTCAGCCAAGTCCCTTATCAAGTCGAATCACTTACTGCCGGGTTGCATTGGTTGACGGGGGTCAATCCGTTGAGGTTGTCGGGGCTTTTGGAACTCATTGGGCGCACTGCTAGGCGTCGCTACAGCTCGGAGCTGCAGTGGCTTGGAGAACCGCGGTTGGTATGCAGTGACCAGGTTGGACGAGTTTTCGGACGAAGGAGGGTGGTTAACCACCGAGGGACCTCGACTCCCTGGGTAGTTTTGTTGTTGCTGTGGCACAGGCATGCTTTGGTGATGTGAGGGAGTCTGAGGAGGGTTTGCGGCTGGAGAGTTGGTATGGCTCGCGTGGTGAGCAGAGGAGTGTCTTGTTGTACGAGAAGGGCCAGTATCCGGCTGGAAAATAACACGTTGAGGGGGTGCTTCGCGTAGGCCTCTAGATGCGCGCGCGCTCGCTGCAGGATCGGGGACAGGTCGTTCGCGAGCCGGTGTACCATCATCTCCCGAAGCCGCCGAGTCTGTGGCACCAATGTTGCTCTCCCGTTTGCCTCGGAAGTTTTCTCGGGTACGGGTGAGGAGTCCAGCGCCCTTGGCCGTCACATCCTCCAGAATATCCTTTGGCGGCGGCTCCTTTCCGTGCACTGTGCTAATCTCAAAGGCGGCGAGGTTTTTGTAGAACTTTTCTTTCAATGAAAAAGCAGTCGAGGCTTCGTTGTTGGAGTAAATGCCCAGCTCAGCAGCCATGCGACGCCAGGCCAGCTTCTCCTCCGAAACCTTGTCGTAACCACCGTTGGCGACGATGTGATTGAACACCTTGAGCAGGTCAAGATGGGTCGCGCCGACCTTGGGTTCCGCGTCGAGTGTTGTGCCTCGCTTGGTGTGATAATCGCGGAGTCGCGTCATGAACTCTTCATATTCCGGAGTGCGGTCAATCGCATGCGCCGGGACATCGTTGCGAACGGGTGCCATCTTGGCGATCAGTGTCGGTGCAGGTGCGTAGCGGCTCTAATTTCAATCAGGTATCTGGTCACCTATGGACAGGCGCCCATTCGGGAGAAAAGGCCGGGGCAATCAGCTGATAGCGAGTGATTTTGCAGATGTCGTGGGCGTTGAATCGTAATCGTCGATGCCGTCTGTCGCATGGGTCTTTTGGTTTGAGTTGGCGCGGCGCGTCGAAGTCGAGGATAAGCTGGCTATCGCCACGTGACCCATGTCTTCGTGTTGGCCAATCGGCATGGCTCCTGCCCAACTTCAACATAATAGTTGTAAATGAAGTCGAGGAAGGTGCACAGGAGTAAACCAGAGGCATCAGGTGACGTGGGCTCCCTAATCTTTCTCATCCATCGTGAATTTGAGTCAATCTTGCTATCTACAACATGTGTGCTGTTCATCATGCCTGGGCCACCGACTCCTGTCTCTTGCTGCCCACTCAGGCGACTAGAGATCCGTGATGGAGGCTCGGTCAAAGCCTTTGATTCGCGTCCCCCTAATAACATCTTTAACTTGACCATTGAAGGCGAAAGACCTATTAACAAGGAAGCGGGGACTCTAATTCTTCTCATCTACCAGGGGTTTCAACAAGTGGTATGCAAATCAGTATTGCTATCGATCGAAACTGACCAGCAGGTTTCTATTCGACTGGGCGATCTAGCAAGAAACTCGCAAGCTCCTAATGACATTGTGAGCATCGACAAACATCTCAAGCAACTATGTATCACCATTCCTGGCAAAGGTCAAGCGGTCATCTCGCAATTCGAAGAGAGGAGAGATTTCAGTGTTGCTGTCTGTCTGCTACAAAAGTTCGATCTACATATCAACGACTCCATCCCAAGTTCTTCCGCTACAAATGCGGCTTTTAGTGCATCAAAGCATGGACCGCGATTCTCTTCCATTCCGCCTATGGCCTCTATGTCTCCGCCTCCGCCTCCGCCTCCGCGGCCTTTCAGTGCTGACGCTCTTCCTGTCATGGAGAGTCACATACACCCATCTCTACAGCCAATGCCTTATCACCAGCATCCACAGCGAACGGCCTCTGTCCCAACATACTATTCTCCATATTTTTCTCCATCTGTCCCCCCTGACATGGTACATCTGAACCCGTACAACATGGTTCTTGGTCGAAACAACAACACCAACACGCATGTCCCTCGTGTTGGCTCGCCTCTCAGACATTCGTTCAGTCCAGAAGCCCAAAATCCTTCCACCTCAAATGCTGGGCCAGTCTCGGATGGGTTCTCTCCCACAAACAGTCAGATTCTCATGAGTGTCGAGGGGTTTCACGTTACCGCCAACCCCATAACAGTGAACAGGGAGAAACCCCCAGTCGACACGAGCCACAGTACAAAGGCCGATTCTCAGGGACCGCTGTCGGAGTCCGGTGACTTTCGGGATCTGATGCCACAGCCACGCAAGCTCCCATTTCAAACTCGCCCAAAGAGATCCACCTCGCAGCCGGATACTATAGCACGGGACGGGGTGCAGGAGCTCAACCCACAAGCCAAACGAGTCAAGGGTCTACCCAACAAGACGACTTCGAATAAAGAGCTTCGGCGATTCAAAACTCAGGGATCTCAAACAATCGATCTAAGAGTCGATGTCCCACTAAGGTCAACCCTAGCTCGCTTAGCAAACCGCTTAATACCACCATCCAGGCCAGAAGAGATACCCAACGCAGGAGTAAGGGACGCCGAGTGCCAAACTGAAATGTCGACTAGTCCAAATACAAGCCAACAAATTTGTCCACCGCAGTTCTCGATCTCCGAACAGATGGTGCTCCTCGCTGGCCCTGACGTGCTGAGAGAGTTGGAAGAAGCAACGGCGAGCTTATTTGAACAATACGAAACGGACATCGCCAATGGGAGTGACACCGAGGTTTCCGCTGTGTTTTACCTAAATCGGATATACTCGAAACGCAGAGAATTTTGGTCGGCCAAACTCGAGGAGCTGGCGGCTGGCCAGTGGCAACTGTCAAGTTAGGCTGGGTATGACAGTGTCATAGTGAAATGCATATGGGATGGATCTGAGGTGCATGTGAGGTGAATTTAGTGACTGTTTGTTTGTCAATAGCTTTTTAGATGTTGACAGTGTGCTAACTGACGTTTGATCTCCAACGGGGCATATATAGGGCTTCCATCATCCTTTCTCAACTTGCTGATCATCACCACAGTTCTTCTTCGAAGCTTTCTATCTTTCTTCAATTTGACAGCTCAAGTACTCTGAAGTCAGTTCAGCGCATTCTTTGAAGCTCTTCTCTCACCTTTCCTCAATTCGAAACATCGCCATCACAGCTCTTGTTCTTCAGTGCTTCTTCTTCCGATCTTCCTTCTCCATGTCTTTTCTCTCGTGATTTCGAAACGGCAGTTCGATCATAGCCGTCAAAATTTCGATGCCTACAAAGAACGTCGATGAGGGCGGCAACATGACCTTTGATGACATCGTTTCTCCTAGAACCCTCTTCAACTCTATCCTCAACGACGAGATTGTGAAGGCTGCATACAAGCAGTGCAAGAGTCAGCCGGTCAAGTGTAAGTCGTCCAGTACGCCAGTATACCAACCGTTATATCTTCTTCGCATACATCCAGCCTTCCATCTGTCCCATCACCGTCTATTTATATTTAAGCTGACCAGCCGACAGGCGCCAACGAGATTCTTCCTCGACACCCCCTTTGGTACACCCGCCGGACTGGAATCCAGAACTTGTTTGCGGGCCTTAGACTCCCCAACGTCCAGACCAAGGACGACGGGTATGTCAAGCACTACACGAGCTCTACTAGAGAGAGAAATGGATCTCGATACACCCTAGAGTGGGCAGAGCAAAGGGGCAACCACATCATGGTGGTGAGCCGTCTGGAGACTCGACTCCCTCATCGCGAAGCCCCCAAGCGTAAAGCAGTCAACGCCGACTATGGTATGCGCCACGAAATCAGCCAGCGGATGAAGGAGGTCCAGCGTGGCATCCTCCGAGGAAAGCACCTCAATCGTGTCTTTTACGTCGTCGGGATCAAGGACACGCCGGAGGAGACTATCTGGTACCTCGCTCGAAGGGTTCTTCAGAGTATGAGGACCTTCAAGTCTCCTCTGACTCTGACGGAAAAGGCGCGAGAGCAGTGGAAGGTTGAGCAGGAGAAGTACGCCGAGAAGCAACAGTACAAGTGGAAGCATCTCACACCCGAGAGCAGCAAGAACCGATAGTTCATGACAGTTACGGCATTTGCATAAAGCATTACTACAATTCCACATGTGAGGGTTGATGATCAGGAGACATGGTGATTTCAGGGGTATAATCGGACGGCGATACAGATATCCCACTGACACCACTTAGAAGCATATCCAAATCCATTTTGAAGACGGCTATTCTCCAATGCAGCCATACATAAACAACCCCCAATATTGCACCGAGAAAGATAAGTGAAATCAAGCAAAGTAACCAACCATCCGTCGCTCGTTGGGTAGATTCAGTCAAGATCAATCCAAGCCGCAGGGTATATCATCAAGCACCTTACTCCTTCATCTTGACGTAGTTGCTCGGGAAGATGCCCGTTCTCGTACCAATCTGGCCAGTCCTGGAAAAGTCAGCAAGCACTTGGTAACTTGTATGAGTCAGTACATACCACCAGTCGTTGTCGCTGTCGGTTCGCTTCAGAATCGTAATGACATCGCCCTTCTTAAAGCCTAGGTCACCAGGCTGGTCCGCGTCAAAGTTGAACACGGCCACAGCCTCATTCTTCTTGAGCATTGCTTGCTTGGCGGCAAAGTTGGGCTTGGGAGCTACAGGTCGTCCAGGACCAGTCTTCTTCTCTGCGCCAACGGGGCTGTCTCGGTAAACGTAGTCGTCACTAGCTCCGCCGCGCGCGGCAAAGGTGTTTGATCGCGATGGAGCGCCGAATCCACTAGGTCGGTCGTATACGTCGTCCTGCCATGTGTTGGAGCGACTTGGCCTTCCAAAGCTGTCGTCTTGCGAACCCGCGCGGTTATGCTGTCCCTCACCGTATGCCGATCCCCGTTGGCCATTCCACACCACATCGTCGTGCTGGTTGTCGTATACGGGAACGTCGTTGTACATGGCGTCGCCGGTAGCGCCGACCCGCATACCGCTGAAGGCGCGCGAGTTGAGGATGTTCATGAGGGGCGCAGCTTGAGGCGGTGGTCGCACAGAGCCAGTGAGTAGTTGCTGGGCCGTGTAGCGGCTGCCGTACATCTTTTCGTTGGCATCGCGGCGCTCGATGATGGCGGATCCCTCGAGGGAGACACCGGCGAAGAGACCCTTGGTCTTGGAGTAACTAAAGATACCGGAGAAGCTCCTCAAGGACGCGGCACCGGCAGCCTCGGCGTTGCGACCGACAGGTCCGGCGGCCAGGGAGACATTACCACCCAGAGTCAGAGATCCAGCCTGGGCAAACGTCTTGACAGCCTCGGCGTCGTTGAGAATGAAGACAAAATCAGTCAACTCAAAGCCGATCTGACCGCCAACGCCGGCACCACCGGTCGCAATGGCAGTAGGAGCGCTCCAAGAGCCATCGGGAAGCCGGGCGACGACGAGGCCGCTACCGAAGCGACCGGAGCCGATGAAGCCGGCCTTGAGGACGGTGAGGATGGCGAGGCCCTGGGCGTTGGCGAGGATCGAAGGAGGAATGACCTTGTCGGGACCAAAGGCCTGGCGAGGGTTTATGAAGGAAGTAAGGATCTTGCCGCACTTTTTGCATTCCGCTGAAGAGAGCTAGGTGGTCAGCCATGTCTGGGCGCATTTGAAGGCTTTCATGATGCGTCATGACATGCGGATAGGACGGACTCACACGCCAGAGACGAGGGGAGGGGATTGTTGATGCCCATCTTGAGCGATCTGCTTTACTTGGTGCAGAAGCGAAGCTGTTCTTGTATGTCGCGCGCGGGTGATGTGATGCTGTCGAGTGCAAGTGTAGGAGGAGCCAAGAGCTCACGATGTACGGTACGAGGTGGGGTTCACGACGTCGTCACGGTTGCTGCGCCTCGACTCTTGGCGACGAGCTACCAGCGACAGACAGAGATATGTCGATATAAGCACAGAAACAATGTGAGCAATATAGATTGTATACAACTTGTCGTCATGAAAGAGGCGGACTTGGAGCTCGCCTGCGCATACGTAAGGGGAAGGGAAGCTCGAGTGTGGCGCAGCTCCGACACTCCGTTTACTGAATCTCAGTCTGGAGACTTGGAGCCACAGGCAAAAACCACATGTTCTATGGCTGCCCAACCACGCGGTTTTACTTGATGATGTGTACCCCTCCTCGGACTTTACAAGTGCTCTCCAGACCCGCATTTCAAAACCCATGTCTTTTTGGCGGGGAATTTTTACCCACCCGATGGTTCTCACCTTAAGTGTGGCGGTGCGCCTCTCCCCCGGGTACGTACCCGACGAACCGGGCGCGTGGCGGGTCCGGAGTGGGAATCGTCATGGCATCAACCCCTTTCAAACTTGGCTGGAGTTGACCTCGTCGAGAGGACACGACAGAAACCGACCGACGACTTGACGCATCACGAGCTTACTCTATAACCATCTCTCGATCGATCCCACTACATATACCACGAGAAAAACTCCCCATCATGTCCGAAGCTTACGAGCGAGAGCGCCAGAACAATGCGCGCCTGGACGAACTCTCAGCCAAGGTCTCTGCCCTGCGCGGCGTGACCGTCGACATCTACGACAATGCCCGCGCGCAGGACGTCATCGACAACACCGTGCGTCTCCTACTCTCGCCAGCGATTCTATCCACTAACCACCATAGTCCGATACCTTCTCCTCCATGACGACCCAGATGAAGGGCTCGGCCGGCCGCCTGACCCGCATGGCCGCCTCCGGCAACCGCGTCGCCATCCTTAAGCTGTCGGGCATCATAATCGCCGCCTTCGTGGTGCTGTACTACGGCGTGAAGCTGCTATTTTGAATCGGGCGCTGGCGTTACGAGTTATAATGGGCAGGCAGAATACAGGTCAACAAATTAGCGGGTATAGACCCTCGGAGCATCTTCAAGGACATGTTACACCGGGTGCTGAGCTTTCGGCGTGGGTTGGCGTTAACTGAATACATACATCACATTCACATCCATCCGTACAGTATTGATCATTCATCTTTTTTGCATCTACATACTCCTAACATGCAACGCCCAAACATGCCCAGACCGCCGCCTTTAAATGTCCACTCATCCCCAAACGTTGTTGAACAAGTCCTCGTCTCCTCCGAAACCGCTAGTAGGCTTCGATCCGCTAGTGGTAGAGGGTCCGGTGCTGCTAGTCCATCCTCCGAATTCCTCATCGGCAGATACCTTGGGTGCCGGGTTGAAGCCTCCACCCGCGCCGGGGATAATAGGTGTGTTGGCAAAGGCACCCCCCGAGTTTCCCCATCCGAAATCATTACCAGCAGGCTTTGGGGGTTCAGGGGCCTTGGCAGGGGCCGGTGCCGCCGGAGCTGCAGTGGACCATTCGTTTCCGCCCCAGACGTCGGCACCCGACATGCCTCCAAAAGCAGATGTAGTCGTTGTAGTAGTGGTGGCAGGAGCAGGAGCAGGCGCAGGAGGGCTCTGAGGAGAGGATAGATTAAAGACAGAGCTGGTAGCGGCGGGAGCGGCGGGTTTAGGTGGAGGAGGAGAAGAAACAGGGGCAGATAGGTCAAAGAGATCGCCCATGGCAGATTGAGCAGGCTGGGCGGGAGCGGGAGCAGCAGCAGAAGCTGGTGCTGGAGAGGAGAAGCCACCAAAGTTGGAAAAGTTGGATGGCTGCTTCTGATGCGTTGAAGCAGCCGGCTGAGAAGGCTTGCTGTCAAAGAAACCGCCTCCTCCAAGACCACCAAAGGCATTGTTGCTAGATGTGTTGCGGCTGGCACTGCCAAGACTAGCAAACGGATCGGGAGCCGCGGGTTTGGGTTGGTTGGAGATGCTGAGGCTGCTAAAGGCATCGTTGAAGCCGCCGACTGAGCCTTGAGGGTGATGGGCCATGGTGGGAGAAGCCATGCCGCCAAAGCCGCCCTGCTGCTGCGGTTGAGGCTGAGCCTGTGGTCGAGGTGCCGTGGCATAAAGAGACAGAATCGATTGCTTCAGATCGGGACGAGATTGGCCAGGGGCAGTGCCTGTTGTGCTCGCTGGTCTTGGAGGAGCTGCCGGCTCACCAAAGAAGTCGAGTCCCAGTAAAGAATCCTTAGTGCTTGTGGTTCTCGGAGGAGCTGGATCAGCCTTGGGAGGGATCTTGGAAACGGGTGCAGCACTGCTCGATCGCACAGGAACAGGATCTCCGCCGATAAGATCCCCCTGAGGCGGAGGAGGGACGGCCTTGGGGGCTTGTGACTGACCCAACGAGGCCTTCCGGATCGACTCCTTGCGCTCTATAACCTGCTTCTCCTTGACTATGCTCAGAGGCACATCGTCGTCTCCATCGACATCCAGCGTCGAGGGGTCCGGCATCGGGCCTTCCATGACCCAGCGCTTGAGCTCGTACTTTGTGCGGATAAAGTTCTCGATCTTGGCTTCGGAGGGGGCGTGGCCGGATGCCAGCTTGGCCTCCCAGTACTTGTTGGCGCGGGCATTTCCCCAACTGAGGATGCTCTGGAGTTGCTCGTCGGTCCAGGAATCGAGGTCGACCGACTTGACTCTGCTGATGTGAGTGCCCATACCGCGATGGATGCCCGAGCAGCGGATGCAGATGAAGACGCCGAGGTTCCAACTAGCCCATCGGGGGTCTAAAAGGTCAGAATTTCGTCACAGACAGGCATCGAGAGACTTACGCTTGTTTCTCTTGCAATCGGCGCAGACCTTATTCGGCTCCAACTTGAGGAGGCTCTTGATGGTAGCTTGGTTTTGCGCCGCCCGCTCAGCGGCGGGGTTCGGGGCTCTCCTAGACATTGCGGGCGATTCGTGTGCGCAAGAGTAAAAGTGTCGCCGTCGAGGGCAGTCAAAGAATGGGGGCGCTCCTTGCGAGTGCTTGGAGGTGTTGAAAGTGGCAACCTAGAAAGTGATGATCGATGGATGATGGCGGCCTGGAGGTAGGGAGGTGCCAAGGTGGTCAGTGTACAGCGGTTTAGCTGCCCAGCGTTAGTGGCAGCCCAGGACAGTAATTAGTACCCCTGTGTGCACCGCCACAGTTGCAGCAGTGGTTGGGATTGCTGAGGACAAGGTTGATGATAAAGGTTGGTGATTGCAGGCATTGATTCATTGATGAATACGCATGTGAATAGATGCATTTTTCTTTCAGTTTCCCAACGGAACTTTGAGACGGATGATCCGGCTCAGCCACACTTTAATATCACTTTAACATTAATATCCATGCATTCCTGACAGATCATTCCCATCAGTTCGGGATTTGGAATTCTCTGGGCTGAGCCGTTACAGCTAACGATACGCATGGCTAGTGGCTGTGCTGCGCCGAGTCAATTACCTATGATGCAACTATTCCTCGATTCCACACAATGATTTGTCACGTCGCTGCGGGTAAGACATCAATACGCTGTAAAACGCTACCCTCGACCATGAGCTTCACCTGAAGAAGATATAAGAGTTCATCATCACCATTGCCAATGCGCTTCTCATTCTTATCCACACTCATCTATTCATTCTCCAACATTGCTAGGAGACCTACACGCATACCTCATATTCCATCTCGTCCAGTTCCCCTCCGTTCCATGTCTGGTATTTCATTTCTGAGTGCTCTGTTTGGCTCAAGCTCTTCCAAATCCTCCGACATGTCGTATCCCGATAAACGCAGCAACGACGAGTGGCGGGCCGTCCTCAACAAAGGTACTTGACCTCTCAGTCCGCTTCACTACTGTACTAACAAAGACAGAACAATTCCGCATCCTCCGTGAAAAGGGCACCGAAGCTCCTGGCTCGGGCACCTACGACAAGCATTACCCCGAGCAGGGCGTCTACAGCTGCGCCGGCTGCAACGCTCCGCTGTACAAGGCCAGCCACAAGTTCAGCTCCGGATGCGGGTGGCCCGCCTACTTTGACAGCATCCCCGGGGCCGTCGTCCGCCACGAGGACCGCACCTTTGGCATGGCACGCACCGAGATTGTTTGTGCCAATTGCGGTGGCCATCTCGGACATGTGTTCAAGGGCGAGGGTTACGACACGCCCACTGATGAGCGTCACTGCGTCAACAGCATCAGCTTGAGCTTTTCGCCTGACGACAAGCCTGTGGAGAAGCCGGCAGAGAACAAGATTTAAGTCATTAACAGTGGAGTTGCAATGGAGTTGACGGCGAGTGACAGCGGAGCATGAGAACGGGGTGTAAAGGAGTAGAAATTAAGAGTTGATAGTATTAATCAAGGCTGCATATATCCATCCCAGCTCAGTCAAAGATCTCGGGGAAGTATACCCACTCTTTGTCTTGCTCATCCCAGTGTTTAAACTGCAGCTTCTCTGGGTCCCATGTCCAATAGTCATCAGTCTCATCCTCAAAATACTCAATGTCAGGAGGAGTCAAGGCCTCTCCTGAGATGAAGGCATCTTCGATGGAAGGGTTGATGGTCCTGGGACGGCTGTCGCTAATAGACAAGGACTTGAGTCCGTCCTGTAAGCTTTCCAGTTTATATTCCCCAGTGCTCTGCTCGTAATTGTCAACGTATTGTCCCTTGTCGGGCTTAGGGTCAGTGTTTGACCCGGCATCTTCCTTTTTGTCCTCTGTCTTCTCTGGTGTCTGCCTCGGTCGACACTCTCCAGGTGGATGCTTTCTCTGGCTCCTCACCCAACTCATCCGGAGAGATCCCTTCGACTGTCTCCTTCGACACCGATTCTTCTCAGGGCTTGATGCAAGCAACCGGCCTGGAAACAAAGCCTTGAAAAGTTAGTTGAATCCAGTCACCATCGAGAACACCTACCTTGACCGCCACATAACAAGGCGAGTCCGCAGCCGACTTTCTCGTTAGACATTGCATCTCCGAAGATCGGGGCAAGTTGGGGGCCAAAGAGCCAATAATACCGGGTCGACAGAATTTGTCCATCGAGGAGCATTGCCCTGTATTTACAGACCCAAAGTGTTCGAGAAAGTCCATTTGTGGCAAGCTGGACTTGACACCGAGACTGGGTAAATGATGCGACTGGAGATGATATAAAGTATAGTGAAGCTCTATCAAGACAGCAGAAGTAGGGAACACAACGGCATATTTCAAGGTAGTACGAAGAAAAGATTCTCGGCATCTGCGGACGATGAGGCTCAAGAAAGACGATAGAGGTTGACGTGGACAATCGCGAGCCTCATTCTAGAGGGGTTCGCTTGAGAGCCTACGCCCGAGATATGAGGCTCTCGACGCATTTTCCCGCAGTCCAAGGCATATTGGTTGCCTTGCCTAGGCGATAAGGCAACGTGGCTGTGGATTGCATCAAACAGTGGAATTGTGAGTGATTTGATGCCCAAAGTGCACATTCTCCGAATCACCATCAAGCGCACCTCGGCGAGAGCACAGCCTACTATCGGACCATACGGGCTGTGTGATTCAAGTACCGAAACCGATCTATTTCTCGTTTAAGCATGATTTTGGTGTGTGTTAAATGGCCAATCGACAATCTGCCTTGTGCCGCTGGAGAAGCGGTCTGGACTGACTCCAGGACTTTGACTGGATAATAAAAAGAAGTGCACATTCGGTGCGGAGCTGTTGCCTTGGTATGGATGGATAACATCAAAGACAATGAGAATCATGTCACAACATAAAGCCCACCGAACATCTCGTAGACACTTTCAAATTCAAATTCATAAATCGAGCAATGCCCGCACTTGATTAAAAAAATCTGGAGAATTTTACGTTTCCCGCCTCGCCATCTCGACCGCAGCGTTTGAAAACCTTTAAAAGTGTACGACTTCCGCTGCCTAATCTCACCCAACCCAGAAGTTCGCAATGAGGTTGTCCGCTGTCCGGCAACGGAACCCAAACCGCCCCAATAGACACCATCGACGCCAGGCGTTAGCTGTCCTCGATCAGATCTTTGACCAAGGGGCGAGGTCTCCTAGAAGTAGGAGAGCCTCGTCCATCGGCTCGATGAACGGTCCGTTGGAAGATATTACAAGGCTATGCAACGAGTTGGAAGCCTCCAGAAGCGCTCGATCACAGAGACGTGTTCCAGAGCTAGAGATTCTCAGTCCAGATGTCACCATGATGGACTTTCCCTCTCCGATGCCAAGTGAATCGCCATCTCCAACGTCGCCAACATCGCCACTCTTTTCAACTCCTCAACCGGCCCCATCCCGTGTCAAAGACGGAGACATGATACGCATCACGCTCAAGATTCACAGAGCCAATGTGCCATGCATCGCCAAATGTTGTCCCAGGGAAAAAACCAGCGCCGTTGATGAGGATTTTGTCAACAATTGGAGGGTTGCTTTTAGGCCCACTCCCACGATGAGATTAGAAACACGAGGGAGCAATTTCTGGTGCACTCTCGACGTGGTTGATGTGGAAAAGGTCGGAAGCACCAAGAGAACATTAAATTTGCCCATCCGCAAGTTTTCAGATCGACGATTCAGCGTCACCTTGGGTGTTGAAGCACTCACTTCGCTTGGTCTGATTAAGAACACAGGCAAGTTTTCATCCCATGTCATTCTCGGCAGACGCTAACCCGTGCCGCTGCAGGTCCGAGATCATCTACCCCAGACCCAGGCCATGCCTCGGTCGACAACAGCCTGTTGCTTCATCCTGGCTGGTCTAGGGGTTTTACACCTTCATCGCCGACATCGCCGGAGCCGCAAAGACCGCCATTACATCTGAATATTCCATCGTCGGTTCCAACGATCAGGGTAAATCCTCCTCTACTGGAATTACCTGGTGGTTCGACCTCGGCAGACGACTCTGGTTCCAACTCGGACATGTACTCAATAGTGTCATTCAACGATGGATCACGGAGTCCAGCACCTTCAGAGTGGGCATGGAGCGAGTGTTAAGGTTAATGATTTGCAGTTTGGAACGCAGTATGATTTGGCTTGGCTTGGTTGGAGTTGGTTGTTTTGTTATCTTGATATCCACGGATCCCTTTGCGTTCGTTCAGGCCCAATCGAAACTCGGTTCTTTTCCATTTCCTTGTGAATCTGGGTAATACCACGTGCTCCTCGTGGATTGCTTAGAATGCCACATCTTGACCGCTGACAATCAGCTTCTGTCCTTGTGACGCAACTCTCCAGAACCATCTTGGGGTCTTCCCCGCCGAAAGCTGGGGGATCTGGCATGTGAAAGGCGCTAAAATGTGGCGCTAGAACCGCCAAGCCTGGGGCGACGAGATGCCTCGGTCGGCGGGTCTTGACTCGACCTGTTGCGACTCTGACCTTGACAACATCCGAGGTCCCGAGACCATCTTGTATATTAATCAGTCGTCGCTCTTGATTCTTGAACTCGTCACTTTAAACTCCTAGTAAATCAAAATGGGTGGTATGTTGTGATCCCAGTTCTGGCAGTATCCTCGCTGACGCGCAACAGCTATCGATCGAATCTCTCAAATTGGCGGCCAGATCTCTGGTAACCCGACCGCCGGCGGTCGCGACAAGATCCTGGAGAAGCACCCTGATGATGTATGTTCTTGAGTCGCATCGCATAGTTTACAGATTCTAACAAATCAGATTGTCGTCACTGCCGCCTGTCGAAGCGCATTCACAAAGGGTGGCAAGGGAGGCTTCAAGGACACCCAGGCTGCTGACCTCATCACTGGCGTCCTCAAGGCCATCCTCGACCGTTCCAAGATCAACCCCGCCCTCGTCGAGGATCTATGCGTCGGTACCGTTCTGGCTCCCGGCGGCGGTGCCACCGAGATGCGCGCTGCTAGTCTGGCTGCTGGCTTCCCCGAGTCCATCGCCGTTCGATCCCTCAACCGACAGTGCTCCTCCGGTCTGCAAGCCACCGTCGATGTGGCCAACCAGATCAAGACTGGCATGATTGATATTGGCATTGGAGCTGGTGTTGAGAGCATGTCGCTGCAATACGGGTAAGTTGCTTGACTATTGACACCAACACTGCTAACGGTTTAGACCTGGCGCCGTTACCGAATTCTCAGAGCTTCTCGAGAGCCACCCCGAGGCTGCCAACTGCAAGGTCCCCATGGGTGTCTTGTCAGAGCAGATGGCCAAGGACCTGGGCATTACTCGCGCTGCCCAAGACGCTTTCGCTGCCTCTTCATACCAAAAAGCAGTCAAGGCTCAAAAGGCTGGTCTGTTTGATGAGGAGATTGCCCCTCTCAAGGTCAAGGTTGAGGACAAGGAGGGTAACATCAAGGAGATTACCGTCTCCAGGGATGATGGTGTCCGAGATGGCATCACTGCCGAGTCTCTGGGCAAGATTCGACCCGCCTTTGCCAAGGATGGTTCTATCCACGCTGGCAACGCCAGTCAGATCTCGGACGGTGCTGCCGCTGTCCTTCTCATGAAGCGTTCCACCGCTGAGAAGCTTGGACAGAAGATCCTCGGCAAGTACGTCTGCGCCTCGGTCGTCGGCGTCAAGCCCCTCCTGATGGGCCAGGGCCCCTGGAAGGCCATCCCCAAGGCTCTCGAGCAGGCCGGCATCTCCAAGGATGACGTTGATATCTGGGAGATCAACGAGGCCTTTGCCAGCCAGTGCCTGTGGTGCGCCAACGAGCTTGGCATTCCTCAGGAGAAGATCAACCCCAAGGGAGGTGCCATTGCATTCGGCCACCCCCTGGGATGCACCGGTGCCCGACAAGTCTCTACTCTGCTGTATGAGCTGAAGCGGACGGGCCAGAGGGTTGGTGCGACGTCCATGTGTGTGGGAACTGGTATGGGAATGGCTGCTATCTGGGTGGCTGAGTAGTGTACGATACCTATGTATATCTAGCTTTGAAATTCATGTCAAAATCCTTTTATAACCGTTCCAATGTGCTTTTCGTTTGCAACCTCGACCAAGTGCATGCCCACGACGAGATCCATGAGTCCAAGGCCAACACTCTTGTAGATTACCGTCCCGTCTCGCAGCCACCGCACGAGATGGTCCTCATTCTTCCCCTTTTCTTTATCCAAAGAGCTGTTGGAACCTTTTCGGAAGTGAAATATGGATCCAGACTTGCGAGGGTCTGAGCTGACTGAACTAGGACTAGATGGAGCATCGCTTCCAAAGACTGTGGAAATGGAAGACCTGCCATGGTCGAACCTATCATCCGAGGCAAGTGATGTCTGGCTGCTGATGGGGTCGTCGGATTCTTCTAGGGCTTGACGATGAAGCATGACAAGTTCTCCAAGCCTGAATGTGTTAGAATGGTTATGAATTCGAGGGATGACTTACTCGACCAGCTGATTAGGCCCGATTTTAGCTGCAATGATCTCACCCGCTTCCTTGAGGACACCTTTGATGTTGTCGACTACAATCACACCACCTTCAGGTGCGTGCTTGTGATAGTGTCGGTGAGGTTTATCATACTGCTTGACGGCCAGTTGAAGAAGATCATCGGGCAATTCCCTCATCTCAGGCGTATAACTTCCAACAGCAATAATCAGCCGTCCCTTTTTCCGCCCTTCGTGAGATGTCAGAATGGATGCATCAAATAGGTCCTCTTGTGATGAAGTGCAGCAGTAGATGACATCCGCATCCCGCATCTGCTCCTTCAGGAGGCGATTGTACTCGTGAAACGCGGGGATCAAGAGTCCAAACTTGACGTCGGTCCAACCCTCCCTTTCCTTGATCTCAGGTGGGATGCTGGCGAATTTCTTCAAGAGACTAGTTGCATTTTCAGACCATCGACGGTTGATGATGTGAACGTGCTTGATGGTGTGACCTCGCATCATGAGGGCCAATCTGATATGCCAGTATGCCTGTAGACCGCTTCCAAATACAGTCAGGGTCTTGACATGGCCACGACGGGCCAGTAGACAAGTTGATGCGAGAGCTGTGCGGAAAGCAGTGAGGGCACTGGCATGAACGATGCCTAGTGGTGATCCATCTGGTCTAAACAAGTTGACAACTCCCGTAGGAGTAATAGGTTTAGAATCAGCCTCCTGAGAAGCTTCTGCGGTGGTCAAGGAGATGACTGGACCCAGTCAACATAGTTCAACACTGAGGAATAAACCCACCTTTACAGCCCATGCCACATGGAGCGCAAGAGGGCATATACAGCGTCCTGGCTTGAGTTTCAGGATGAGTAGTCGAGATACGATTCGGTTGCTGGTAAGCGGCCTCGAGAGCTGGAACGCCAGTCGAGAATTCGTGGAGTGATGAAGCCAGAACGTGGCGAAACTCTTCAAGCTCATCCACGGTGAGGCCCTCCAGGATGGAATTGACCTGGTCGTCGGAAAGAATGGTATAAGTCATCTTGCAGAGTGACCTCGAGCACCTTCAGACTAAGACTATGTTCCAAGCTTAAGCACTAACGGCTTCGCTTCGTCGGTGATGGGTGGTGTTGAAGATGATGTAATGGGCACATCGTCGCGGGGATACGGAATCTCCACTTGAGCACATGGGTGCGATATCGCTTATGCTGCGCATCTTGAACTCGATAGGGCTGGAGGGCATACAGAGATGCTGAATCGCATGGATATGATCATATAGATGGTAGATTGATAATACTACAAATATAAGTGTAATTCTTTACCTGTAACCTAGATTACTTGGCGGTTGTTAGGTCACGCAGTCACATGCCGATCCGTGGAGCTGACTGTCTCAAATGCATGATTGGAATTGCTTCAGACAAAGGCAGCAACATTAACCACAGCAGTGCCACCTTTGATGGGCCACAATCGAATGCCAAGCATCTCGAGACCCTCGTGTAGGGTATCTTCTTGGCTCGTCAGCTTGAGGCTTGGCCCAGTGCCGCGATGCCGCGTAATTCTCTACGTACATCACACTTTTTGAAGAACTGGCTGCCTTGGAATACGGCAAAATACGACGAATTCTATCCGAATAAGAGATTCAATCAAAGATGAGATTCGATTCCTATAAATCCAGGGTCGCGACAGTGATTAACCGTCATCACTACTGTCTCAACAACCTCGCCGACAGGGCCTCAACCCGGCAAGTCCCCTACAAGTCCCCTACAGTCAACGCCCGCTAGGCCAATCAGAGCCCTCCCGCCGCCGCCAGCAACGGGTGGTCGCCCCGTAACCTCCACTTGCTTCTATTGACAGCCAAGCCTGCGCCGCCTCAAAATTGGAGCAGCAGCAGCTCCTTGCGAAAAGGCTACGTGCATCTTTACATCAACCTACATCTTGCAACATCACATCACCACACACGTCGCAACGCTCGCTTCACCCGCCCACGCACGAATACTCGATCGGATTCGCTCTATCGATACATCGGATTGTTTCCTCCTCGACAGCGCCCTTTATCGTGCGCACTACCCTCTACATCCCCGAATACGAGCGACGTAAGCCGTCAAGATGACGCTCAAGGAGGAGTTTCAGACGCGCAACTTTAGTATGTGGCTCTATCATGATGCTCGAGACACGCAGATGCTAACCTGAGTGCAGGCATTTATGGACAATGGTATGCTTGATGCCGCGACGATCTACACCGAACGACACTGACAATCCAGGATTGGCATCTTGTCCATGATCATCTGCTTGGCAGTGGGAATCGCCAACATCTTTTCATTCAACCCCGTCCGCATCATCTTTTGCGCACTCGCAATGTACGTCGACCGGTCCTTTACGCAATCATAACTAACATCTCAGTGCGTCGGCATTCGTCATCCTATTCATCGAGGTTCCCCTGCTCCTCCGAATCTGCCCAACCTCGGGCAAGTTTGACGAAGTTATCCGCAAGATCTCGACCAACTACATGCGCGCCGGAGCCTACGGTGTCATGTCCACGCTGCAGTTTGTCAGCAACGTTTCTGGCGCCAGCAGTCTGATTGCCGCCGCCGTCTTTTTGCTGATCGCTGCCCTCTGCTATCTCCTTGCCGGCATCAAGGGCCAGGCCTTTGTCGGCAGCAAGACCCTCGGAGGCGCCGGTGTTGCGCAGATGATTGTGTAATGCTGCTCCAGACCGAACGCGACGGCAACGATCGAGGGAGACGAGACTGCGGCAATGTATCCGCGTGGTTATGGGTGATGGTACTCAATGATTTACGGTTACTCCGGTGACCTGTATACCCGGCTGGAATTCGGCGTCTGGGATGAGGAACGGTTACGCTTGTAGTGTTTTGAGGGTTGGTGCTTGTTCGAGTTTAGATGTAAATTGATTCACGTTCATGGAATGCAAAAGCAGACGTTACTAGAGCTTGACTGAGCTAGAGTGCTCAGCAGTTGTACAACAGACCGATTGACACATTTGATAGACCAATTCCTCGGTCACATGCTGCAGCTTGCCCAAATAGTCAATGGCGGCGTTAAGCTATTCGGACAAAGGACAGCTATCGGATAGTAACTCGTGATGTGCAGAACTCGCAAGCCTGCCACTAGAGGTTAGGTTGATGCTATTGAAAGTGGGGAAGCGGCAGCATCGAGACAGCTCCAGACGGGACTCGGTGCAAGGAGGTTACCGGCCTGGCCTGGTCGTGGCGTTGCCAACCTGCAGGCTGCTCTTGATGGAAGAGGGGTGAAGCTGAGCATGGAATGTCGATTACATTTTGCTATTACGATTATCTCTACAGGGTAACGACCCGGGCCGGTCTACCCCTCGGTCAACTGCCTCGGTCAACAGGAGCTTTGGTGGATGGCGTCATGATGGGACTCGAGATGGATGTCTGGCATCACGGTGAGGGCGGGCAGCGGGATGGGATATGATTCGACTGGAGAATTTGAAAGCGTCAGGGGAACAGAGTTTTTTTGCGAGGCACGGCCAGCAACCGGTCGAGGTGGTGTACAGGTTTATGGGTCCGGAATGGTTCGAGGGGAGTCACAATCCGAATCTCAATGCTTGTGCTTGTAGGTACTTTCAGCTTCCAGCAGAAAGCCTGCCGGTCAGACGACAACCGTTCCGTTCACCGCATCGTCCAGTAGGACGCCGTCGAGTAAGCGTCATTCCCTCAAACTCCCATGGACGAGCATCATTCGAGCTAGTTGCGCGGCTTCGATCGGTGGGGATACCTGCAGGACTCCGCCCATGATGGACATGGACATCCGGGATGCACTGTATGATGGAGGTGATGTACTGTCGGTCGTCTGGAAGTACAGGGACAGGGAATTGCTTGTCAAAACGCTTCAGGTTTGAAGACTTTTTTTGCTTGATCAAGACCGTTTCCGTTGATTCATGCGGGGTGACACACTGTATGGTCTCAGTTGTTGGGATTCAAGGAAAGACATTCTAGACTGAAAACAACGTGATAACAACGAAAGCAGCCAGTTCGTAATGAGCAGACACCAAGAATACAATTGAAATCGGCAAAGCATTTGGCAAAAAGGTTCTATCCCAACATCAACGCTCACAGTGCGATTATCATGACCCTACTTGGCGCCATTCATCCCTGTTTTCACCCTTTCTAGTGACGACAACCAAGGTCACCAGCTTAGTGGCACAAGTCGTCACCTGGACGTTCAGCTTCTGTTGAGAGACCAGGATATAAGTAATTGGCCAGGAACGTGTTGGATTTCGTGTTTCTTTGTCCATTGAACCCCTTCCCTTATCCTACAGTCTACCCCAGGATCCATACTTCACCCTCACCTCACCTCCACTTCAATCGGTAAGTCCTCACCTGCGGTGTGCGGGCGCATGCAAGTGGGCGCTGCACCATGTTCCGTTCCTGTCCTGTCATGGTCCCTATCTTTATAGCGCCGTGAACCGTGGATCCGATGACCACGATAAGCTCGCGGCCAAGCCAGTGGAACTGAATGGCTGAAGCTCAAATACCCGTCTTTCCCTGGTGTCCTGTGAATTGGTTTTCCTGACTCAATTGACTCCCCCAGTGAACCTTGTGCTGATTGCCCAGCTCTGACCCATCAGTCAGCTCAGCTTATACCGCCCACCTCGCTCGCTTGAGCTTCTTCACATCGACATGACTGCTGCAGCCATGCAAACACCCGCCATCCCGCCCCGTCCTGTCAAGGACAAGGACGATTTATCACCTCCCAAGATTCCTCCCCGTCCTAGCAAGCGTTTCGACCGCTCGATATCCCCCAACCCCGACCGCTTCGCCCCGTCACCGTTCAACGAGGGTATCCCCCAAAAGAGCCCCAAGACTCTCCGCTTCAGCCCCAACGACAATGCCCAGGAGCAGGACCCCATTGACCGCTCCGGCAGCGTCCCAATGCCCTCCATCGGTCAGGAGGGTCTCGAATACAGCTCTATCGCCAACGAGCTCAAGGCTGAAGAGGAGGAGACTGGAGAGAAGCCCCAAGCTGCTGCACCTGAACAAACTCGCACTGTTGCCAAAGACCTGAAGCTTCATGCCCCCAAGCCGTCGCTTCCTGCCCACAGCGCCAAGCAGCGCGTCCAGGCCGTCACCCGCACCGACTCTGACAAGGCCGCCTCTTTCGGCATTGGCCGTCCCACCTCTCGCGACGGTGTCAAGAAGAAGGCCAGCACAAGCTTTTCGGCCAGCGAAGGCCGACCCGAGATTGAGGATGAGCAGGGCATCCCCGAGATTGGCCAGCGCGTTCCTATGAACCCACATCTCGGTGATGTCCAGGCTCCTTCGCCCGCTCCTGGTTCTGATGAGTCCAAGAAGCACCACCACCGCAAGCACAGCTCTCGTGGTGGACCTCCTGGCAGCTACGGTCTTCATGGCCACGGAGTTGCGCCCCAGGACAAGCTGGAAAAGGATTACTACGACAAGCATCCTGATGCGCTGAAGAGGGAGCACAAAACACCTCTGCATGATCGCCAGAACGACTATGCCCTCAGCAGTAACGATCTGAACAAGCTCGTCAGGGACACGCGGAGTCGTGGATCCGGCCTCGGTAAGTTTGATACTGCTTGGCAAAACTTGACTAACAACTTCAGCCTCCGAGTATAAATCTACTCCCACCGAGGAGGTCGGCTTCCAGGCCAGTGAAGAGTATGCTTCTCGTCTGTCTCCTCGTCCCGCTTCTGTAGCCGCCGACAAGATTCAGCCTCTCTCGTTCAAGTCGGAGATTACTGGTCCCGACGGTGAGAGCACTGTTCATGTTGACGACCCCAAGCATCCTGAATATCGCTCCTATGGTGATGAGGAACCTGCTGCCGATGATGAGGATCACGAGTACACTGCGCCTATTCTCGCTCCCGATGAAGTTGAGAAGGAGGGCAACTTCCACCAGCAGCCTGCCGTCCACCCCCCTCCTGAACGTCGAGGTAGCGCCGGTGAGTTGGAGGAACCCACCAGCCGACCCTTGAGTCGATCAAGTAGGCCCAAGAGCCGACCTACCAGCATCTACAAGAACAACGATCAAGAGTTTGTTCCTTCTCCTCTGGATGATGTCAAGGAGTACGAACCTCTTTTCCCCGAGGAAGCCAAGGAGTCAGAAAAGCCAGCACCTGAGAAGCCGTCTGAAAAGGCCCGGCATTTCTTCCCCAGCAAGGACGTCTGGGAGGATGCTCCAAGCAGTGTGCATTATACCGCCGAGGTCTCAACACCAGACGAGCAACCCGAGGCACAGAAGTTCGTGGACCGACCCAAGACGCCTGCTCACATCTTTGCTCAGAAGCAAGAGGAGCTTGCAGAACAAGAGAGTGCTACCGACATTCCCAAGGCCGAGGAAAAGCCTATTTGGACGGAATCAAAAGAGTCCGACTCTTTCCTCAGCGCCAAGAAGAGACCTTCTGCCGGTCGGCGATTCCCTAGCCGAGACGTATGGGAAGATGTTCCAGAGAGTCAGCTGTACGAGGCTACTGTCTCTGAAACGCCAGAGGAAAAGCCCGAGATCCTAGAGGAGAAGCCTGAGATCCCAGAGGAAAAGCCCGAGGTCACAGAGGAAAAGAAGCCCGAGATTCCAACCCGCCCCAAAAAGACAGAGGACCGCCCGGCTGTTCCTGATCGACCCAAGCCCAAGAAGACCCCGAGCGACGAAGGAAAGCCAAAGCCACCTGTATCCGACAAGCCAAAGCCTCAGATTCCTCCTCGTCCGGATGTCAAGTCAAAGCCCCCAGTGCCTAGCAGACCCGTCGGCAACAAGATTGCTGCTCTGCAGGCAGGTTTCATGAGCGACCTGAACAAGCGTCTTGCAATTGGACCTCAAGCTCCCAAGAAAGAAGAGACGAAACCTCAGGAGGACGTCACCGAGGAGAAGGAAAAAGCCCCGCTTTCGGATGCCCGGAAGGGCCGCGCTCGGGGTCCACAACGGCGAGCTCCGGCCCGAAGCCCCGCTGCGCCGGTCAAATCTACGGGGCCGTCCTTGACATTTTCAATTCCCCAGACACTTTGGTCAATTGACCCAGAGGGTTCTCTGTCTGTGTCTGGAGATTCTCTGGTGCCCGAGACGCCCGAGGTTGAGCCCGAGGTTAAGCCTGAGGTTAAGCTAGAAGTTGAGCCAGAGATACAACCAGAGGTCAAATCGGAGGAGGCTCAGCCAGAGGTCAGGGCTCCAGAGCCTGTAGAACAGCCTGCAGAGGTCGAACCTGAAGTGGTTCAGGCTGAGACTGAGACCGCAAAGCCAGAGCCTGCACCGGAGGTTGAGGTTGAGTCTGCAGAGCCTGTTCCTCAAGAACCCGCCGTGGAACCTCAGCCTGCAGCTGAATCCAAGGAGCCTGAACCTCAACCCGAAGCACCCAAAGAGATCAAGCCTGAAGAGAACAAGCCTGCGGAGGAAAAGACACTCGTCGCCAACACGGCTGGTGAGAGTATCCTAGAAACGACGGTCGAAAAGAAGGATGGTGCAGTTGACCCAGTTGAGGTCACTGATCAAGTGAAGCAGTAATAGAGGACGCCAGACCCGTACAATACATTCATTTATGGAGTAATCCAATGACTGGTAATATACATAGCAAGTACAATACAAATCGTTACCTACGTGCCCACTTATCTTCATCGACGCCTCTTCTCTCCCTCTCGACAAGCTTGTCAAACTCTTGTTGAGCTTGTTCCTTAGGTAGGGACTTTTCCTCGTCGGCGTTGCTGAACGAATAGCTGTCGCTAGAATTTGAAGAGTTTCCCCAACTCTGTGACTCTGATTTCTGTGCCCAACCACGAGGTTCCTGTTGAGTCTGAGGCTGCTGAGACTGTTGTCGAATGCGATCCCATGCTGACCCAGAGACGGAGCTGGTGGGCTGATTTCGAGCGGAGGAGGCGACGGGCGAAGCATCATCGTCATCGAGGACATCCCAATCATGATCATCAGACTGACTCTGCTGTGTCTGCTGTGTAGGGACTTGTGTTCTGTTCCAGGGAGTGTTGTAGCGAGGCTGCTCTGAGCGATCGGTTTCTTCGTTGCCCCACGAACCCTCCTCCTTCGGTGTCTTCTTGAAAGGCACCCTTGCTGAAGTAGGATTGGCCATGACCTGCTCGACTCGCTTGCTGGCATCCTTGGTGAACTGCTCCAGCCTTGAATCCTGCGCCATGGCGCTCTCAACTCGGATAAAGTTGACAGTGCGGAAGATGGGCTCAACCATGAGCATCGTGACGGCAGCGTATGCCGTGAAGCGTAGCGTGTGCCATGTGAATCGTGGGTATCGACCGTGGATCTTTTTGTTGGTAAAGATGCTCGTCGCCTCGTTGGGGTTGAATCGACCGCCTAGCTTGGGCTTGTAAAATGGGAATTGCCAGGTGTTGCGGCCTCGGTAGGTCATGTATGCGGCGAGTCCGACGGTGATGTACTTGGCGGCGGCATTGTTGTGGATGTTGTTGAGGGTGTACTCGGCGATTGCTTTAACCTCTTGGTCCTCTAGCTCACGGCCGAGAGTAGATGCAAATCCGGAGACTCTAGAGGTTGCAACGAGGAGGTTCCAATCGCGCTTGTACCCGATGAGCGAGACGTAGAAGGGAGGGGAGTATTCATGGAACAGTCGGTTGATCTGGTCTTGCACCCTCGGTTGGTACTGGTCGCGCTGAGCTAGAGCTTGTTGGCGCCATTCCTCCATCGAGTGCTTGTAAGCCTCGCGGGTCGGGCCACTGGGAGCATTCATGGTTGCTCAATTGACGAAATCAATTGAAACGTGAAGTTGAACCGGATATCGGATGACGACTCGATGAATGGTGACGCAGGTGGGGGATGGACCTGCAGCTTTATCGATAAGGCACGTGATCTGGCATTCAAGCAAGCGCGTATCGCGACGCGCTTCAACCATTAAACATAGCGCGTCTCCCTTTAGCATCCCACCTCAATTGCTGGGATGTTCAAGTTTTGCAGTCATGCCTCTGCAAAAGTCGTATTCTGATCAAGTCGGCCGGATTAAGGTATGGTGATAAGTATGTTTATGTGCTCCGCTAACAGTTTGAAGCGCTCGCCATGGCAACGATCGAGAAGCAACCCTGTTCAGACACCAAAACCACGAGCACCAGTATCCGAGGTTACCAAGAACAAGCTCAACAAGTTTCAATATCATCCGAAACCCGAAGACGAGGAAACCAAGGAATCTGCACCCCAAGTGCAAGAAACGCCCGCTACTCACCTGACCTGGAGAGATCTGCTTGGACCTACAGGTACCGAAGATGAGAACACTTCGCCAAACGACCGACTGCTCTGGGATAGCAGGCCTGACAGTCTCTACCTTTCCGCCTTGTCTCCCATGATGTCGAGGAAGGGACGAAAACGTGCTAGAAGTTCATCTCCAGTCTCGTCACCTGCCCCTGAAAAGACCCCTTCCGTCAACGTCAAGAAATTGGCACAAGCCTTGAAGTCACCACACGCAGATCCGACGCTGGAGCTTTGGGATCGATACTCTTTAAACTCGGAAAACGCTCCTGGACTCACCAATCCCACATTAGCACAGCTGATGGTGTCTTCATCACCAAGACCAAAACCGAACGAAGCCAACCTACGACGAGCAATAAGTTGTGGCCTGAACTGGCCAAAAAGGAGAAGAGTCGAGAGATCGACATCAGGAAGTCTCAACAGTGAGAAGGAGATGGAGGCCAAGTCTTCTCTGGTGACTGCTCTGCTCGATACGGTGACTAGTAGCATCAACGGGAACGATCAGTCTCCTTCTCCAAAAAAGAGGCGGATATGTGCCACTAGTACTGGCTCTCCGCGACCCAAAGCACCGGCTTCTGATTACGGCGATGATGATTTTGACGACTTTGACGACGATACCATAATGCAGCTCGAAGCAAGCATCAACGCGACCCAGCTGGATCACCAGGAAGAGCCTGAGCTTCCACCCCAACCATTGGAGACAGTGAAACAGGACGAACCAGAGGACGAAATGGCAGATGAACCAGAGAATACACCGGCGGACAAGCTTGACGAGTTTGACGACTTGGACGATGACATCTTTGACGACGCCGAAGACCTCCTCACGTCAGTGGAACAGGCCCAAACTGCTACCCCCGTGGAACACCAAAATGCTACCCCCGTGGACCCCGACCCAGATGACGAGTTTGGTGACCCCTTTGGTGGTGACTTTGACTTTGAGGCCGTGGAACTCGCAGCAACCCAAGCAGTTAACTGCCCGGACGTACGTCGAAGAACCTAGGAGGACCGCACATGCTAAGAACTGTAGAGACGGAAAAAGACAATTCAGCGATATCTGGTGATGAATGTGTTGGAAGGAGAATACACGGAAGGGCATGCCCGACCGGAAAAGGTGAGTTTTGCCGTCAATTGTGGGATGTAGCTGACCCTTTAGATCCTTCTTATCCAAGCAGACAACTCCAAGGAGATGAGGACTCTTCATCTCAGGGGTTCGTGGTATGACACGCCAGCTCATCCGCAGGCTTACGTCCACGTTATTGGCAACTTTACACCAAGAGGGCAATGCATCATTGATGATGCCCACAACCTCCTTATACTACACCCTGATCAGCTTATATCGGCAACCGTGGTGGCTGACTCTTTTGGTTGCATGCGTCGTGCTGTGCTTCAAGACCGAGTCAAAGCCACAAGTCCCCCAACGCCGCCTCTTATCTATGGAACCATGCTTCACGAGATATTTCAAGAAGCACTCCTCGCCAACAAGTGGGATCTTCCATTCTTGTGCTCGGTTATTGATCGGATTACGGACAAGCATGTCGAGGATCTCTACACCATCAAAGTCGGTCTGGTATCGGCCAGAGAGCATCTCCAGTCAAAGATGAACGAGCTGAGTTACTGGGCTGGCGCTTTTGTATCCTCTCAGCCAACAGAGGATGCTGTCATTGAGGATCGAAACGGAAAAAAGGCCAACATGGCCGTCACCAAGTTGCTAGACGTCGAAGAGCACGTCTGGTCACCAATGTACGGGCTCAAAGGCAACATTGATGCGACAGTCGAAGTTGCAATGCAAGACGGTAAGGATTTCAAGACTCTGACCGTCCCATTTGAGGTCAAGACTGGCAAACACGCAAACAGCAACCACATGGCACAAACTGCCCTTTATACACTTTTACTATCAGACCGGTACGACATTGAGATTGCCTATGGTATTCTTTACTACATGGAAACCTCGAAAACGATGCGCATCCCTGCTATCCGACATGAACTTCGACACATGATTATGCAACGCAACCAGCTAGCATGCTACGTCCGAGAGAGAAGCGTTCAATTACCCCCGATGCTCAGGAGCAAGCACATGTGTGGAAAGTGCTATGCCAAGACATCATGTTTCATCTATCACCGACTAGCAGACGATGGCGATGGGGAGTCCAGCGGGATGAATGAAAAGTTTGATGAACTAGTCAAGCATCTCACTCCGGACCACAAGGAATTCTTTGTCAAGTGGGAGAATCTTCTCACCAAAGAGGAAAAGGAGAGCCAGAAAACAAAACGAGAACTCTGGACAATGACAAGCGCTGAGCGAGAAAAGAAGTCGCGGTGCTTTGGCGATGTCATTATTGAAGAGGGCTCAGCGTCTGTTGATACAGTCAACCCAAAGATTAACCGCTTCCACTACACCTTTATCAAGCAAAACCATCCCGCAGATTTCTCATTTCTCGAATCGGAGCTGTCAGTTGGAGAGCCAATTGTGGTTTCTGACGAAGAGGGACACTTTGCGCTGGCCATTGGCTACGTCACGGCAGTCAAGAGACGAAGGATCAGTGTGGCGGTTGATCGAAGACTACACAATGCACGAATTCGACAACCAGGTTTCGACGAGAACGATAACCAGACCTTTGCTAGTATCATGGAGGTTGCCCACGAGGGTGCTACCCAGGATGAGACCCATGGCAAGATCAAGGAGCCACCAATCCGATACCGACTGGACCAAGATGAGTTTAGCAACGGAATGGCGACTGTCCGGAACAACCTGGTTCAGATGATGGCCGACGATGTCTTTGGGTCGAGACAGATCCGACGGCTTATTGTTGACCTCCAACCCCCACGATTCAAGAGTGTCCCAACTCAGTATACTATATCGGACCGAGACAGCCTCAACGTTGACCAACACCGGGCCATCGAAAAGGTCATGAGTGCTCAAGACTATGCTCTCGTTCTGGGAATGCCGGGAACTGGCAAGACGACAACCATTGCCCACATCATCCGCGCTCTGACATCTCAGGGGAAGAGTGTGCTCCTCACTTCGCACACTCACACAGCTGTCGACAACATTCTCCTCAAGCTCAAAGGAGAAAATATACCTATCCTCCGCCTTGGAGCCCCTGCCAAGGTCCATCCCGAAGTCCAAGAGTTTGCCATTCTCGCAGGGCAGCCTATGAAGACGTTTGACGAAATCAAGGATGCCTGGCATGGTACGCCAATTGTCGGGACGACGTGTCTCGGCATTAACCATCCCATCTTTCATGAGCGTACTTTTGACTATTGCATCGTGGACGAGGCATCTCAAATCACACTGCCAATCTGTGCTGGGCCTATCCGGATGGCTCGCACTTTTGTCCTCGTAGGTGACCACAATCAGCTTCCTCCAGTCGTGAGAAACGAGGAAGCACGCGAAGGAGGCCTCGACGTCAGTTTGTTCAAGCTTCTCTCAGACACCCATCCGCAGTCGGTTGTCAACCTGGAACACCAGTACCGCATGTGTGAGGATATCATGACTCTCAGCAACACTCTCATCTACAATGGCAAGCTCCGATGCGGCACGGAGAAGCTACGCAAAAGAAAGCTCAACATTCCCCATATGGACGCTCTTAGGCAGAGACACTACGATGCATCGACCTTTCACGCCGCCACTCCTCGATCGTTTTGCGCTGCACCAGGTCGATGCTGGCTATACGACCTCCTTGAGAGCGAAGCTCGCGTGCGTTTCATCAATACCGACACTATTCTGCCCCAGGTCCGCGAGGAGGCTCAGGGCAAGCGTATCGTCAACTCGGCTGAAGTCCGCATCGTTTCTCAACTAGTCGACAGTCTTTTGACAGTAGGAGTTCCGGAGACCGAGATCGGTGTCATGACGCATTACCGAGCGCAGCTATTCCTACTCAAAGAAAAGCTCAAAGGGTATGCCGGAGTCGAGATGCACACGACAGACCGTTTCCAGGGACGAGACAAGGAGGTTATCGTCTTGAGTCTGGTGCGAAGCAACGACGCCTGCAATATTGGCGACCTGTTGAAGGATTGGAGGAGAATCAACGTCGCCTTTACCCGCGCAAAAACGAAGCTCCTCGTGATTGGAAGCAAGATGACACTCAAAGGCAGCGGCAGCGAAAACATGCTCAGCAGATTCATCTCGCTGATGGAGGATCGAAACTGGATTTATGACATGCCCCCTGACGGACTCGAGAATCACTATTTTGAGGACATGGGCACACAACTTACGACACACAGCCCGCAAAAGAAGACGCCCAGGAAGGGCAAGGAGAATCGGAGGCCTTCACCCAGAAAGGCCAGGATTAGCGACAAGGCGTTATTAAAGGGGAAACTGATTACGAGGGATATCTTGAATGAAATGACCAACGGCGCATATAGTTAGGGGATGAGCAAACATCAAACATTGGATTAGGTTCCGACGAGGCCGGAGTTCTAGGTGCTTTGAAAACTCCTGCTGTTAACATGAATCAATCAACTAAGAGAACAATCACGTCCTCTTTTCCTAGTACATATGTCTAACATGTGAATTTAATAGTTGTTAGGATTATTATTAGCAAATACTCGAGCATATACGTCCAAGACGTAAATAGATTTTACTCGTGATGTACAGGAACTCATCAGGTTCAGAAGTCTATGCATCAACTGCTTATTATTCAGCAAGTTCAGCGCTCCACGTGCTTTCAAAGCTACTGCTGTCAGCATGGATCAAACAAGTAGGAACATTTACTCACTTTTTCTCCCCAACAATGAGCTTGGTGAACCTTTCAAGTTCCTCTAGCTGAGCAACGCAGCCCGTCAGACTCTCGTTGTATGAGTAACTGTAAATGTCGCTCCACGTCTTCTGTCGTTCAAGCTCGCGATACTCGGGACTCTCGGCCATTTCTCGTGCAACCTCGGCGCTTTTGTGGAGGAGCTTCTTTCGAGCAGCGGCAGCACTGGGAAGATAACGCTGTGGCAACGTGAGCTGAGATCTGCTGACTGCAGGGACGCTGACTTACAGGAACTTTGCGTTGCGATTTCAGAGCACCGGCGAGAATGTACAGATTGCCGAGAATGGCAGCAACGGCATCTCGTCGGTAACTGAGGAGCTTTTCGGCGGCCACGGGGTTGTCTCGGATATAGTTTGGGTTGTAGAAGAGAGCTGATTGACGAACAGCGATGAGGTACTCAAAGAAGCGTTCACAAGACGCAGCCAGACACGAATACGGGATCGGGTCGAAGGGGGCACGCAGACGAAGTTCATGACGGGTCATGACAAGGAGTTGCCGGATCCTCACAAAGCCCTCGCGCATTCGACTCTCGAGCATTTCAGATCGTGTGATGACTTCTGGAGTTGGGTCTTTTCCCTCATCAAAGTAGACGTAATTCGCCACGACATCTGACAATTAGCAGAGCTAGTATGAGGAGAATGCGCACACTTACTTCGGTACATGACGCTCATGAAGAATAGCATTGACGAAAGAGCAGATCGAAGTTCATGTCTAGCCACGAATGGCCAGAGGAACCAGTTAACCACGATAGGAGTGGTTGTTCCGACGAAAAACACCAGACCTTTGTGTACTCCGAGGAGAGCTGCTGATGATACACCTGGATGGTCTCGCAAGCTGAGAGAAATGACCGTAAACGAGAGACATCCGACAAGACCGGATCGCTGTCATTGTTAGTTAGGTCAATCAAAGTAAGGCATCGGCTTACCGGATGGGAACTCTGAGTGAAGCGATACATCATGGGAATCATGTATATCGCAGCAAATACTGCAATCACATATGGATTCCCATTGCCAGCTGCATGGGCCGCGCCACTCCACGCTGCTCCGAGAATTGCTGCAAAGGCACGAGTGAAAAGGTCCTGAACGTTTCCTCCAACGCGGGGGTGAATCATGATCCAACCCATGCACACAGCCCACCAAGCTTCATTTCGATTCCACCATGATCCACTGCTCAACCACGCAGGAAGGGCCAATGCCGAAGTGAGAACGGCCACCTTGAGCGCATATCTGCTCTCGAACCCTTGAAGACGATGCAGGACTGTCCAAATTCTGTACCCAAGTTTGTCTCTCCTCGACGCTGGCTGTCCACGAATGCTGGGCTCCTCTGGTCCGGTAACCGCCTCATAACTCTGACGATGCTCCTTGCCTACCTTAACAGACTCGAGAAGTTGCGCAATCTCTGCAAACGTTGCCTGGTACATACCGGCAGTGACACCGCCGCGATCATGTCGAACCTGGGCATTTGTTCTGTATATGGCCTTCCAAGGGGGATAGGTTGGGAGGTTGAGTCTCTTGCGGTTGGAGTGGAGGTGCATCTCGTGAACCTTGTTCATGAGATTGATGATGGTTGCTGCCGTTTCACGGACGTGTCTCGCAAAGACGAAAAGCTCCACGGCTTGGCTGTCGTATGACTCAGTGGTGTCGCTAGCTAGGAGACTTGATTCGGCCACGTCAAAAGCTGCGAGAGCGTTGTTGAATCGTGCCTGAACCGGTATGAGGTCTGTGGAGACGTCTGGGGGTGGACCAAAATGCTTTCTCCAGCCAGATAGATCCATCAAAGCTGCATGAGATCTCTGCATGCTCTCTGACATGCAGGCGAGCACTTCCCTCGTAGGGCCAGAGAGAGTTCGGGCAACCCTTCGACCAGCGTCAATCGACTCGTCGTCTGAATCAGGGCCACCGACGATAATCTCGGGAGTCGTCCAGTCCTCGAATAGGTCTGTATCCGTGTCCATAGAAAGAAGGGCTCGTACAACGCCCTGCACCAAGTTACGCAACTCTCGCACGTCCACTGGACGGAATCGTGTGATGGTTATGTCGATCCTCATGTCTCGATACGCAAGAGACATGTCCATAAAAGTTTTAGCTAGTCTTCGCCTGAGTCTTGTGTTTCTCGGACGTGGAATAATGAGAGATTCCTAAACTGTTAGCTTTATACGATGTCGGACACATACAAGCATACCTGCATCGTCCTGAACGACTTGTCGAGGGCAGCAGCCAAAGGACGATTCCCGGCGTCAGGCAATATGAGACAGTTAACAGCCATGGCGATTGCTTGTCCTAGAAGCCAGGGAATGGCGTAGCTTCGCACCTTGGACCATTTGATGTCCAGACTGCTAGTCTCAGCGAGGGTGGTAAATGTGACGGCTATTCCAGCGCAAAGAACAGCTTGGTAGAAGCGAATAAAGAACGTACGGATGTACGCAATGCTGGCCATGAAAATAGCAAGAAACAGCGTCAAGATGCCACCATATCCAACTTTAGCAGCAAGAGTCGAAGTGGACAGCAAGAGACCAATGATACCCCATGCCAGTCCACAGGCAGTCCCAACGATGGTCAAAATAGCACCGTCCACCTGGGATCCAAAAGTTCGTGCCGGATGGTTGAGAATGACGGATATAGCCATAATGTAGTCATATCGACCAAGCCAGTTAGACACTGTAGGCACCAGACATAGGATATAAGCCAGAAAGAAAGCGAGAAAAGACTTGAGTAGCCTGATTCCAGATCTCGTAGTTGCGACCTTTCGAGCCACAGATCGAAGCTCATGGAGTTGTCGAGGAAAAAAATCTTTGGGCGATAAAGGGTGACTCTTTTCGAATTCCTTTGGTAGGATTGCTTTGTCCTCGATTTCTTCTGGCGTCAAAGGCTCCGGTTTCAAGAAAAGGGCATCAAAGAAGCCATCTCGCATCTCGGAGACGCCATACGTCTCCATGTTAATTCGGTCATCGGAAATGATTTGATCAATCTGCATGATGCTGACGACTGAACTTCGTCTGGAGTCAAACGAAGGTTGGAGACAGACCCCACTTGGGTCTAGGCTGGCGTCGGAATACTCCGTCATGGTGTTTAGCTTGTCTCGTAAATGACTGCGACGCTATTGTTGGAGGTTCTGTTGGCACTCCGGCGTTGTTGCCGATACCTGGATGTCGTATTTTCGATGTATTAATTGTCGTGGATATTGGCTTGATAACCGAGGCTGTTGACGTCTCGTCTAGAATCCGCTGCCGATTGCCTATCCGATTCCCCAGTTAACCTGTTGCTGCCCTTTCCATCGGTCACGATTTGATGTTGACTGCTTGTTAGCATGTAGACGAAGAAAACAATGCGCAAACTGCGAGATCAAGCAGGATCATTCTTGGGCATTTGAATGATGTAACATGTGTGGCCCACCTTGGGCGCAAAGGACGTGCACTGCCAAGCCGCAGAGCAGGAATTGAGCATTGGGATTGCACGACAAGATGGGATTGAGTGATTGATTGATGAATGCTGATGCTGGATGGATGGCAGATAGGAGATGGTTGGAATTAATACAATTAGTGTGATTGTTGTAGTGTGTATTAGACAATTGATGCCTTCCTCCAATAATGATGAACGCTTGCTCCATAAAAAGATGCCGACTATAATCAAGAAGAAGTGCAACAACATGCAAATCGAATTCTCGATGGGCAATTGATGATGAATGAACTAAACGTGGTTGGTGACCTTCGGGTCCTGCAGTGGAATCCATCCCGTCTTCAAAACCGTCGCGGCAGGTACCGGTACGTACTTTTAGCAGCCACGTGACTAGCTCCCGATCTACCGGCAACCTCAATTCAACCATCTCCATCCTTCAACATTGATCACAACCCCGCCGTCCATCGCCGATTGACCCTCGACGATACAATGGCAATCATCCGCGCCGCCGTCGCGCCCCTCCGCGCAGCCCGCGCCGTTCGATTCCCCCGACAGCCCTCCCGGGGCTTCTCCGTTACCGCCCGACGACGAGGAGGTGGTGGCGAGCACCAATTCGAACCTCCCACCGGATGGCTCTGGGGTGTCAAGCCCGGCGAGAAGGCTGAGCCCGAGGGCTGGGAGTGGCCCATGTACATTTTTCTCGGAAGCCTCGTCGCTACAGGCGTCGCCCTCGCCTTCAAACCCGACACGACGTGAGTGATTTGCCACGGTCAATTGCTGCACGCCCGGAATACTGACAATTGATGATGGACAGCGTTTCTACCTGGGCTCTCGAGGAGGCACGGAGGAGATTAGAGCAGGAGGGTATCCTGCCCGACCCAGCCAAGAAGGAATAGATGTACATTACGGTGCGCGGATTCAACCGCAACAACAATTCAACGCATTATCTACGCTACAACATAGCTCCATTCGTGCTCCTCGTCACCATACTGAATTCCCTCCATCCACTCCTTCATCTTGAGGGCAATCTCGCCGGATTCCTCAGTCTCGGCAAGTCCGCAGTTGACGAGCTCGCCCTTCCAGGAGATGGATCGCACGGGGCTGACAATGGCAGCAGTGCCAGCGCCAAACGCCTCGAGCAATCGACCCTCCTTGGAAGCCTCGGCGAGCTCCTTCATTGTGTACTTGCGCTCGCTAACCTTCCAGCCCTCAGGAACCAGACGTTCACGCGCAAGTGCGAGCACAGAGTCTCGAGTGACACCCTCAAGGATGGTACCATCGAGGGGAGCAGTCACGAGCTCCTTTTGACCAGTCTCCTTGTTCTTAAGGGCGACAAACATGTTCATGGTGCCGACCTCGGTGACGTATTCCTCCTCTCCAAAGAGCCAAAGGTTTTGTTGGAAACCACGGCTGGCAGCTTGAAGTTGGGGCAAAATGCATGGCGCATAGTTAGCACCAAGCTTCTTGTCACCGACACCGCCGGGCCAAGCTCGAACAGCGTAGTCAGTGGCCTCTAGTGACACGGCCTTGAAGCCAGTAGGATAGTAAGGACCAACAGGCGATGCAATCACATACAGAAGAGCGGAACCAGGGGCGCCAACTCCAAGTGTTTTTTGGGTTCCAATCATTGTAGGTCGGAGGTAGAGAGAGTAACCTCGCTTGTCAGGAATGAAGCGAGAGTCGAGCTGAGCAAACTTGGCGATGAGCTCAATGAAGCTCTTGGGCTCAAAGGTGGGGAGCGCAATACGAGCGGCCGACTTGTTCAATCGGGCCATATTCTTGTCGGGTCGGAACAATCGGACCTTGCCATTCTTGTCCTTGTAGGCCTTCATGCCCTCGAAGCACTCAAAGGCATAGTGGAAGACGCAAGTCGCAGGGTCGAGGGAGAGGTTCTGGTAGGGGGTGATTTTGGGGTCCAACCATCCGTCTTCTTGAGTCCATTCGATCGCGAGCATGTGGTCTGATGGTCAGCTTGGTCTTGAAAAAGCAGGAGGAACTTACCAGTAAACTCCCGACCAAAGACAAGAGTCTCAGGCTTGCTCAGACTCTTGGGGTGGGAGGTCTTGGTGACAGAGAGTCGCGAAGGATCAAGACCCAATGGCTTTGCAGCAGAGGCAGCCTCTGCCTTGATGCTAAAGCGAGCGCATCGCAAGCTAGCGCGAGGCAATGAGCTCCTCAGAGTAGAGCGAAGAAGTGGTCTTAAGCTCATGGTTGCGGTGTTGGTGATGAGCAATGAGTTGGGGCTCGACCGATAATTAAGTACCTAGATCGGAGGTGTATCGGAGGATTGCAAATTCCCCTTCGCGATAGGGTACTTGTAGGGACGCCGTCTCCAGGCGTTTGCAGCCGCGTTGGGCCGTCAGCTAGGTATCCCCAGGTTCCTAGATAGCCGCAGCCGTAGCCGCAGGAAAGAAAGGTGGGTGGGACCTGAACACGCCCTGGAAGCGCCTTACCTCATCAGGCTTATCGTTTATCGGACGTGGGAGGTCCCTTCGATACTTGTCCTCACGTCATGCATAGGTCGCGACGCATCGCATCGCAACGACAACAACATGTTCTCCTCGGCGTTCAAGTCCATCTCGGCCACGAACATTACCGGAAACTACACCATCTCTTCGAATCCGACTTCGACGGCTGGTCCCTGGAAGATTTACGATGCAAAGAAAAAGTCGACGGGCAAGTCGTACAGTGTCTTTGTCTTTGACAAAAAGTCACTAGACAGCCATGGCAGCGCGTTGGGTCGCTCCGGAGCGGCTTCGTTCAAAAAGACGGTAGAGGAGGTTGTCGAGCGGTTGCGAAAAGAGGCGTCGAGTCTGGCCAAGCTCAGACATCCCAGTATCTTGGAGTTGGTGGAGCCTGTTGAAGACACAAGAGGAGGCGGCTTGCAATTTGTCACCGAAGCCGTGACAGCATCATTGTCGAGCGTGCTACACGAAAAGGACGAACATGAAAGGGCTGGGCCCGGCGGAAGGTCGAGTCGATTTGTGACTGAGGACTCGGATGGAGTAAAGCGACGGAGAGAGCTCGAGATTGACGAGTTGGAGATCCAAAAAGGGCTCCTCCAAATCAGCAAGGCACTGGAGTTTCTTCACGAAAATGCTGGCCTCGTCCACGGCAACCTCACACCAGATGCCGTCCTTATCAACGCCAAAGTATGTAGATACTCGACCTTTCGATGACTTGACTAACAGTCGCAGTCTGACTGGAAGATAAGCGGACTCGCCTTTTGCAGCCCCCCTGATGGCTCCGACAAGCCCACGTCGATTCAAGGAATTAGTCTGTACGAGGTCTTGAACATGGATCCCCGATTACCAAAGGCCGTCCAACTCAACCTCGACTATACCTCGCCCGATTTCGTCGTCGATAGCAACCTCAACTCTTCGGCTGACATGTTTTCGCTTGGACTCTTGTCGGTCGCCTTATACAACTCTCCTCACGCATCTCCTCTCGAATGCCACGGCAGCTTGTCCACATACAAGCGACTGTTTTCGTCGTCTTCAAGTGTCCCGTCCGTTACAAACAACTACCTCTCATCTCGACCCCTCCCCCGAGAACTCTCTCACGATGTCCTTCCCCGACTGATCACAAGACGGCCTGCTCAGAGAATGACTGCGCGAGAATTCCAGCAGAGCGAGTATTTCGACAATGTCCTGGTCTCTACAATCCGTTTCCTTGATTCGTTCCCTGCCAAGACTGCCAACGAAAAAGCTCAGTTCATGCGGGGTCTCAACAAGGTGCTACCCTCGTTTCCCAAGTCGGTCATGGAAAAGAAGATTCTGCCGGCCTTGATCGAGGAACTCAAGGACCGGGAGCTTCTCTCACTCATCCTGCAAAATGTGTTCAAAATTCTAGACTTGCTTCCGTCTGCTAGACGTGCTTTTGGAGAAAAGGTCCGACCATCACTGAGGGAAATATTCGTCATCAATGCCAAGCAGCAAGAAAAGGACCCAGCCAGAGATGCAGGACTAATGGTTTTCCTTGAAAACATTTCCTCCATCTCCAGCAACTGTTCAGGAAAGGAGTTTAAAGATGGTGGGTGAACCTGTCAGCTCATCTGAACCAGCTGACCATTTAGATATGCTCCCTGTCATCATGGCGGCCATTGAATGCCCGACTCATTCGATTGTCGATGCGGCCCTGCGAAGTCTACCAGTTGTCTTGCCAGTTCTCGATTTTAGCACCATTAAGAACGAACTCTTTCCTGTGATAGCAGCTGTCTTTAGCAAGACAAACAGTCTTGCCATCAAGGTTCGAGGTCTTCGAGCCTTTGTCATTCTATGCGGTGGCACAAGCGGCGAAGATGACGGTCTCAATGGGGTGAGCAAGACTTCATCGTCTAGCGCTCTTGACAAGTACACAATGCAGGAAAAGATTGTACCTCTGATCAAAGCCATCAAGACAAAAGAGCCGGCAGTCATGATAGCCGCCTTGGACGTGCTCCGGATTGTAGGAGGAGTTGCTGACGCCGACTTTGTTGCTATGGACCTTTTGCCAATCCTCTGGAGCATGAGTCTGGGACCTCTTCTGAACCTGAAACAATTCCAGTCTTTCATGGAGCTCATCAAGAGTCTGTCGCGGCGAGTCGAGGATGAGCAGACTCGCAAGCTGCAAGAACTGGGCGGAACAACCACAACGCCCAGTGAGGATTTCATGGCATTTGGTGGTGTCACAGGCACAACCTTTGAGCCCACGTCTGAGAATGACTTTGAGGCTCTCGTCAAGGGACGTCCATCCACCACCAGTGCCCCTGAAGAGAAGAAGCCCAGCACCCCTCAACCGCCAACGTTTGCTTGGTCAACACCTCCACCAACAAACAACCCGACAAAACCTCCGCAGAAGTCTTTCCGGACAGTGACCCCAGACCTCGGTCGCTTCGAGGCTATGACACCGTCATCGACACAATATAGCCAGCCTCTACAGCCTCAGCCATCGACCTTTTCTCCTCCTCCTCAGTCGACATTCTCAGCGCCTCCACAATCAACGTTTACTCCGCCCCCGTCGACCTTTACGCAGCCAGCACAGCCCGCTCAGCCTGCTACTGGAGCCATTAACTGGTCTGCTGCCAAGAACACTCTGTCGGCACCCATGAATTCACTATCCATGAACTCGATGACACCCATGCAGCCCTCCCGAAGTCCATCGTTCACTCTTCCTCCGCCTCCTGGGAATGCTGCGCCCGCCCTCGCTCAGCAGACTTGGAGCGCCCCTTCGAGTCAGAGCATGGGGTCAGGTCAGACAGGGCAGACAGGGCAGACAGGGCAAAAGTCAGGATTGGACAAGTATGAGAGTTTGATTTAGCGTAGTCGATAGATTTGAATAGACTTGGGGTCAGCGTTTGATTGACATGGATACCAGCATCTTTGTTTCACTCTTCAACTTGTAGCTCTCGATTTGCATGAGCATAATCTGTGGCCGGCCTACAGGAAGAGAATCGGCATGTTCTTTGTTATAGATGGTGTGCTTATGAACTCGGCGAATCTCGATAGATAGCAAGGCAGTGCTTCAGGGAGTTAATAGCATGGATGGAACAAGAACATTACCCACCTAATTATCAAGATTATTATCAAGTATCTAAGAATATACGGCCAAGACGTGAAGACACGACCATGAGCTCAGCCCACTTGAATCAATCTATCCGCCTTGAAGGTCCGATTTTGCAACTCCCTCGCCGTGTAAGGGGGATTCGAGCAAGCTACTCCTTATACCTATAAGCAGCATATTCAAACAAACGTGCAAATGCCACGAAACCCTTCACAGCTTATGAAGAGTACAAAAACGGGGCTTTCAAATGTCAACTAAGAAGCGGCATCAAGCAAGAAGCGTATAACAATCGCTACTAGAGCGGCATAGGAGACTTGACGGGCGGATTCCTTCTTAAACAACCAGTGACAAAGACCACCGCCACACGATGGCTTCTTCATGACAAAACAACATGAGAAGGACAATTAAGACGAGTCGGTGACTCACTCTCGAGAGCGTTTGGTGCAGCTCCGTTACCTACTACGCGGGCAAAGAAATAAATGAGATGCTAGAGTACTTAGAGAATTACCTAATTACTTATAAAGATAATAAATTAATGTATAAAAAATGATATAAAATAATATAATAATAGAGACTTTTTTTTTCTTATTATAATTTATTAATTATATTTAGAGGGGGATTAAGTTATTTATTCGTCCTTATGTCTCGTTTTTTCCTTGACCGAGGTGCCTACCTACCTGTGAGCAAACACTGAGGCTAACGAGAAGAAGACTGCCCTTTTTGAGTACCGCCGTGGCTCTGAGAAAGACCCGCTGCTCAGAATCATTGCTCGCGTTGAGAACGAGTTGGATTGATTCATGTAGACTAAGCTCGTCTATGTCTATATACCCAAGCCAATCTAGTTCTTCGTACTGATCCTAGTTATCTTTTTACCTCTTATCACATTAGCACATCGCTAGAGCAGCTTCAAGCCAGGCCCGAAGTTGTCGGGGTTCATGTCTCTGGTGTACGAGTTGTGAAAGGTTTGACCGATCCCTTGTGCTATACCATCTAACTAAATGAATAGTATAGGTAGACGTGGTCACATTTATAATGAGCGCGGACTTCGACCATCAAGTAGTCGTGGTTGGCGTGATTGACATGACCAATGTTTGCATCAACAAAGCCAAGGTTAAAAACACGTTTATCTCCGTTGGGTATTGCTTTTGATAACGTGGCGGGGTTTGAACAAATGGCATGATCACACTATGTGACACACACGGCGCGGACAAGCGGATTGTTATCGCCACCGGACCGAGAAGCTTCAGAGTCAGAAGCAGAGTCAGATGGGTCAGAGAAAACCGAAAGAGTGTATCAGATATTAAAGACGCAATTTTTTAACAACCTATACGGCAATGTGGACGATGCCGACATTATTAACAGCCTCTACATGTATCCTTTCCATTCCATACCATACCATTCCATACCCGTTCCCATTAAGCAGTAAATCAGAACGCCTCCCACGCCTTCATACATCATTACTTTCGCTCTTCAAACAAGTGGCGGCTCTTGAAGCCAGGCTCGGTGCGCACGTCAACCTTTTGCCCCTTGGGGATCATCTCGTGCTTGAAAGGCCAGTCGAGGCGACGGCACAGCTCAGAGACGACAACGTCGCAGTCACCGAGGAGGTCAATGTCAAAGTTGATGTGCGAGACTGCCTGACGGGACACGTAGATTTGGGGAATGTGGGCGGGGAGCCAGCTCACAATCTCAGACACGGGCGTCACCTTGAGAGAGGTGCCGATGACGATGACGAGGTCAACCTTGTCGCGGTCGTTTTCGGTGAGCCGTCGGGAAAACTCGTCAGGGAGGGCTTCACCGAAAAAGGTAATGTCTGGCTTCATGACGCCGGCAGAGGGTATGTCGTACTCGGACTCGTCTGAGCTCTCGTCGGCGCTCCATCTGCGACGCTTCTTGTCGGCGCCAGCAGAACGCTTGCGCTTCGGAGCGCCGCCGGTAGCGCGCAGGGTCTGAATGCAGCGTGGGCACCGGGGGATCTTGTCGGCCTTGATGTCGGGGAAGATGGTCTCGCCCTGGCACTGGTAGCCGCACTGGACGCAGCTGGCGGTTCCGAAAGAGCCGTGGCACTGGATGAGCTTGTCCTTGGGGACGCCGGCCTTGACCTCGAGGTTGTCAATGTTTTGAGAGTAGTTTGTCAGGAGCTTGCCGCGCTCGTTGAGCATTGCGATGAACTTGTGAGTCGGCGTGTATCGGTCAGTGCTGGGTAGGATGTCCTTGGCGACCGAGTAGAAGATGGTGGGGTCTTGGCGAAAGACGGAAATGTCAAAGACCTCTTGAGGGTCATTGAGGCCGAGATGCTCCAGCTTGGAGTAGAGACCGGTTCCCTTGGAACGAAAGTCGGGGATGCCCAGCGAGGTGGAGATGCCAGCGCCGGTGATGAGGACAATGTTGGAGCTCTTGTTGATGAGCTCGACGGCGTCCTCGACCGTGTTGTAGCGGGTGAGCTTGGCGCGCTTGGACAGCTCGCGTGTGATGGCGAGCGACAGCAGGCTAAAGTAGGCATCGTCAGGCTCGCCTTCGAGGAAAGCAGGAGCGCGGATGCCAAAGGCGCTGAGGAGCTTCCTGGCCGTGTAGCGACCAGCATCAACGGTGCGCTGGCAGAAGACGGCGGGGCCATACTCTCGGAGCTCCCGACGAAGTCTGCTAGCCTCCTCGGGTGTGCACACTTGAGGGTCTGATGGTCAGTGAGGAAGTTGTTGAGAGAGAACGAGTAAATCTTACCGTCAGCTGAAGGGGAATCAGTAGTCAACTCTTCAAAGACATCTTCGAATAGAGAATCAGTCTCCCAAGAGTCTCGCACGTCAGCGACACGTTCCTCCAGCTCAGCGAGGGCGACGTTGGCGGCGGCGTTCTTGATCTCATCCTCGGTCGGGTTATCTCCAAGTTTGTCAAAAGCGTTGGGTTGAGCCTTTCGCTTTGAGAGCGAGACGCCTTTAGCAGCACCTCGTTTGGTGTTCATGATTAGAAGAGCGACGTGAAGAAAAAAAAAAAGTGAATGTGTTGAAGCGAAACTGCAGAAACAAGAACAGAAACAGGGTTCAGCGAGAGTGTTATCTGCCGATGCTTTGTGCGAGTGTTATGTAAGGTTGACAAGATACAGATAAAATGCGGTCCGGAAGTCGGAAATACCGTCAGGTCACGCAAGCGTTTCTATGAGTCGCTGGGAAACGAGGGAAACGAATCTCGTGACGGCGTGGACGGATGGTAGAAGAAGAGAGAGGGAGAGAGAAGTAGAGATGAGACAAGGGGAGAAAAGGAAACGAAAACCAAGGGGCCTAGCCAAGGGCAAAAGTAAGCCTCTGCCTAGCACTGGCAAGCACTGGAACTCTACAAATTCATTTCATACAGATACCCGGTCTGAGTCTCCTCTTGCACCTGTCTGCCACTGATAGTAATTGGATAGAGTAGACTCAGCCTCTATCGTTTGTTTGTTTGTTTGTTTGTTTGCCTGCCTGTTTGCATTGTTCTTCATCTCCTCCATCACAGTCACATTGATTCATCATTCAACATGGCTGTCATCAGTTGGCTGATTGGCTGACTACACTGCCCCACGCCAAAAACACCAGATGCACACATTCGCTCAACGCGGTCTAGTAGCAACCTAGTCAACTCACACCACATCGCATCATGAGTCTACTCTGTCCGATTGCTCACATTATTATCTATCCTAAACAATACTATAACCATACCCGTCTATTACACTACTTTTGCTCGCTTTCCTCATCTGATCGAGCCATTGGCTGCCATCCCGCTGCTACTCCCGCTGCAACAATACCTGCCATCACTGTAGGTGCTCCAAGCGCACTGTTGGATCGTGATCGTGTAGATCGTGGCCTCTTGCCAGAGCTTGGTGTCGCGATCGGCGATCCCTCAAAGGGGTTGTCTTGAGTTGGCGTCTGCGGTGCGTTGAGAGAGTTGGATCGTGAATGAGATGGGCTTCTAGACCGAACCATCTCGACCGCCTCCTTGGGGTGTGCAATGGCAAACTTGAGGTTGTTAAGACGTCCTCCCTTCATCTTTCGGAGAAAGTTGAGCTCATCTCGGACATCCGCCAGCGGCTCGGGATACATATTCATCTCCTCGTCCGAGATGGTGAGACCAGGCACATTGTTGGCCCGCTTCCTAAGAAACTCGGGAATCATGGCAAGCAGGGCGCTGTCGGGAACCAGGCGGATGACGATACCGAAAGGAATCGAGATGAAGCCAAGGACAATAGCAATACCCCAAAGGGTGCTAGACTGTCCCTCCTCTGCAATCTGGAATGCGTGGCCACCGACAAAGATGATGAGAACTTGACCACCACACATAATGGCACTGATGCCGATAAAGAACCAATTCTTGGTGAGTCCTTCAAAGATGTTGAACCGGTTATCCAGGCGACGGTTGCTATAGACGTTAGATGGTTACTGTATAAAGAGAGAGAGAATACTTACTTCCACTGGTTAAAGATTTGCATCCACACAAACGTGTTAAACACAAGCGTCGCGATTTCATCTTTGCTGGGAATGTCCTTTGTAGGCAAGACACCCTTGGGGCCTCCATAGTAGAGGAGGAACGTGATGGCAAGCTGGTAGATGGATTGTCCGAGAATCATCTTCCACATGGTGACCGAGATGATGCCTGATCCCTTTGGCTCTGGCTTTCGGTCCAAGACACTCTCGTGAGGAGGATCAGTGGCAAGGGCGAGGGCAGCAAGAGTATCCATGATCAGGTTAACCCAGAGCAGTTGCACAGCAGTCAGGAC